CCCCCGCCTAGCTAAGGAGATAATAATAGTTAGTAAGGGAGCTAGTCTCTAGGATCTAGGAGTAAATAGAGGTTACAGTTCCTTCCTCCGAGCGGCTTTTTATTAAAAAATAAAAATTACTAAATCGAGCTCCTAGTAGTATCTAGGCGACTACTAGGAGGCTAAAGCCTAATACTATCCCGGGGGTATTATTAGGGGAGAATAGCCTAGTATACTACTTTCTCGTATAGCAATATCGAAACAAACCTACTAACTATACTAAAAACACTTTTATATAGCATTTTATTTTAACTATTTTATTATAACAACCGAATAAGCTTAAGTAAAGATAAGCATTACGAATTAGTAGAATCCTCTAACTCCGATAAGCGCCCTAATCCTATTAACGAGGAAATTAGGCGACGACTAGTTATTATAAGCGCCGTCTAACTAGGAGAGGCTATTAGGCCTTCTACGCTAGAGGTACTCTATAATATTATTATAAAGATAATCGAGAGGTAGACTAAGTTTCTCCGTTAGAATAGGCGCCGTCTACTAGAGCTAGGAAGCGGTAGAAACCCCTTATTTAAAGGTTAGAACGCTATAGTATATATAGAGCGCTTTAAGGATGCCTTAGTCGAGTACGAGCTTAATAGTAAGTCTAACTAGTACAAGATCCGGTCCCTTACGAGGACTACTATTACTAAGCTTTACCGAACCCTTAGAACCCTAGTCGGCTACCTAGAAAAGGACGATAAGTCTAATACTAACTAGGAGACCTTTAAGTAGGCCTTTCTAAGGGAGTATCGGGAACGCGATAGCCGTCGTATTAAAAGTAGTTACGCGTAGCTCGAGGCCCTCTATTTAACGATACATACTAAGGATAACGACCTAAAGGAGTATATCCGCGAATTAATTAAGTTAGCAGATAGTATTAACTAGTAGAATCTCGAGAAGTCCTAAAGAACGAGGCTAATCCTTTAGGGGTTAACGTAGCCTATAGCTTAGTATATCTTCCGTTGCTATAAGCTTAGCGAGGCCGACCCTAAGAGCTTTAGAAGGTACAAAGAGGTCCTAGAGTATATTAAGGCCGATATCGATAGCTCCGCCGATACGAGGAAGTTTATTTACGGCGAAGATAGGAATAACCTAGTATAGATTAGAAGCGATTCCTTAGGAATTACTAGGGGACCTAAGTTTCTTCTCGAATCGCAAAGTAGTCCTAAGCCTATAACTCGTACTATTACTAAATACTCTTAGGAGGTAGTAGATATAGCTGAATCCCTAGCCTAGCTTAACCTTAATACGAAAGCATTATAGCGAGTTAGGGAGGTTATTAATACTAGTATACTAAAGGAGGCGCTACTAGTCTACTAGTTCCCTAACCCTAACTATTCTAAAGCCCCTTTAGTTAATGTCTACGCTATACGAAAGATCTATTCTAACTTAGATAGCAAGTGCTAGATATACGGCGGTTTTAAATATATCTAATCGGACTGCCCTATCTAGAAAGAGCTTCTTAATAGGAAGCTCGTTATCTAAGTAAATAGCCGGCTCTACTATACCGATACTAGCGACAAGATCGACTTCGAATAGGATCGTAGAGTACTAAAGCTACCTTAACTTAGGACCCTTCTAGAGAAGAAGTATACTATATAGCGGCAAGATCGAGTTCGAGGAGACTAGAAATAGTATCCTCGCTACTTTTACTAAACGAGAAACTTAAAGGTTAGGGCAAAGTAGGTAGATAAGTAAAGTAGTAATAGTACTACTAAGACCGTTAAGGTTAGCTTTGTTTCTTAGGACTAGGACTTAGTCGCTAACGTTTACGCGGTTACTAATAGTAGTATAGGTATCTACGCTACTACGAGGTCCTAAACCTAGTTCTAAATATAAAGTAAGGGCAAAGGCCCGTAGAATCCTTCTCGCCCTACTACCTAGTATAGTAGCCCCTACTAGGATACTTAAAAACAAGGCTACCGATAAGGCTAGACAATAGCGAGAGTTAACCGCTAAGACTAAGACTCTCTAAATAGCTAAAGACTACGCTACCCGAGCTAGTACTATTACTACTATATCTATAGGGAGCTTAGCTATTCTAGAGATAGTAGAGACTCTAGAGGTCGATATAGAGAATAATACTACCGATATTAGTAGTACTCTAGGCCTAGCTAACCTACCGGCCTATAAGCGGAAGTTAGCCGATCTAAAGAGCTTTTACTTTAATAGGTATATAAAGAAGTATAGTACTAGCCCTACCGATTCCTACGATATAAAGGCAAACGCTCTCTTCTAGTCTTTATAGTTCTTAGACCTTAAGTCTAATATATCTATAGGAGACCTACTAGCGTAAGGGTTGCCTACTAACCTATTCTAGAGCCGAATCCCTAACGATACTATCTTTATAAAAGACCTTACTACCCTCTAAAGGAAATAGGGACGAGAAGACTATATTAATATCTCCTTCCTATAGTTCCTCCCTAAATTCTTAGGCGTTATAGGACTAGTAGAAGATAAATCGGTAATTCTTTAGAACTAGGAGGATACTATCGAGATTCGATAATATATAAAGAAGGGGTCTAGAGCCTATCTTAGTTTTAGTTAAGGCTATCCGATTTACTAGCTAGTAGATTAGTCGAGTAGTACCTCCTTAACCTAAGGAACTTTACTCTATTCCTAATAATATAGACCTTTTAGTAGTTACTTATTCCTTCGCTATCGCTCCTAGTAGTTCTATTCTACTATAAACTATATTGCCTTCTTTCTTATCTACCTATATCTCTTTAAAACTCGTAATACCGTCGGTTAGCTAGTAATAACGTTGTATTCGTCGTATAGATACTATACTACCTTATTTTAATAGATATATAGTCGGTTATTAAGGAATTTAAAGATACGCTATATTAATAGGGTAGGTTAGTTAAATTACGACTATACGCGCTTAGCGATACTTATATCCTTAAAGATTAGTAATAGCGACTATAAACGACCTAACCTTAAGAGCTCTTTAATATAGAATAAACTAAATAGGTAATAATTATTATAGATCTTATCGATACTACGCCTAGCGATATTTAGTAGCTCGGAGATAGTAATATTAGATAACTCGCTCTCGTCGAAGAGGCGCTTAATCTTATTAAGCTAATAGTCTAGCAAACGCGCTATTAGTAACACCATCGAGGGGTCTATACTATAGAAATAGAGACGACGAGGTATAGGTATAGTATCATTTTAGAGAGAGGTAGGAAACCGCCAAGAAGCTAGTTCTGTGCTGGTTGTGGTATAGCTGCACCGCAGCAAGTTCCATGTCCCTCCGAGCGCATAGCGCGACATATTGAATAGCGTAATCGAAGGTTTGGGTTCTGCTCTGCTGTACGAACGGTTCCGCACAGCTGTGGCTGAAAGCTCCATCTCAGCTCACACATTAATTATGCTTGACTCATTCACTGACAGCGCTTCTAATTATCATTGTCCGCTTGACAGTAATTCCGAGCAGAACTCGATAGACTTGGACTCATCAGCATGGACCACTTCAATTCTACCGATTTCGACACCCACATCAATGATCTTATCTTGGAATGGAAAATCCCAGGTCTAGCGATTGCAGTCAGCCAAGGTGAAGACGTTCGCTCAAAAGGCTTTGGTCTTGCGACTCTCGACCCACCAAGACCGTGCAATGGCGATACAATCTTCGACCTGGCTTCCAGCTCCAAATCACTCACAGCTGCATCAGTAGGACTTCTCGTTGCCGATGAGGAGAAGTATTCGAATGTGACCTGGACCGCCAAGATGCACGACCTATTACCTGACGACTTCGTAATGTCTGAAGAGAGTTACACCAAGGACATTACGGTTGAAGACACATTAGGCCATCGGACAGGACTTCCACGGCACGATTTGTCTTATTTTGGCATTCGATCAAACCATACCGACACTCCTCAATCTGTGACTCGCAACCTGCGGAACCTGCAGCTTAATGCTCCCATAAGAACGAAGTATCAGTACAACAACATATTCTATACTGTGGCAACACATCTCGTGGAGAAGTTCTCGGGCGCCGACTTTTCAGATTTCCTCCAGAAGAATTTCTTTGCACCGCTCAATATGACTTCTACGCATCTACAGCCCGATGCCTCAAAGGCAGCCGGACTTGAAGAGCGCCTTGCCACGCCATATCATTGGGTCGACGAAACCAAATCCTACAGAACCGTGCCGTATCAGCAGTGTCCCGAAGCGCAGGGCGCAGGGTCTGTCATGACCAGTGTCAATGATTACATCAAGTGGGTACGGGCATTGATGAACCAACAAGATCCTATCACGAAAGAAGTCTTTGAGGGCATCACCAAAATTCGCATCCCAATCGATCCGGACGTCGATGATGAGGATAGAGACCCCTTCACATCTTTCGAAGGCTATGCTACCGGCCTGGGTGTCAAGTACTATCGTGGAGCGCAAATCATTAGTCACGACGGCGGGGTTCCTGGCTTCAGCAGTATTCATCTGTTCATGCCAGAACATGATTTTGCACTCATTGTTCTTGGCAATACTGGTGAAGCGGGAACGATCTGTGACGTTGTTGCGATGGAGCTCGTTGATGCTATGCTGAAGGTTCCACGCACTGAAAGAGTCGACTGGTTGGCTCGAGCGAAAGCGATGAAAGAGAAGGAGGACAAGGAGGACAAGGAAGATAGCTTGCGGAAGAAGCTGCTACAGGATTCCGAAAATCCAGAAGCTCTGAAGATGCCACTGGAGACCTATGCTGGACACTACTGGAATGTCGGATATCGGGGCATTGAGATTCAAATCAGAGACGGAAACCTCTTCATCGATGCGAGCGACCGTTCGATGGGGTTCTACCTTACTTTGGAGCATCTCAAAGATCAGACGCTGTTCGAAGGCAGAATGGAGGACTACTTTGATGGCTCAGAAGGGGAAATGGCTGCCGAGTTCAAATTCGACAATGACAGGGTTGTGAAGTTGGGTCTAGATATGGAGAGTGATCTTGGGCACTACATCTGGTTCGACAAAGTGGAAGGGCCGAGAAAGGACTTGCCCGCCAGGTAGTCATTCGTTTGCTGTCTTTTTTTTTCAAGATTCGGACCTCTTGTGATCTTTCTTGAAGGATGTATTGATGTATGCCAAAGAACACATTCACAAAGAAGGTAGTTATCAGCAAACAAATGAGCATACTTAGACTTGCCGACTCGGGCTCTCCGGTCCTTCTCATACACAGGCAGTAAGCATCATGTCTCACGACCAGACCGCTGAAGACAAAAGCAAGCAGGGCTCTGACGAAAGGACCAAGTCGAGCGCGGAGAAAGAAGTTGATGAAGATTGGCAGAATGTGAAGGTGAACGAAGAGGCAAGCATTATTACTCAGCCGAAGTGCCTCGCGTCGGCTTACACCAATAATCTCGCACAGGGAGTCCCTGAGACTGCCTCAGACGACGAAGCATCGCAGAGGCTCCGAGAGTCTCCAGAAGTCATTACGGAGGAGGCCACGGAGGAGTTCACAATGATTGAAAGCAAAGATGTTCCAACGGCGGAGAATTTGGAGGCGAATGGCAAGCCGTATGGTGGGTTCGTGGCTCCTTCAAAGCCTATGCGAAGAGGTGGGCTGAAGGGCGGCGAAACGAAGTCCAAGTCTAAGGGTGGCCGGAGAGATAGCCTTGATTGTAGCAGACTTTTAGCGTCCCATTCTTTTGGGTTCCTGCGGGACTGTATCCACCATTCCCGCTAGGAAATGGCCCGATTATTAGGCGTATGATGGGACCCACCAAACTTACGGAAATGCTCGGTTTTAGTGTGTTAGCTCGGTTTGCCTAATTAGGCTATATTGTTGTCGCAATTAGACTAGTATAGCGACTTCTAAGGTGTTGTTAGTTGCTATCTACGGCTTCTTCTTCTTCGGCCTCTTAATAGCTCGTAGCATTGTCGCTCTCGGTCTCTTACGCTTGCTATTACTACTGTATTTATTAGAAGTCCGCCTCTTACCTACTACCTCTCGTAAAGCGTTATTATTGTCTAACTAAGGGAAGTCTTCTACTACTTCTAGGTCTTCTTTTAATAGTAAAGCCGACCTTAATAGTAAAGCCGCTCTTGCTAGCGAAGTGAGGTCTACAACCTCGGCTGTCTCTTCGATAGTATCTAAGTTAAATAGCTAAGCTAACTGCGCCTACAATAGCGACTCGCGGAGCGGCGCCTTCTTGCGAGGTAAGGGCCTAAAGGGTAGCGGACTCGGCGTAAGAAGGTCGATAACTTGTAACGGTCGACGTATTAGGGATAAGAGGGTCTTATTAAGCGGCGGAAGATTAAACGCTCGAGGTCTATATTTAGTCGCTAGCGGCGGTAGTAGTAGTAGTAGCGGAAGTGTCGGATACCGAGGCAGTTGTTGTTATTAGCGAGTTAGAGTAATAGGTTTAGGTAGAAGGTCCGTCTACTGTCGCTGTCGCTGTCGCCGGTTACTAGTTAATTAGACCTTAGGCGCGCCTTCTTAAAGGAAGTCGTCTAGCGAGAAGTTAGCTAACTAAGTAAGCGTGTCCTTTACCTTGCGTAAGAAGCCTCTTATAAACTTGTCTTTTAGCGTGCTATCGTAGATTGTCTTATCGTTACGGACCGTATAGAAGTGCTATAAGAGGCCTTCTATACCTTCGTTAAAGTAAGCGCGAAGGTCTCGAAGATAGGGGTCGCTAGTAGTATAGTTTTAAGTGTCTTCGAAGCCCTCGAGAAACAAGGTAGTACTGTCTCGTTGCCGCTAGTATTAACTAATTTCTATACTATTAAAGCCGCAGTAGAAACTGATATAGATCTATTATTATTGCAGAGTAAGCGGTATTACAAACAGGTAGTATCTTAGAATATAGTAGCAAGGCAGGTGCTGCTAAAACTATAGCAGGCAATTACAGTAAGGAGGTTGTTGTCCGTCGCGATATAATACAAGGCCTTTGTATAGCGGCAATGCCTTAGCCTTATATTCTTCCGCAATAGCGAGTTGTTTCCTAACGAAGTCCTACGCCGCTAGAGGGCTTAATTGCTTAAAATACGGCATCTCTTTAACCTTCTAGTATTGCGTGCGTTTGCTAATTCTATAGCTTTGTAGGTCCGCCTTATATAGTTGTCGAGCGTCGATTGTTAGCAACTTAGTTATAGTGCTATACATCGTTAACTAAGGAAGGTCCTTCTTCCGGTCGTATTTAATAGTATTATAGTATCCTTCTAGCGGCGAAGTAGTACGTATTTGTATAAGAACTAGGTTACGAAGACGTGCCTAGGTTGCCTATTTCTATAACTTCTCTAACCCCTAGTTCTTCCGTAAATACTAAGCCTCTTCTGCTAGTCTGTTATTGGCTAGTAACCGGCCCTACACCTATGGGCTAGTTTTGAGCCTATATAAGAGGCCTCCTTCTGCAGAGTAGACAGATCATTAACCTCGTATAGCACATTGTTTATATCACACTTCTACAATGCCTATATTGTAGGGCTCTAGTTATTAGCCTAAGCGATAGTCTCGTCATCCTATCTTGCTAAATATAGCTGCCTATATTGCTATAGGTTATATTACCCTCGGTAGCCTATACTATTGCTACGAGTAGTGGTAGTAGTATTAGTTTCCGTCCTTTATTAGAGCCGAAGGTAGGGCTATCTCTTTATATCTGATAGGTTCGGGTATATTAAAGGTGGTCTCTAGGCACGAATAGCTATAACCGAAGCGAGGGTACGACAAGAGCCTACGATACGGACGATACCGAAGTATCTTAAGGGGCCGTTACGACAAGCAGAGAAACCTCTTAACGAGGGCATCGCTTTAACCCCGAAAAGCTGCAAACCCTTAGGACTATTATAGCTTAGGGCCTAGTCTATAACTATAGCTAGCTTCTAAGGACTCGGCTCCGGGTCGAAGACCTATTTAGCACCGCTTACTCGAGATAAGCTACCGCACGCCTAAGGAGGAGATAGACTAATTACCTATCGGCCTTGCTTGGTTTGCTAAGACTATCTATACGATAGCAATTTCTAGATTGCAGGTCGGATGCCTAGACAGTTCCCCTATTAACCGGGTAGATTGTTTCGGGATTCGCTGCCTCGTTCGGATAGTGCTTAGCCTTCTACTAGAAAAAGAAGGTCCCCGCCCCCCCGCCTAGCTAAAGGAGATACGAGCTGGTTTCTAGGATCCAGATATAAATAGAGATTGCAGTCTCTCCCTCCGAGCGGCTTTCGTCTAATACTAAACTTAGCTCCTAGGGGTATATAGGCGACCCCTAGGAGGCTAAACTCTAATACTACCCCGGGGGTAACATTAGAAGAAAACAGCCTAGCATACCATTTTCTCGCATAGCAACATCGAAACAAACTAAACCTATAATATATACTAAAAACACTTTCCTATAGTATTTCATTTTAACTACTTTATAACAATCGAATAAGCTCTAGCGAAAGCGAGCATTACGAATTAGCGGAATCTTCGGAATCTAATAACCTACCGGACCCTATTAACGAAGAAATCAGGCGACGACTAGTTGTTATAAGCGCTATCGAACTAGGGGCTGTCGAGCCTTCTACGCCCGAGGCCCTCTATAATGTCGTTATAAAGATGATTTAAGGGCAAACTAACCTTCTCCGTTAGAACAGGCGTCGCCCGCTAGAGCTAGGAAGCAGTAGGAACCCTCTGTTCGAAGGGTAGAACGCTACGGCGCACGTAGAACGCTTTAAGGACAACTTAGCCGAGTACGGACTCGAAGAGGAGTCGGACTAGTATAAGGTCCGGTCCCTTACGAGGACTACTATTACTAAGCTTCACCGAACCCTTAGAACCCTAGTTAGCTACCTAGAAAAGGACGACAAGTCTAATGCCGACTAGGAGGTCTTTAAGCAGGCCTTTATAAGGGAGTATCGGGATCGCGATAGCCGTCGCATTAAAGGCAGTCGTACGTAGCTTAAGAACCTCTATATAGAGAGGCGCACCGAAAATAACGACCTAAAGGAGTACGTCCGCGAGTTTGTTAAGTTAGCGGACGGCATCGACTAGTAGGACCTCGAGAATTCTTAGAGAACGAGGCTGCTCCTTAAAGGGTTACCGTAGTCTACGGCTAAGCGTGTCTTCCGTCGCTACAAGCTTAGCGAAGCTAATCCCGAGACCTTTAGGAAGTATAAAGAGGTCCTAGAGGCTATTAAGGACGACATTAATAGCTCCGCCGACGCAAAGAAGTTCATTTACGGCGAGGACCGGAATAACCTAGCCTAGGTAAGGAACGATGCCTCGGGAACTAGAGGGCCTAAGTTTCTTCCTAAATCGCAAAGTAGTCCTAGTACCGTAACTCCTACTATTACTAAGCATTCTTAGGACGTTACGGACTTAGCTAAATCCCTAGCCTAGCTCAACCTTAATGCGAAAGTACTGTAGCGAGTTAGGGAGGTCCTTAATACTAGTATACTAAAGGATGTGCTACTAGTCTACTAGGTCTCCGATCCCAACTACCCTAAGGCCCCTTTAGTTAACGTCTACGCTATACGGAAGATCCATTCGGACTTAGATAGCAAGTGCTAGATGTGCGGCGGTTTTAAATATGTTCAATTAGACTGCCCTATCTAAAAGGAGCTTCTTAAAAGGAAGCTCGTTATATAAGTAAATAGTCGGTTCTACTATACCGACACCGGCGACAAGATTGACTTCGAGTAGGATCGCAGAGCCCCGAAGCTACCTTAACTTAGGAGTCTTCTAGAGAAGAAGTATAGTAGCAAGATCGAGTTTAAGGACACTAGGAACAGTACCCTCGCCGCTATTACTAAACGAGAGACTTAGAAGGTTAGGGCAAAACAGGTTAAGGAGCGAAGCAGTGACGGTACTACTAAGCCTATTAAAGTCAACTTTGTATCTTAGGACCCGGACGCAGTTACTAATGTTTACGCGGTTACTAAGAACAGTATAGATGTCTACGCTGCTATAAGGTCCTAAACCTAGTCCTAGGGCAAGGGTAAGAGCCCGTAGAACCCTACCCGCCCTAGTGCGGCAGCCCCTACTAGGATACTCAAGAAGCAGGCAGCTAATAAGGCTAAGAAACAGCGAGAATCAGTCGCTAAGACTAAGATACTCTAGACAGCTGAAGACCGTGCAACCCGAGCTAGTATAGCTACTCCGGAGGTCCTAGAGACTCCCGATATCGATATAGAGGATGTTGCTACCGACATTAGTAGTACCCTAGGCCTAGCTAACCCGCCGGCCTATAAGCGAAAGTCAGCCGACCTAAAGAGCTTTCGCTTTAATAGGTACATAAAGAAGTATAGTGCCGGGCCTACTAACTCTTACGATACAAAGGCAAATGCTCTCTTCTAGGCTTTATAGTTCCTAGACCTTAAGTCTAACGTGTCTATAGGGGAGCTTCTAGTATACGGTTTGCCTACTAACCTGTTCTAGAGCCGGATTCCTAACGATACTACCTTTATAAAAGACCTTGTAGCCCTCCGACGTAAACAGGGGCGAGAGGACTATATCGACGTCTCTTCCCTATAGTTCCTTCCTAAATTTTTAGGGGCCTAGGAGTTAGCAGAAGGCGAATTAGTAACCTACGAGAGCTAGGAGACTATCGATAATACTAACGAAGAGGGGATTGAGGAGATAGGCCGAGGGGATAATAATAATACCGACTCTGCTTCGGTTTCAGTTTCTATTAAGGCTGTCCGATTTACTAGCTAATAAATCGGTCGAGTAGGACCTCCTCGACCTAAGGAACTTTACTCTATCTCTAATAATGTAGACCTTTCCGTAGTTACCCGTTCCTTTGCCGTCGTTCCCGCTATCTATATTCAAGTTACTATCAGAAGCTATAGTTAGCAGTTGCTAGCAATGCTTAATAATAGCTTAGAGTCACTTATTATAAGTAAGCGCTAGGCTAAATAGCTCCGACTGCCAATAAACAGAGATATTTCCCTTAGTATATAGGGAGTGAATAGGGAGGTTGCGCTAGTAGGTGCCTACTATAATGTTATAGTAGACGCTTTCGGTATATGCTTTTCCTTTACCTTCTAGATTGCCGCCGACCCGAATACGCTAATCATTCTAGGTCGTCTATAGTCTCGTATAACCCGGGGTGTCTAGCGCAACTGCGACGATAGCTCTTAGGAAGGAACTATCGCTAACTAGAAGGGCAACCGAGTCGTGTTTACTAGTTATGTCGGAAACACTAGCTACAAGTCCTACGAGGATATCCTTGCTACTTCTAAGCGCTCTTCGGGAAACGCTATAGCGCGGTTATAAGACCGGCAATCTGCGCTATAAGTCAATATAGCTTAAATAGGTTATATCTAGAGGTGCGCCGCTCCGTACGACAAGGCTAGTTTCTAGGCTCTATACTAAGGAGACGAATGCTCGAAGCAATAGCGAGTATAACAGTGTAACGACTACCTAGTACACGAATCTCGGTAATAATGCTATCGTAGGCATCGCCGCCGGAAGCGGATCTACCCGAGCCCGAATCCGAACTAACCAATTAGAGCGCCGAGCTAATGCTACCCCGGGGGTGTTATTAGGAATCTAACGTTTTCGCCGGAATTATAAATTAGGATTACTAGCTATATACCTACCGACTTAAGGAGACTTCTAATAAAGTTTACGCGCTATTCTATTGCGCTAATCTCCGGGCCCAACGTTAAAGAGAGAGGGCTCGGGTATTACGAGCGGTTAGTATATATACCCTATATAAGAGGGTAGCTAACAAGATTAAGCCCGTAAAAGGCAGCGTATATATAACCGATAGGTCCAATCCTAGCGGAAATCCTAACTAGCGACAAAAGTGCCTTAACCGCGAAGCGATATTAACACCTAGGGATAGTCTATACGACTAGAGGTATATTACTAAAAAGTTCTCCTCTATTCCTAGGGGATCGAGGCTAACGCCGGAGAGACTAGCGAATATTAAACCTAGCATCGAGCTTTCGGATCTTAAACTAGATTTGCTGTACGAGCTTCTATATAACCGCGAAGCCGTATTAGTATATAACTTTACGTATCTAGGTAGGATCAACCCGGAGGTTGCCCCTCTATAGAGGATCCGAACGATCGAGTATAAGCCTTAGGCTTACCTAGGGTTTAAGCTAAATCTAAGCCTAAGAGGTATAGTTGAGGACATGATACGGCAGCGTGTAAAGGCTAGCACCTTAGAGCCTTCCTATGCCTCGTATCGCAATCTATACTTCCTAGTTTAGAAGAAGACAGCCCCTAGGGAGCTAAAGAAGTATCGGCTAATCAACGCTATATAGAAGTTTAATATAGTTACGATTAGAGATGCTAATCTTCCTCCGGAGACTAATAGGTTCTTAGAAGCCTTTGCTAACTATATAGTAGCCTCGCTAGTTAATATGTTCTCGGGCTACGACTAGATACCTCTCTACCCTAATAGCCGGGACCTTACTAGTTTCGAGACACCTCTTAGGCTATATAGACAAACTACCCTTCCCTAAGGGGCAACCAACTCCGTAGCCTAGTTTGTTCGTATTATGAACTAAGTCCTCGCGGCCTATATCTCCTATGTAGCGATGCCTTTCCTCGACGACATCGGCATTAAGGGCCCTAAAACTAGGTACGATAATAAAGAAGTAGAGCCTAGCATCCGTAGGTTCTTTCTCGAATACATTTAGAACCTCGATAGTGTCCTCTACGACCTAGAGCGAGCTAACCTAACGGTGTATAGGGAGAAGCTTTAGCTCCTATATAAACGAATGAATATTGTCGGGTTTATAACTAATAAGAACGGCCGCTATTCTAACAATGCACGGGTCCTAAAGATTGTTTCCTAGCCAGACCCTACCTATTAGAAAGATGTCCGGATCTGGCTTAGAGTAGTCTCCTACTTCCGCATCTAGGTCGAAAACTTTGCGTTAGTATATAAGCCTCTATACGCCTTGCTTAAGAAGGATGTAGAGTTTATATAGACCTCCGTTTACTAAGCCGCTAAGGACAAGGTTACTAAGGCGCTTGTTAGCGCGCCTACGCTTACCTCTATTAACTACTCGGAAGGCGTAGGTCTACTAATTGTTGCTATCGACTCGAGCGGGGAAGGCTACGGCGAGATACTAATGCAGTATAATCGTAAGGAGCCCTCCTTACGTTACCCTGTCTGGTACGAGTCCGGTCTATAGAAACCTATCGAAGCCCGATACGATACTAGCAAGCGAGAGTGCCTTAGTGTCTATAAGGCTCTTAAGAAGTTCCGACCTTAGCTCTTTAGAATGTTCTTTCGCCTAGAAGTCGACGCTTAGACGCTAGTCTATTAACTTAACCGTATAGCCTCCGACCTACCTAACTCTGCGATAGCTCGGTAGGTTGCCTAGATCTATTTGTTTAATTTCGACGTCTTCCATGTTCCTAGCAAGAAGTATACTAGGCCGGATAGCCTTTCTAGAAGGCCTACTATAGAAGAGGATATCGCCGAGATAATAGAAGAAGAGGATGTCGACGCGGTTATTAACCGCACCTTCTTTACTGCCTTCTATATTAATGCTATGCCGGTGATTACTAGGCCTACTACCGACGACTAACCTAGTAACTAGCCTAACGAAGACCCTGCTACTAACGACGAGGGCTAGGACGATGCTAAGGCGGGCGAACTAGGTAGGAATAATATCCTTAATAGGGTCTACTCCGACGACTCCTATAACATCGCCTACTTCCTTACCTATACGAAGAGAGCTCCCGGTCTGTTAAAGAGTTAATACCGTCGTATTATCCGCTATTCTCGGAGGTTCCTTGTTAAGGATCGCATCCTTTAGCGATAGGCTATAGTTAATGCACCGCTCTAGCGTATTATTAACGATCTAGCAGCCCGATAAGAAATCCTTCGTTCCGTTTACGATAAGCTCGGCTATCGGGCGGCGGAGGGCACCTTCGATATCCTTCGTCGACGCTACTAGTAGGACGGCGTATAGGCTAATGTCTCCCGCTACTACAAGAGCTGTCCTAAGTGCAACTTTAGGAATAGCTACCGGCGTCTAGGAGAGCTGCGTATCCCTACTGCCTAGTTAGTTAGGGAGCGGTAGTATAGCGATAGGGTCTATCTTAGCCGCAACAATAGCCTATATATTATTCGAGAGGGTCTTTCTCGATAGCCGGAGGCCTATTATTTCTATAAGGGTTGCGGTGCCATTAATGCCCGTAATATAGCTACCTTCCTGTTTAAGGATCTGTTTTACCGCTAGGGAACACCTTACGAGATTATCTTAGACAACGCTACGAACAACATAGCTAAGGAGGTTTAAGCGCTACTTGTTTCGTACGGGGCTAAGAACGTTCGCATCTCCCCGTACTATCCCTAGTCGAATACTATTATTAAGCGCGGCTATCGGTCGTTAATTAATACCCTATCCAAGATAACTAATAGTAGCGACAGATTAGTTCCTATTTCTACCCGCGTCCTAGCCCTTCTCTAGGCGGACCGAACTACTATTGTCGATACGACTAGACTTACACTAGCGGAACTTATAATTAGGAGGGACGCCGTTCTTCCTATTGAATTGTCCTACCGCACGTACGGCGTTTACGATTAGGGGTCTGTTCGTACTAGGGTAGATCTTCTTACCCTACGGGCTAAGGCTCTTAAGGATATAACTACGACTTCTTAGGAGGGTCTTACTCGATAACGTCGCCTTCGGGAGGAAGCTAAGCAGTATTTTAATAACTATAATGCTGTTGATTAGGAACCTCTAAAGGTTGGCGATATAGTCCTTCTATACCGGTCCGAACTAGAGTATAGTTACTCCTATAAGCTAGCCTTCAAGTGGAAGGGTCCTTATAGAGTAAAGGAGGTCCTTTACTCGGGTTCCGCATACCTTCTTTAGGAGCTAGATAGTGCTACCTTAAAGCACTCTTACCCTTAGGCTAATCTAAAGAAGATCGTTAAGTTACGCGAACCTGCCCGCCCTCCGCCGACCGAGGAGGAAGTTAGTGCCTCTATAGACCCTCTACCGTCCTTAGATGCCTATCGGGAGGAGGATCCTACCGCTATTATAGATCCTATTCTGCCTAAGAACTATACCTATCCCTAGATTCCTCTTAGTAAGCTATTAGGAATAACTTAAGAACAAAGGGAGGGTTATATACGGATTAACTATATATAGAGCGTTTCCGATATTGATTCCGATTCTAATAGTAAACTAGACTTCTAGCTATCTGACTCTGACTCCGAGGAACCTGACTAGTCTAGCGATAAAGACCGCTTAGAATCATAGCTAGACGACCCCGAGACTAAATAATTGCTTACTCTTCCTTACCTCTGTCTGCCTCTACTACGTTGCTTCCTTACTCTTATCGATCGTTCTCCGCGCTATTAATGCAGTGCCGCCCTATACCTTTAGTCCTTACCTATTGTCTGTTCCTGCTAATGTTTATGCTCTCGTTTATTGCTTTTGGTTTATCCTGTTGTTATCTTTTGCTTTTACCTTTACCTTCGATTGATGTTGCTATAACTTTATTCCTTCGCTCTTGTTTCCTTAGATAGAACTATACGAGGCGTATTTTCCTAATAATACCCCGGGGGTAGCATTAGGAAGATAGCCGAACCTAACCCCTCTACCCTTCTAGGACTACTTCCCTCTAGATTCCTAGTCTCTAGCAACCGCCCTTAGGTAGCAACGATAATAAGATACTCCGCTAGAGAAGATTGTTCCTGCCCTAATTAGCATTAGTTACGTAGGACACTAAGAAAGGGAGGATCCCTCTCCCTTCCTAGCTCTTAGATAGACGTAGCAACCTAGGCCTATAGCCTCTAAGAATAGGGACCTTAGGCCGCTAAGCTTAGTGTCTAGAAGAAAGAAGAACGCACGGGCTACGTTTACATACCTGCTACTGCGAAAGGTAATGCTGCATCTATAACGATATTGCTATAGGCTAATACAAGCTACGCTAGGCCTAGGCGATTTGCTCCTAGTTACCGAGCATCTCTAGAGAAAAGCTAATCTACCCCGGGGGTGTCATTAGTCCCGCTAGCCTTACTACTATAGATTACTACTAGGTACTCGAACTGACTAGTTACATTTCGAGTGCGCGGGAATCTACGAAAGCTAGAGGTTAACAAAGGCGCGTAGTCGCTACTAGCAATTAGCTAGATCGATTGTTAAACTTTAGCCGCCCTACTAACAAAGGAGTCTCGTATATAGCTTTACTTTTTAGGGTCTATATATAATCGTCATCCGTTTGCTTTACCGGAATATACGGACTACGCTACCTTCGCACCCTATTTAAGGCGAGCCTTCTAAGCCCTTTCTTCTACTCGAACACTAACTAACTTACTACCGCCTACCCCCCCCCCTCTTCTATCTAAACCCTTCAATTATTATTAACAAGCTACGAACGTTTTTGTAAGCTCGTTACTAACTCCTTTCCGCTCCGGTCGACTAAGATGTCTTCCGGCGCCCTAAATCCGCTAGGCGCTAGCAGCAGCGGCAACCTACGAGCCTTAAACCTAGGCGCACTAGTCCCGATCGAAGCCCTATCCGATAGCGCCTTAGCTGCTGTAACTAGCCTCGAGCACTGCTTCTAGATCGTTACCGCCCTTAAAGATCCTTAAGAGAAGATCTAGAACGCTCGCACCCTGCTACGCGTTATCGATAGGAACATTAAGAAGGCTACTATCTTAGTTGCGTACGGTATAAACAACTTGCGTTAGTCTATCGGTAAGCGTATCTTTAAGCGCGAGGTTCTTAACGATATAGATATTAAATAAGCCTTTCCTATCGTCTATAGCCTCGAGACTGCCGGCACCTAGATTCGTTTACGCTTTAAGACCCTCGACTAGGCCTTCGAATATTAGGGAGGACTAAGCAGTCTTCCTAAGAGCCTTATTAACTTCGCCTACGGTAGACAAGAGCGTACAAAGCAGGTCTCTTCGTTCGTTAATAAGTATAAGGTCCGTCGTTAAGGCGCCGAGCACCTTTCCCGTACTATAATCTATCGTATATCTACCGCTAGTAAGAAGGTAGGCAAGCAGTCGCTCAACTTGTCCTTTGCGCTTAACGACTTTACGACATCCTATTAGAAGCGGCACTACGATGCAATTGTCTAGGTCGATCTCAACGTATAGATAACTAAGGATCTACTAAAAGAGAAGGGCTGTCGCATTAATAGTGTAGGCTTTATTGTTAAAGGTTAAGAGGCTCCTATCGTTAATGTCCTTAAACGTAAGGCTCTTCGCCTAGAAATAGAGGCCGATACGGCTGCTAGTCTCGCGCTCGCTACGGAGATATAGGCTTAAGACCGTCGCTCGACCCGTAACCGTAAGGTCCCTTAGGAAGTTAAAGACGAGCGCGCTAAGGCCGAAGTAGCGCGTAAGAAGGCATTGCATACTCGCTAGGCCCTCCGTAAGGCTACTAAGAAGTATAGCGCCCCTTCTAGTACTAACTATAGTACTAACTATAGTGACTCGGATATTAATATGCTAGATACACTACTAGAAGATGTCTCCTCCGAAGGCTCCTTTAGCGAGCGTAGAGATAGAGGGCTCTCGCCGATCCTATTAACTAAGAATATCTATAGTTCTTGTAAGGGCGACTCTATTGCGTACCTTATTACTGAGATCGATATAGTTCCTAAAGCCGTAATAGGCGAAGCTTCTGCCGCCCTCTCTATCTGTTAATAGCTCGACGACCTTAGTAAGCTAGGAGAAGAGCCGTTCTCTATATGTGCTAACTATATTAAGAAGGCCGCTAAGGTCTGTAGTCTCTATGCTAGTACTAAGGCGAGTGTCCTCGTCGGTCGCCTATTAAAAATTGGTCGTAAGGTTCCTAATCTAGACGCCTTCGCTACCCTTAAGGCTAATTAGGCCTATACTAACTAGTTTCCTAGACGCCCTGTTGCCGCCCCGATATCTCTAGGACTCTACGCGTTCAACCCTACTAGTACTATTACTCGCGCCCTTACGCTAACAGATCGCTAGAGTAAGTTCGTTACCGGCATCCTTAGCTAAGGCACTTCCTTCGACCGCTTTCGCTAGACTAGTAATGCTATCTTCCCTTAAGTCTTTAGTTAGTTATAAGAGCCTCGTAGAGTATATCTTCCTTTCCTTATCGACCTAATATAGGAGGAGTTTAAAATGTACCTTTAGTATATGCGTGCGATGCCTAAGTCTAAGCAAGAAGGCCGTAATATCCTTTAAACTTATAGTGTAAGCAACTAAATCGTCCGCTAGTATCCTGCCCTGTAGCTCTTGGCTGTCGCCCTTCGACCTAATTACGTATACGAGCTTATCTCCGTCCCTAAGCCTGCTAAGTTCTTTAAGGTTAGCGGTACTTACGAAAACTGTCCTTCTAAGGAGTCTGCTCGTCTCGGATAAGATATAGTTAAGCTCGTAGCTAGCGAGGGTGCTAGTTACCTACGTATTAAGGTCTGCCTTATGTCTAAGGATAAGACTAGCTGCTCTACTATTGTCGAAGGCATGCATTAGCCCGAGGTCTTTGCGAACTAGGTTAAGAAGCTTAAGGCTCGTAGCCTAGTCCTACTAAGCAAGATCGGTAAGATTACTAACAAGCACCTTACCGACGACGACCTCGACTATATGTTCGATAGTTAGCCTAATAGTAAGGGGCGCAAAGCAGAGTAGATCCTCAACCCTCTAAAGGAGTGCGAGGTCTCTATTTAGATGCTATACCTGCTATATAGTAATCTAAAGACTAAGAGTAACCGTATATTAATTGACCTAGGCTACTCTCGCGTTATTAACGGCACTAAGGTTAAGGGCTACGAGAACTTAACAGTCTCTTAGGTTGCTAAAGTACACCGCAATCTAACCGCCCTCCTAGCCTCTAACTCCTTCGTACTATTCGCTTTCCCTACGGCTATCTTAGTCGAAGGCCTCGGCTATATCTCCGACGCTCTAGTTAGTAGGATTCCTTAGTTAAGTTACGTTGTTTAGAACGAAGTTGAACAGATCCTCTAGCTTAATAACGAGGGACTTAAGGAATATCTGCACGATTAGGAGAAGGCTGCGACGGAAAAGGCTATTAACCTCCTCGTTAATTAAGCTTTCTACGAGGGATAGTACTTCGGTGCTAACAGCTTTAACGTATGCGGAGGAGATTTCGAGAGCCGACTAGCAGATGAGGTTATTGCTAGTAAGGATTACGGCGCGTTAAAGCAACAGTAAGTCTGTATAGTGTTGCTTAGGAAGTTGTTTTTGCATAATTATAGTATCTAGGATTAATACTACCCCGGGGGTGTTATTGCGGAGTTCTAAGAATAGCCTTAGCTAAGAGCGCTAAGGATGCATATATGTTTGTTTTAAGCGCGCATAATGTGAAACGTGTCTAGTTAGACACGAAGAAAGGGAGGGATATTGGCTAGTAACCGGCCCTATACCTATAGGCTAGTTTTGAGCCTATATAAGAGGCCTCCTTCTATAGAGTAGACAGATTATCAACCTCGTATAGTACATTATTTATGTTATACTTCTACAATGCCTATATTGCAGGGCTCTAGTTATTAGCCTAAGCGACAGTCTCGTTATCCTATCTTGCTAAACATAGCTGCCTATATTGCTATAGGTCATGTTACCCTCGGTAGCCTGTACTATTGCTACGAGTAGTAGTAGTAGTATTGGTTTCCGTCCTTTACTGTTTAGAAGCCTTAATTCTGCTTCTATTATAGTAACAACCTCTTTAACCTCTGCCTTACTCCGAGCCTAGTAAATGGCTCTTTTGAATAGTCTCTAGACTATAGGGTACTTAAATTTAGGAAAGTGTCGAAGGAAGGTCTCTTTAGCGTACCGCTAGCAGAGATATAGTCGTATTTCCTCGTCCTCGTCGAAGGACAGTCGAATAGCCGCTTGTTCTTATACCGAGTCGTTAGTTATAGCTAACTTCGGCTTCTAGCGAGGGCACTACCGCTTTAGGACTCGGAAAGCAGCTTGCTAAAGCCTCGCACGCTGTGTTTGTAGCAATATATATACTGCTAGCATCCAACTTTCGAATCTATTACGGATATACACTATAAAGAGATGCTAGCCTATATTAGTAGTCTTATACGTTGCGTCGTAGAGAAATAACTAATCCTAGATTAGTCGCTGCTTTGCGGTTCCTATAGCCTAATTATATAAGCGGGGTAGTAGTAGTAGTAGTGCACTTACATCTCCTACTAATCTATTATCTAATAACTGCCTCTGCTAATCCGCCTGCTATACAATACCCTTATAAAGGCGCCCTTCTATAGTTGCTAATACAGCTTTATACTATAACTAAGCGCCGTTTACTAGATTAGTTAATAGCGATAGCTCGTTATATAGGTTCTCGAGTTAGAGGGAGATATTGCCCTTCTTAGTAAAGGTTACCTTCTTCTTGTCCTTCTTCTTAGACCATTTTATTACACCTTCCTTTATACGATAGCCTCTAATAACGGCAAAGCGGTTAGCGTTACGACCTTCCTTTATTAGATAGAATATACGAGCTATATTATAGTCGTATTAGTCTATTAAGTACTCGAGAACGACCTTTAAGCCGTTACTAGCACCTCGTACGTCCTACTTACTATTAGCTTCTAACTCGACTTAAATAGGCCTCCGCTATCGACTCGAGAGGCAACCCTACTAAACTTACTATATAATCTATCGAATAGTAATATAGCGAGCCCGCCTCGGTAGAAGGATCGGGCGACGACGAAGCGACCTTGTATATATACGGCTCTCTATAGTTCTTCGAGCGATATATAGCAATTACTATATACGTCGCATTACATCCTTCCTTATAATACTCTACCTTCCGAATACTATCTAGCACCTCGCGTAGCCGATTAGCATCCTGCTAACAACGATAATAGTATATTGTCCGCTATATTAAGCTATCCTTATGCCTCTCCTATAGCTTCTAGTACTAGAAGTTACTAGCAAATGGCTATACCTTGTTGTATTTATCGGCGTCTAAGAACAGGCTATTTAAGGGTGGATTAAAGAGCTAAGAACGCAGTAATATATCGAGACAAGAGGGGATTAGATAGGCTATTGTAATAGTTAGAAAGAGCGTAGAAATTGGCCTACCTACATGCCTATAATAACACCTTATATATAGCTATATAGCTGATTTTTCGTCGATATAACGACTTCCTACTACGATATAAAGTCGGCGACTAATGGATCCTCGGCATGCCTAATTTAGCTAGCAAAAATAGCTATATCTCGATTTATTAATCGACTCTACTACTACCGAGTATATCCGTAAATGTAAGTAATCTACTACAACCCTTGCACGCTAAAAGTCTGCTACATCTAACACCATCTTAGCCGGAGATAAATGAAGGTGTAAGTATATTAACTAAGACAAGGGCATAAATCGCGCCGCTACGGCGGCTAGGTTTGCAAGGCCGCTTAACTACTTCTATAGTTGTTTATAGGCTATATGTAGACCGCTAAGAGGTCTATATTCGAGCCAATTTCAAGCCTTGTAATCGCATAGTATAGGCCTATAAATAAGGAGCTGCAATAAAGCTAAACTAGACCTTATCTAGCGGCTATTCCTATTTCTTGTTTATCGACCTATTCTACCTCTTCCTCGCGTTACGTATCGCGCTTGTTTTAACCTTACTATCGCTAATTCTACGCTCTTTGTAATAGCTAAGCCGTCGTACGCTAAACACCTATCTCCTAAGAATATTAAGTTGTTACTTAGTAAGCTAGAAGTAGAGCGGCCGGTACGTATAGACCGTATTATAGCTAAGTAGGTTGTAACTAAGTAGATTGTTATAGTTTAAGAGCCCGTTTCTACTAAATCTATACGATCGAAGGCGCCTATTCTTCTACCCTATAGGTAGTAAGAACGGTATTTATCGAGTAGAAGGCTTCGAATACGATAAATACCGCTATTTTGTATCGAATATATAGTATTGCAAAGATCGACCTAGGAAGTTATTAGTAGACCGCGAGAATAACCGCTTATATCGACGATTAAGCCTTAAATATCGTATTTATAAGCGCTATATAGACTACGATCGCGTAGACCGTAAACAGCGCGCTTCTAAGGCTTCTAAGGATATAGTTGTTACTAAGCCTAGTAGATAGCGTATTGCGCGAACGAAGCCCTTAGACGACTACTATACGAAGTTGTCTATTATTAAGGTATACGAGAAGCGGCCTAAGGCCTATTTAGGCTAGTTCCTCGACAACTGCGTACCGAAGGCTCTGCCTGCCAATTTAACGGTTATTAGGCCGCTCTACGTCGAGCTAGAATCGCTAAAGGAAGGTTATTCGCATAGTCTCGAGTTTGTAGATAGATTAGCGACTAACGACGGTATAAAGGCCGTTTAGAAGGATCTACTAGATTCTCGAGCTAGTTAGTATTATTAAGTGAGTTCTTAGCGCTAAATACTAACTATTCTAGTAGGCTTAATAACTATCGCTTAATTAGTTAGCGATATAAGACGACCTAAATAGTAGCAAGTATAGTACGACGCTAGAGCCGTTATTATTACTCGAGACCGTATTAGCAGCGCTAACCGCGAAGCCCTAAAGCGTATAAGCGACAAGCGAAGAGATAGTGTTAAACTAGATAGTAAGAAACAGCTTTAGTAGGCATACGAGTACTTATAGGCCAAATTCAGTAGTAGAAGTAGCTACGTAGAGATAATTTAGTCTCGTAGAAGTAATAGAAAGCTATATAGAGGTCTTGTATAGGTAGCGGACTAGCAACTTCGAGCCCTTCGTAACTATAGTCCTTTATTCTTGCTAGACTCAACCTATTGTACAAACAAGCTTAAATAGCTATTATCGACAATCTATATACGCAATAGCTATTTAGAGTAGCTTCTAGCGGCTTACTTCCTTATAGACTATAAACAAGCATACCTAATTAAGAAGGCTATTTCTAGGCTCGAAGAAATAGCTAAATTAGACTACAATCGTAAGGTTAGCGAATACAATAGATATAGGAAGCACTTCTACGTTAACGACGGCTGTTCTAGTAAAGCTAAGGATTAAGACGATTTGAACTAGACTAAATAGTCTTCTTAGATAGCGCTATAGTCGATTACTAATAACTTAGCAAGTAAGCAACTCGGTATAGCTAAAGGCCTCTTAGATAGCGGTATTGTTTAACGCCTCTACTAACGTTACCTTATTAAAACCCTCGAGAAGCACTTTAAGCGCTTTCCGGCTGTTTTAAAGGCAATAAACAAGGCTCTGTTTATTACTCGAGACTAAGAAGAATGCTAACACTTTATTAACTAGGCAATAGTAGCCTTTAAGTCCTATAAGAATACGGTTATAGCCGCCGAAGAGTTAGCTTATCTAAAGGCAAATTAGAAGGCTTCCGAAAGCGATCGCTAGGCGACTTAGTTACGACTCGGAGACCCGATTTTAATAGCCGTTCGCACTACTAGCCTACTCGAGGGCTATTACGCACACTTAAAGCGCCGAGATAAGCGTTAGATGCGTAAATAGAGCTTGCGAGGTACGTATTCTTCCTATTCTTATAGTGCTATCGGAATTTATATAAAAAGCTATAGTTTTTAGAATAGGGAAATTCCTTAGAATAGGCTAGCTTTTAGCCTTCTATATTATTCTTAGACTTCTACGGCTTCTTGTCTCTTCTATACAATAATAACTAACTGTTCTAGGTACCGTCCTATACGTCGTTTAGCTTAATAGCTACATCCGCGACCGAGTCCGTTAAAATAGCGTAGTTAAGAAGTATAGATAGCTTCTAATATAGCGGCAAAGCAAGACAATCGAATTTCGGCGCTTACCTCTCGCAATATAGAAGAAGTTAGCAGATTAGCTTATATAGTGCTATACCGATATTAACAACTATAAGCCTACCTAGCGGATAGCACTACCGGCTCCCTATAACAACGTATATAGTAAATGCTTCTGCTACTTCTAGCATAGCTATTACCTACCTTGTAAGTATATTTAGCGCTTCTATATCGAGGGAACGAGTATCCTTATACTAGAACGTTGCCGGCTCTATATTAATCGCTTCTAAGGTCTAAATAGCAATCTAATCTACCCTAAATAGTACTAGACTAAGCTAGTTATAGACGACGACAATTAGTTAAGCCTAGCAGGTGCTATTAAGGTCTATAAGGCACTAGGAGTGTTACGGAAGCGCTAAGTAAAGGACTACTTCTATTCTATATAAGAATTAGTCTCGTAGGCCTTCTTCCGGTTCTACGACTCGTAGGCTTCTAACCTAACCGACGCTTAGCAATATAAGGCCCTTCTATAGTAGGTTACTAACTACGCTTTAATAAGCTATAACTTAATTAACGCGTATATACAATAGTAGTTTAATAACGGCTATTAAGAGGCCGAGTTAATACCTCGTCGGGCCGCTAAATAGCGAGGTATAGACGATAGGCTATTACGCTAACCTGTCTTCCGGTTAAAGCTATTATTAATACCCGACTTAGCTATAGCTGCTTCTAAAGGTTTAGAGGTTAGTAAAGCAATAATAAAGCCTCCGATTAGGCCTCGTATCTTAGTCGATAGCTATACGCTATAGGTTTATAGTCTATCTAACTACTATAGTATTATAGAGGTTAGCGACCTACTTATTTAGTCGGACAATAGAAGCGATAGTAGCAACAACGACGCTCTATATAACGACAACAACGACGCTCCGTATAACGACCTATTCGATAGCCTATCGGATACAGACCTTCTTCTTTAATCTACGCTAATTAGTCGATTGCCGCTATCTTTACTAAAAGGCGCTAGTAAAAGTAATTAATACGATAACGACGAGGCATTAAGGCATTAGTCGTCGTTACTATCCTTACTAGACGATTTGCCTTTACTAAGCAGTCTGTTTCTACTATCTATAGTAGAGCTACTACTATTTATAGCACTATCTATAGCTTTATATTTATTACCTGTTCTATTATATACTAGTAAGGAAACTTTACTTAATCTACTACAGCTATTAGGTAGCTCTTATAAGCCTCGTCGTCGTTAGAAGCCCTTAATTAGTAAGCTAGTAATACCTTTAAAACGCGCCCGCGGAAGATTATATATAGGTATACTAGGTTTACTACCCTATATAGATTAATCCTCTCGTAAGCTATTTCCTATACTAATTAGACTACTAAAACGACGGATCTAAAGAGGAGTTGTCGCTTCTAAGCGGTAGCAATAGTGCTACTAAGGTGTAGTCGTAGACTTAGTCGTTTTCGAGCGATTACGGGTATTCGGAATAGTAGAAATCCGAGGTAATTGGCTTTTATAGGGGTGATTTGCAACACCCCGATTTGTACACTAATTTACGTGGTTTTAGGGCACTTTGCAGGGTCGCATAGAACCCTCGAGGTGCATATAATTTACTTTCTTGGTTGATCTACTCGCACCTGATGAATGACTACGAAGGCTTGGCAGGGGCACCATGAGTACAGACAGGAGTTGGAGCAGCGATGTCCTGGTCAAACTATTTTGATTAGCCAATGTCCATTCACTCAGCGTCCGAGCCGCGGAAGTGCAATTATTCTAGACTTCATGGGCCAGCGGATGCCGTGCCGCAGCCTCTTCCTTCAACAACATCTCCTTCGCGAAAGATCTCCATCATCTATTTGCACGCACTTCCACGAGGCAACCAGCCGGCACGTCCTCGCGAGGAGTGTGCCGCATGCCGGCCGACATGAACAGCATCACCGCGTAGTCTGGCTGGCTTGGATATCCCACGTAGAATCTCGGCGGCGGCGGCGGCGGCGGCGGCGGCGGCGGCGGTGGCGGAAGCCGAAACATGCGGGATACGAGGTGGCTATTCGTATTGCTGTTTGGTCTTCTGCACCGCCTCTGCCCGCACGCGCATGCGCATGCGCATGGCCAACATGCGCTCACAAATGGCTCCATGTCCTCCACCTCCACCTCCACCTCCACCTACGCGCCTACCTACACGGGGCCAGCCACGGGGTCCGGAAGCGCATATGCATCGGCGTGCAATGAAGCAAAACAGCGCTGGGCGGCGAACGGCGATATGACGTTTGTTTCGACCTCCGTGTACAACAGCACGACAACAGCAGTCTTTGCCTCGACGCTGTACACGACCATTACATCTCTCGGCGACAATGCCACTCCGTATACGCTCTGCGATGGCTTCCCTCGCATCAATGCCAGCCGAACCGTCACCTCGATCGAAATCCCACACACACTCACTCAGACAGTCGCTGTGACGACTTCGATTCCGACGCCGATTCCTCAGCCAAATTGCACAATCGGACCAGCCGACTGCTCGTCTTTGCTCACTGCTTGGCGGGCAGCGTCTGCAGCATTTCAGAGCTTCTCAGCCACAGGCCCAACCGCTACACCACCGCCATATGTCCCATCCCCAATATGCGGCTCTGCCACCGTTGCACCTCAATCTGTGGCGGTGGATGACCCTCTCTGTGTCATGAATGCGGCTTCTGTCCAACTCCTATACTGGCCAGTGCAGACCGTGACGCCTTGCGATGCTTGCCATCGCAGTCTGAGTGACTGCCCGACAACCACTGCAGGCCCTACCATATCTGGCAAACCCAATACCATCGTCTGGCGCAACCAGACGTTGACAAGTCCTACGGCATACATTGCTTTCGAAGGATCCTGGGCCTACACCGTTGGCGAGACCACTCATACCACTCCTCAGACCATCGTCATCCCTCAAGATCCTGCTTCCGTTTCCACCTACTGTGGTAAGCCTGGAGGGGGCTACAGTCCACCGAAGAGCGTCAATTACAACAACTTCAACAGTCCAATTCCCGCGGATGTGTATCGATGCCAGCCAAGCTGCTTCACCAACCCACTGCCATGGTCAGCGCAACCTGTCCCATTTACATACACCGATACCATCGACGGCAGTGCAACTACTATCGTCGGGACACACAGTTCTTTAGTGTCGCTTGCTACGGAGAATCTATGTTCCACCATCTGGAATGACTACGCACCAGTGCTCTCAATCCCCGAAGCCTTCAAAACGATCAATCCTGCTGGCTATGTGGATATGTTTGGCGTGCCAAGTGTATGCCGCTTCATTTTCGACGAAGATGCTGTACTATTCGATCCTCCCATCGCACTCACGGAAGTTGATATGGCTGCGAGGCCCACATTACCGCGTGGCAACAGTGCTGAGCCGACTCCTACGGAAACATATACTATGCCCAATGCTCCTACGGTTCCGACTGCGCCGACCGCCAACCAGCCGACCGTGCCAACAAGAACAGCTGTAGCCGTTGCGGAGAGTCAAGTCGCTCCTTCGAACGTTCAACCTCTGCCCTACCCTCCTGATTCTCAAAATGCGGGTCAGCCTCCGCCAACGAAGACATCGCCAAGTGTGGCGGATATTATCGCTTCAGTCATGGGAATGACGGCGCCAAACAATGGAAGACCGGGCACGGCAGTGACACTGGCGTACGCGACGGATGGATCTGCTATTGTCGTGAATGGTGCGACTGCGTCTTTGGGAAATGAAAATCACAATGCTGGCAACTCTGTTGTACGCTCTGGTACTATCTCCGTCGCTGGAACCTCCTATCCATGGTCCAAGGTCGGCTCCTCAGTCATCATCGACGGCCAATCACTATCTCCTGGTGCAAGAATCGCTGTCAATGGACAGACCATCAGCTTAGTAGGCGATTCACACGTCGTCGCCATCTCAGGAGATGTCACGTCGACTATGAATCTGGAAGCAACAGCCACAAGCGCTCTCAGCGAGGGTTCGGGAGGCGTGATTACCGGAGGGAGCAATACACTGAGCTATACGACATCAGGAGGCGTGTTAGTCATCGGCGGACACACGTTGACGCCCGGAGAGACCATCACACTTGGTGCCGAGTCCTCTACCCCAACAGCGAGTACAACTCAGCACACTTCTTCGAGAAGTAATACGGCTGCGCATTCAACGGCCACTACGACATCTGGATCATCAAAAGCCGAAAGTTCTGGGATTTGGCGCATTTTGCTGACGGCTTTGCTCATCATGATAGCTTTGTTCGCTGCATGGTAGGATAGACATATACCACTGATGATAATATGTAATGTAATGAAAACCGTGTCGAAAAACTGTGTCTTTAGGCCTCGATCATCGTGATTGCATTTAGCTTCTATCGTCGGCGAACCTCTTCCGCCGCCTCGAGCATTATTTCTAATGCCATCTCCGGTAGAACCCACGGAACGATCGCAGCTATACCGTTGTCGAGACGGATATCATGCACGTGGTATGGTGAATCGATTCGCTGCCATCCAGCAATGGCCCACGCGCTGATGTGCTTCCGCAGAAACTTCTTCTTTGATCGGCCTTCCTCCTGTTAGTTCTCAACTTAAGCTTGTCGTAAGCTCAACATGGCACGTCGTCTTCTTCTGGATTGACGATTGTGCTCCTGATGCCAGCAGCACGCTGCCTTTGCCTTTGCTCCGCGGATCTGCTCGTCAATTTGCACAAAACAGGATAGCTTGCTCTTACGTCTCCTCAACGGCAGTGCGGACAGAAAGCCCAGCCTCGAGACTCCCAAGCTTATATACCGCCGATCTCTTCTACCCACTGGCTTTGCAAACCGACGAGCAAAAAAATCAATGTAGCTGCTGCTAGAGGCATCAGGTGTGCGGTCGATCTCTCTTTTCACAAGCTCCGCAACGATTGCAGACTTGTTGAACTGTAGAAATAGTGACTGAATCACAGTCAGACTCGTCGTGGTCTTTCCAAATCCAGAAAGGTTGGCACACACTCCTCCACGGATCTCCAGCAGGGTCAAGAATATCAAATACACCGATCGGGTGGTGCGCAAAGTTCAAGCTGCGGTGTGATTGGATTGAATGAAGAGAGGTCAAGATTGAGTGCTACTGCTATGCATTGCTTACACGGATATCTCGTGCGAAGGGCTGGTAGTCTCCAGCGGAGTAGTGTCCGGATCAGAGGACCATGGCCTTCACCGGTCGAATTTCATCGTACTCCAGAAAGATCCTTGCATCTTGCGAACACGACCGAATTTTTGTCTGGTGGCCCAATCCTGTCCGGACACATGCCACCACTCCGTCGGTTGTAGAGGCCTTCAGATCAGCGCGGTCCTACAGTGTAGCAGGTGAATAATGTAGATCTCAGTGCTGCGATGTTTCGTTGTAAGTAACTCCTATGTTGAGCGAAATCTTCACGATTTGCAACGCCAACTCTACTGCTGATCTGGCTTGGACAGGACTGTTGGTCTCTGAAAGTGGGTGGCGATGACACCACTCCGTGATCCGAAGCAGCGGAATTTCGCTCCACGAGTATCCCTGCGAAGAAGCAAGCAACTTGAAGCAAGTAAGCGTGGAGTGTTCGAGCTTCTGCCGAGCTGAGTTGGACGAGGACTGTATCTCAGTGAAGGAATGATCAACTGCTAGATGAGCTCGGCCAGTTCCAATGGTCCATGGTCTTGATGCTGATTCGTGCCTTGGGCCTAGTACTTGGTCGAGTGAAGAAGCGCGAAGTGAGAAAGTTAGGCAAGGTCACCGGAGGAGTGGATGCACTCTAGCGACAGTAGCATTGGCACGGCGGGTGTAGCGCAACATATGATGTATGGAAGTTCCAGCGACATGAGACGAAGCAGGGAAAAATGTTGAATTGAATTTTGTTACAAGTCTACACTCAATTGTCAGCGCTATAAAATCACAAAAGAAATTTTTTTTTTCCTTCCGTATACCAAACTACACCACTCTTGCAACATACGTGAATCGAATTGTACATCTTCTCAGATCGCAGAATCAAGAAGCTCTTCCTCACTCCCTTGATCGTCACCTTGATCCCAATTTTTCCATTCTTCTTCGTCGTATTCTGCCTCGGCCTCTTCTGCTTCTTCTTGAGATGGATACAGATCCGGATCGACCTCGATTTCCGTCCAGATATTGAGCCCGATCTTTGTTCCATTAAATGCAGGCAAGCCCGCATGCAACACATCTTGTCTTGGTGCACCCCAAGGATCCAGGTTCCTCCAAAAGAGTGCGTGGCCCGGGAAATTGAGAGTGGTGAGGGACTCTGCAGTGCAGTTGATACTCTTACACCATCTTGAGTCCAGGGTTTCAGTATCGAGCTGGATGCTAGGGAATTGAGTGCCACAGTTTGTACAATCAGCTTCGAGGATGGCGAAGAAGGTGGAGAAGCGGTTCCGCACATTCGCATTTGGTCGCGGGAACCAGTCGAAGTGAGCTTTGTATTCTTGGCCGGGTCGGTACGCTGTGACTTGCATATCCATTTGATCTAGATCTATATATCCTTGAAATTCCGCGGCTCGTTCGAGAACATGCATTACGACTGGGTCGCTCGACGGAAGGAATGCTGTGGAGCTTGTCCGGCCTGGAGAATCGGTTTGGGTGCCATTGGCGAGGCTGACTTGTGATTTGTGGAGAAGGGGTCTCCTGCGCTAGATGTCAGTCGCATATGCTAGCTGAGTACTCAAACGGGACATACGCAAGCTTGATTAGGTACTGTCTTTCTTCGTAGGAAACCAAGTCTTCCAGGTGCGCTATGAGTGGATCATATGACATGAACCGCACTTTTGGCGAAAATCTTTCCAGCTTAATTGGCGGCTTTGCTTGTCCATCAGATCTCCAGAAAGGTCTTATATCGATCAACTGTTGTATGCGATCAACTGGATGATACAGTGGCACAAGCAAAGCAAATATAGTTGCAAATAGCACCATCTGGAGCTGCCCTTGCTTGTCCATCCTGAATGGCCAGCACCTCTGTTTGTTCGTTTGATGGGGAGGTGGAGACTTCTGCTCTGCTATGGCGAACATTAGGTCCAATTGTAGTCCTACGTCGATAGGTACGCACCTCTGGGAGTACGCACCTCGTGTTTGATTTTACCAAGCACCCTGAATTCCTGCAGGCTTGAAATCGCCCCTGACTAGGCACGAGGTCGCACGATCAGCGGTCGACGCGCTTCAACTCGGGGTTCTTGCACCGTAGTAGAACAAGAGGTTGCCGCGTGGATGGAGCACGCAGATCAGGTCCACAACCAGGTGTTCATTGCCCAAAGGAACGCGTGCTACTCAATGCGGACGATGCGTTTGAAACGGCGAATGCAAGTAGAGAGCTGCTATGGGAGATGGTTAGCTATGGGTCGTCAGCGGGAACTTCGGCGCTCGTGACGTACCGAAAGAGCGGCAGTGAGTTGATTCGCACGGTTGGAGAAAGTGGCCGTGGGTACCCGCAGAGGTAACGTTATACGCAATGAGATTCTTCTTCACACACTGTCTCCTGCAATCTCCTTTCGCCAGTTGTCAGCTCCTGGAGTGCTTACTGTGGAAAGGATGCTTCAAGGAATGACAGGACGTCAACGATTCAACTCTAGGGGACACTGCACAATCTAACGCCGCGCGGTTATCCTAGAATCTGGCATGGTCGCAGTCTGAAGTATCTTTTTCAGACTTTCTTGCCCGGGTAAATCCCCAGTCGCTGCGAGGATACGGGATTTGATGTGCGCAGGTTGGTGAAGGGTTATGCGTGGAGCCCTGGGCATGTGATTACTACAGTGTAGGTACGGAGTACGACCCTGAGCAATGGAGCGATTTGATTCGTTATGCGGGGCAAGGAGGTTCAAAGAAGGTTTGGTACGGGAATTTGCCGCCAGGATTATCTTGAAGTGCACATGGGTCTTGGCTGTTCTTATCGCACGGAAACAAGCAATCTTCGGCAAGACATGTCTCTTCGCTGCTTGCCAAGCCAAGGCCGAATCGGGGCTCAAATGGCCGATGAGGATGGATCGGCCTCGATGCGCCCACTGGCCGTGATGCTGAAAACATCGAGGGGTCGAAGATACTCAGATCCTGCCACTACCGAGACGTATCAGGAATCGCAAAGTTCAGTGTCTACGCGTTCCACACTACTCCTGATTCGTAAGAGCGGTACATGTGTGAGGCTGTGAGTGAACGAGCTTGGCGCGATCGAAGCCTAATGAGCTTCAGGTCACGCCGATCAGCTGACTTTGATACGCTTCGATGACTTCTCGACACTTCATGAGCACACCGGCAGCCAGAGTCCGGACTTTCGTCTCTTCCGTGCTCCCTTCGACGACCAGTTGTCCACCTCCAGTGCGCTCAAACACGATTTGGATCCATTGCTGTGTTTCCATGAGCTGCTTCGGGTTTTCTGAAGCTAAGCGCTGAAAGCCACCATCCTCGGTGTTGATCTCAAGAATAGTGAGTACCGAAAACAATACTGCCTCCAGTATGCTGATGTCGGAAGCAGCTTTGACTCTCAGCGCAAGCAAGAGATCCCAGAATGCCGTAGTAAGCTCAGGAAGCTGCAATGTAGTAGGACCAGAGGCGTGAAGCAGCAGAGCCAGAGTCTTGAGGAAGGTTACCTGCACGAAAGGACTCGATGCGAATACTGAGCCTTGACCATATACCGCCAAGTCCTGTTGATATCGGCTGACCAGTGGGAAAAAGAACGATGTCGCGAAGACCTTCCCCAGCTGATTGGAGCTGGGCCTCCGCTTCGTGCGATTCTCTGACGTGAGTCGAGATGAGAATGTGCGGACCTTAACTGCGTTCAGATCGGAAGTGGCCTTATCTGCAGCGCTTAGGGCGAGTGGCTTGAGGAGTTGATGCTCGACTGAACTGCTCGCTGCCTCTAGACGCTTCACTGGAGAGGACTTGGCATCATAGATTGCGTGCAGCCTTCCTGTGAGCCTTTGGCTCGGGAACGAGTCACTCACCGACGGTGCTGGATTGAGCCCCACGTCCTGGACTCTGAGACCAGCAATCTCGCGACCAGCTAGTCCAAGGGCAGAGAGCATGATGCATCGCTGCGATAAGCTGTAGTCGCCCGTGAAAGCCTGACGGCTCAGCCATGGCGCCATCTTCGGAACGTTGCTGAGGAGTACAGCGATGACAGCTTGCAGTCTGAGCTCGTCGAAGTCATCCGTGTCAAAGGGGTCCTGTAAGTCGCAGAACATCAAGGCTAGCTCTTCCTCGTGATCGCGCACCTCGGCTCCAAAATTGAATTTGCGTCGGATCAGGCCAGCAGCATGCTTGATGCCAGTCTGGAACCTGTCAGGCTTCTCCGTATCACGCAGCATGCGCATCAGGTCGCGGATGTAAACTGGTGGTCGAGGCTTGTCGCGATTGACTAGCGTGGCATCTTCGTCGCTGTCTCCTGGGTCGTCATCCGGTTTGGCGTACGGCTTCAGATCGTCGTCATCGTGGTCACTATCATCGTCAAGCTCCGCCACTTTCTCCCCGACCACTTCCGTCTGCGCTGGCGGGGGGACTGGTCCGAACGTCTGCTTCCCGTTGATGATGGGCAGTCGTTCTGAGGGAACGTGCCTTTTCTTGGAATGCTTTGGCTTCGTTCCGACGTTCTCCATTTCTGGAAATTGCTTGAAGTCGTCCAAAGATCCCACGGGAGGTTCGATATTCACGAGATCGAGATACCACCTTGCTTCCTCGGTCTGCATGTCTTCCGTGCCAAAGTCCATCTTTGAGCCTTCCTTCTCAACCAGACTGGAAGTAGCTGTACCCACGATCATCCCAAGCCAACGTGCTCTTGAGTTGCTGCTATGAAGTCGATCACTTACGCCTTGCATGTGTCCAGATGATCTGGCAATCATCAAGACTGCGGTGGGTGAACGGCGATGCAAAGCACCTGCCACCACGAGCAATGCCTGAGCGAGACCTTCCTGCTGAATAATTGGGGCATGATGAATGAAGAGATGGTTACCAAATGAGGTCAGCAGTGTCTCGAAAAGAATTTTGAGATCGTCGGAGGCTTTCGTGGCAATCGCTGCAATGCATGCAGCCCGAATGGAAGTCGAGATCGTGCTATTCAGCGCAGGGTCGCAAAGATATGAGGTGAAAGCTTGCTTCGCGACCTCACTCGTGTCGATAAGCCAGCCCATCAAGCCGGCAGACGCACGCACATTCTTGGATCCGAATTCTGTCTCCTCATCTCCGCTCCTTGACATTGTACACAGGCGTTGGAGGACAGCTTCCACGAGCTGACGTACTGAATGCGTCGGCAGTCGAGCGAGCATAGAGGAGAAGTTCTTGTTCTGAATGCCCACCATCAGGGCTTTGGCAATAGACTGGTTGTAGCCGAGACTGAAGCTCCTCGACAGAAGTGTTGCCGCGGGCACGCTCGAATGCGGTGCGTCCAGCAGATTGACCATAGACGTACCAAGCCAGGCAGCATAATCGGAACCTTTGCTGAGCCATGTGATGCGCACCGTTTCATCGTGGTGCTGAAGTACATCTTCCGCTCGAGCGATCGTGGCAACCACCTTGCCCGAGCCGAGCAGAGTGACGAGTTCCTTCCATGCTAGTTGTCTTGTGACTGTGTCCGGGACTGCTTCCTTCAAGGCCGACCAAATCGTGTTGAGCGGAAGCTTTTCCGGGAGCACGAATGTCACGGTTTGTAGCAGTGCGTGCAGCGCGTGGGGACCGGGCACTGCCTGCTTGGTCGATGAAAGGGTGTCCGAAAGCAGTCTCGCCTGGGCCAGCAGCGCGCTGATTCCGGCAACATTCTGGAGACAAGCGCCGAGCTTCCTGCGCGAAGCGTGGTCGAGGCTATCAAAGTAGGTCGGGATCACGTGCGTCACGAGCGCGTGAATGATTTGGGCCTGCCGAGGACCAGGGGCGGCGAGGCTGAAGTCGTCGTCCAGCTTCAGGTGAGAATCAACATGGCCGCTGAGTCTTCCGAGAATATCGACTACAGTCTGTACATCAGGCTGACATTGCAGCGCCTGTATCATTCCTGCAGGCGTGCTGCATTCTTGGGTGTCTGCCGTGGGCGTGGTCGTGGTCGTGGTCGTGGTCGCAGCGGCTTGCGTCGGTTCGATGACATTTTCTCGTCGGCGCCGGCCTTGGAGGCTTGCCACAGCGGTCAGCAAGGCTTGCTCAGCGACGTCTTCTTTGCGGGCCCCCACTACTGCGCTCAGCACATCAGTCATGTCGCCTGCAGGACCCCATGCAACATGTATGTAGCATGTGTGTATGTATCATGTGGTGTGGTGTTCACATGCAAGCGCGTCAATTTCGTGGACTGCTTATCGATAAGAGCTGTTCTGTGCCACGACAACTTCACTGCATACCGAATGTGTACACTGTACAGTCATACAGTCCATACCTGGTCTACAGAGTGCCACTGCCATTTCGTTTCAAGGCGCACCCGACTCCGCATCTCCGCTCCGCCGGCGACGTTACCCTCCCACTGCCGTGCTTTGCGCTTCTAGCCACTATGGCGGCCACCATGCAGGCAGAGGCGGTCGCGCCTGTCACGAACGGCACCTCCACCCCGCGAGCTCGGTATGCATGGATGGACAAGATCCTCAGTCGATCGAGCCCAAATACAGATCCAGGCTGGGAAGCAGGCCAGGCGGTCATTGACACTCTCGAGCAATGGCGCATTTTGGTCATTGGTGCCGGTGGACTGGGCTGCGAGATCTTGAAGAACTTGGCGCTGAGCGGATTCAGGAACATCGACGTGATAGACATGGACACTATTGATGTGTCCAACCTGAATCGCCAGTTTCTCTTCCGCCACAGCGATGTGGGCAAGCCAAAGGCGACAGTCGCGGCCGACTTCGTCATGAAGCGCGTGCCAGGCTGCACCATCAACGCCTACGTGGGCAAGATCCAAGACAAAGACGACGATTACTACATGCAATTCAACAGCGTCATTTGTGGCCTGGACTCCATCGAAGCCCGTCGCTGGATCAACGCAACCTTGGTCGGAATGGTGGATATGGACAACCCGGACTCGCTCAAACCATTGATCGATGGAGGCACTGAGGGCTTCAAGGGTCAGTCGCGTGTCATCTTTCCCTCCATGACCTCGTGTATTGAGTGCCAGCTGGACATGCACGCTCCACGAGCCGCTGTGCCGCTCTGCACACTGGCCACCATTCCTCGCCAGCCGCAGCACTGTATCGAGTGGGCCCACATCATCAAGTGGGAAGAGGACCGCAAGGACATTACGCTGGACACTGATGACCCAGAGCATATTACTTGGCTGTACCAGACGGCATTGAAGCGAGCTCACGACTTTGGCATCCAGGGCGTCACGTACAGCATGACTCAGGGCGTTGTCAAGAACATCATTCCTGCCATCGCCTCCACCAATGCTATTATCGCAGCGTCGTGCTGTAATGAGGTGAGCACTTCTAGAGCTCGCCTTGCAAAACGAATGCTGACAATTTTCTAGGCTTTCAAGATTGCCACCAATTCTGCTTCTTTCCTGGCCAACCCAGCTGTCATCCCACCGGGAATCGACCCAGAGACATATGACCCGGACGATGAGTTTACCCCTGCTCCGAACAACTATATGCTGTACACCGGCGACGACAGCATCTACACCTACACATTCGGCCACAAAAAGAAGTCCGATTGCCCAGTCTGCGGTAATTTGCCCAAGGATCTCTCTCTTAGCAAGGACACCACGCTTGGAGATCTGGTCGACAGTCTAGCGGAGCGACCAGAGGCCCAGCTCAAGAAGCCGAATCTGAGGACGGAAGCGAAGTCCCTCTACTACTCGTCACCAGACTCTTTGCGTGAGCAGACTGAGCCAAACCTCAAGAAGAAGCTGAGCGAGCTTGTCGAAGAGGGCGAAGAGGTCGCTGTCAGCGATCCTGCGCTAGCTGCTGTGGATCTACGCTACCGAGTGCGCTTTACGTAGAGTCTCCAACCACGAGGATGCTTCTCTGGCGCTAGTCAAGAAGAGGCGGAAATTTCCTTGTTCGCATAACGCAAGGCCCTCGACGGCATGAGATGTGAAAATGATGAGATGTGAACATGAATGCATTGCTAATTGAAGCTCTGTGGGACTTCTGTCCCATACTAGATTTCGAATAGATGGCCAAAGAAGCTTCATAAGCAGTGGAGAAGGATCTGAACTCCCTCTCGCCCAGCAAACTTGTGAGACCTCATCGCCTTCTTCATCCACCTGTCATACCCACATTCGTTGCACTACGTCAATTGCCGATTTTGCAAATGAAGGTCCTCGTCACAGGCTTCACGCGAGGGCAAGGCCAGCGATATTACCACAGGCAGTCTCAGCTCGGGGTAGTGCCATCCCACTACTCTCTTGTGAATTGTCTCTTAGCCATGGGTCATGAGGTTGACCAGCGAGAGGTTGAACCTGGAGAAGACCTCTCGACATACGACGAAGCCATAGTCTATCTCTCAAATCCGAACTCTATATGTTCAGTCCACACTTACGGAGCACTGTACGCTATAAGCCAACACCTGAAGTGCATCTTCGCGGTGGATGATTGGCCTATCAAACAGACATTCCAGGGCCTTGTCAAGGGCACGCTCGGCAAAGGTATCTTTCATCCCTTCTGGTTGCGGAACTGCCGCAAATCTTTGGACGAACTCCAGCCCTACCAGGCATGCTTCAAGACGGCTTTTGAAACCATAGCCGCGAGGAGGAACAGGCTCCTAATCCCAGCATTCTCAACTGATCATCTCAATGCCGACAACAGATTAGATCACGGAGTCCACATCATCAACAACAAAATCTCCTACCCCCGTGACCGCGTCTTCTCATTCAACCCAAACCCATACCACCGCAATCGAACCTGGGAAGATCTTTACAGCTCCGGCCTGGAGGATCCGACTTACCTCCCTCCACCCAACCCTCACCCGACCCTCATCACACGACCTCAAAAATCCTGCCAGTTTAACTTCGCCTCCCTAGCCCAGCAACACACCCAGAAATGGCTTAAATCTCAAGGCCTCGCCGGGAACCCAAACACAGCTGGGGGCCCCAACCTCACTCTCTCTTCTTGGCCAGTGCACCTCTACGGCAAAAATCCAAACCCCAACCGCCCCAAAACCATGTCCTCCTCCGGCCGTCTCAAAGAACCCGAAATGGTACAAATCATCACTCAAGATTGGGGCTGCCTCATGCCCGGATACGAACATGCAGGAAGTGGATGGTGGAGAGCGAGGCCTTTGCAATGTGCTGATGCAGGGAGTATTTTGGTTGGGGATGAAAAAGAATTGAGAGTGCTGTATGGAGAGAAATACAGATTCTATGGGTTGAAGGCAATGGATTTGACAAGGATGACGGAACGGGAACTGGAGGAGGTGGCAAGGGAGCAGAGGAAGTGTTTGTATGAGTGTCATCCGCTTGATAGGGGCACCCAGCAGGAAGAGGTTGCCGCGTGTTTGGGCGCGGCAAAATAGCATGGGTGTCCATGTGTCTCATGACTCTCATTGGTGATAATGGGCTATGAAGCGATGAGATGCAAGGGACGGGTTTTTCCCTAAGCTGGTGCTACTGATGCATGATACATTCAAGCCGTGTACAGCGCTTTAACAGAAATTCTTGCTCTACTTAGATGCGAGTAGATCAGCTAGGAAAGTAAATTATACATACCTCGAGGGTTCTATACGACCCTACAAAGTGCCCTAAAACTATACAAATTAGTATACAAATCGGGGTATTACAAATCACTCCTATAAAAGCTAATTACCCTAGATCCCTACCGTTCCGAATAGCCGTAGTTATAGAACAATATATTAGTTAATTAAGAGGTCTAATTACTCGAGTCCTTCTTCTCCTATTATATAGGCCTAGAAGTCTAGAATTAAGGAGCTATTTACTAACGATATATCTCCGTTTTAGGCCCTTACTAGTAGGCGTAGGGAGTTTTATTATATAGTAGATATACTCTATCCGACTGTTCTATATTAGAGAACTATATAAGAAGACCTATACCTAGTTAATTATAAACTAGATACGGAAGGTAGAAGGTAGATAGTAGAAGCCTAGAAGGTAGAAGGAAGCGTAGCTACGGTAGAAGAAGAAGCTTAAAAAGGAGATAGCTAGATAGAATAAGGATATATCGAGCCTTTAAGTTATTTAGAGTATATTTAGACCTCTTTCTAATCGATATTACTATAGCGAATTCTATAAGCTTTACTGTATATAAGTCTATATATACTAGGAATTTACTTTCTATAGATATAGAACTTTTATTTATTATAGAAATTTTATTATTACTAGTATAGAATAGTATTAAAGAAGGATATAGTATATATAGAGCTTTTATATAGCTATTCTAGAAAATAACTAATTATTAGAATAAAGAAAAAATTATAAGTTAAAATTAAGTTGAAATAATATTAGGGTTAGGCTAGGATAAATTAAAAAATAAATTAAAATTAAATTTATTAAAAAACAAATACCTTTTTATATTAGACTATATAGATTTTAACTTAGATTTCTGCTATACTAGTGTGTTCTCTATAGTATAGTAGGGCCGGTATAGTAGGCTCGTTTTAGATAGTCGCAACCCCTACTGAGAAACAGACTCTCGTATACCCGGAGGCCGAGGCAGGTATGCCTTATTTTAGAAGTGTCGGATCCAGTTTCAGCAGGCACTCAAAGCTCTTCTACCCGTTAACTATAACCTTAAACTTAAGCTAACTTGTCGCTTCCTAAACGAGAGCGTGCAGCTCTATAGACCATTCCCACGTCCGAGGCTATATAGGCTCTGTGCCTATAGACGACTCTCGCGCCTGAGATTCGTCGCTTTAAGTATGGCCTACATTTCTAGACAGCAGAATGGTCAAAACAGCATCGGTGTTCAGTCCCTGTATGTCCCAGCCAAGGGGAAAGAGTCTGTATTCAGGAATGAAGGGAAGATTAGACTCCTAAACCAAGCTTTCTCAATCCTGGCTATATCGGTGATCATTCGTCGCTTTGGGATCGATCTAGCATTTGCAAGGTTTCCGGTACAGTCGCAAGATTTTCGACATTAATCAAACTTACCCTAGGGTCCTAGGGGAATTGCCGGATGTCTGTCCACTTACCGAGAACACAAATACTCCTGATGGGCTTTGCGGCGATGCTGATAATCAGAAGAATAACTGGCAGGAGTCTCGGCGGTCTTCGCGCCTTTTCCCCACGCTCGTTAGGAACCAACCACGCTCGTTACGACCTACACAACTCGACCCAATATGGCGCCAGTCATTACATACCTTACCGCATCACTCTTGTTGTTCAACAATGTTGCGCTCTGCCTTGGTCCGCAGCCAAACCTGCAAATTGCACGCGAAGCTACAGTTGTCCAGGGTTTGAAGCAGCGAAGGCAAACTGCACACGATGCCGCAGTCGTGGCGCACTTCGGAGGTACCATTACATCAGATCCAAAGGGTATTACGAAGAGCTGGGGCGGAGGTAAGGGATGGGGCCCACCGGGCCCAGGTTGGAAAGCAGGACCCAAAGCACCATGGGGACCAAAGGGTCCAGGTTGGGGTGGCAAGCCTCCTGCTCCTACTAGCGGAAACCCGTATCCTGGCTGTAACGACGTTCCGCCCTACTGCGGTTATTATAAGTCAGACTACCATCCCAAGCCCCCCCATAAGGATTAATCGGCGCCAGCTGGGAGCCGTTCTTCGAGGTGAGATGACCAATGGACGGTAGCGTAGAGTTGGACGCTAATATCTGCAGTGGCATAGACGTCGTGCGGCTCGGTGTTAGGCATGGTGCTTTCTGCTGTAGCAAGGGATGCTACATGGACAGTGTTTCGGATATGGCTTCTGCAAGATGTAACGATACCTTAGGATTTTGATGGTCTATTCAATCCTTGTTGTGCAGAGAAATCTGCGGTTTCTTCTAGTCTAAACTCTGCTTGCAGAAGTCGGTTTGACGCGATTGCGTAATTGCGGATTGCATAGAGTGCAGAGGGAGCACTGGAGATCGCGCAGCATTTCTACGCGTGCCTACCATTATTCCAGTAAGATCTTCATAGCTCGTCGTCCGATGCCTTGACCTGAGTACCGCTTGCCATCTCGCATCACATTGATCGATATCGCACGCGCACGCGCACCCGCGAACACGAACACGAGCGCGCGACTTGATGATCGGAGGATCGCATACAGCACACACTCGAAGCGGCTAGGAGGAGGCCAGGGCTGGGCTGGGCTGGGCTGGGCTGGCAGTCAGTATAAGCTATAGAGCACAGAGCATAGTTCTAGCCTCAGAGCGAGAGGCTCCTGTGTCAGTCACAATGTCGCCGTTCCGGCATGGACAGCGGGCGGAGCGCTCGGAGAGGGCGAACGATGTCTCACGAGACGACTACTTTGCTGCCAGCGGGAGCAGCAGCGGCGGCAGCGAAGATGCACTGGAAGAAGGCACCGTGTCGCCCATGTCTGCCTCGCGCCGCCGGGCCTCCCTCTCCATCCCCATCCCCATCCCGCCGCCTCCCATGAAGGCAGAGATGGCCTTCGCCGCACTGCAATACCTGCCCATGCCCGTCATGCTGCTTTCCAGCACCAAGGAGATTGTGCTGGCTAATGAAGCCATGGCCCGGCTTCTGGGCATTGATCCGGATCACGTGCACGAGGCCGACGATATGCACAGTCGCGATATTCTGCACGGCGCGACTTTGGGTGAGCTGGGGTTCGACTTGCTGCAGAATGGAAGTCCGGTGTTCGTGGCGTGGGAAGACTTCCTAGACACGCTCGTGCACGATGCGTGCAGAGCTCAGAGCAGCACGACCCAGCTGAACACGCATCATGCCAGTGCGACGGCCCAGCTGCACGGTGCAGACCGCACTCCCACGGGCCACCGACATCACAAGCGCTCCATATCGCCTGGTGCTCGGACGGAAGTGTACGATGCCTCCATCAGTGTGGTCTTCTCCACCCACCGCGATGCCAAGACAGGCATGCCCCTCGCTGCGAGGAACGAGATGACGCAGCATGTTGAATGTCAAATGATTGTTTCCGTGTGGGCCACCGAGCACCAACAATTCTACACCTTGACCATGACTGCTGCGGCAGGCTGCGACTCAGCCTCGACTGCGGAATTTGCCAAGACCACGAGCAGAACGGTGTCACGGCAGGCGACGTCGTCATACGCCAACAGCCTTCCTTCTGCGCTCAGCTCTCATTCCAGCTCCAGCGAAGCGTCCAACCACAAGCGCCTCACCTACCAATCCCCTCCCACCTCCAACTACGCCAGTCCTACCATCTCGGAATTCCCTCCCCGAGGTCCGCCGATCAAGTCGACCATAGCAGCTCCCAGCATGTTTGCCAAGACGAACCGGCTCAAAGATGCGCTTCTAGACAGTATGAAGCTGCCGGCTTATGCCATGTGGAAGGACGAGAGCTTTGGCATTCCGAACATCGCTGCCGTCCGATTGCTTTACCCGTGGATCACTGACAAAGACACCTACGACTCTACCGAACAGGCCAAGGACTTTCTCTCGCGCTTCACCTTGTATCGAGGTGATTTCTCCGAAGAAATCCCATTTGATGAGTTCCCAATCATGCGGCTCATGAGAGAGCGGCAGCGCTTCGACGCTCTACGCATCGGCATGTACAGCGTCAAAGATGGGAGCCGCGTGCTGTTCGATGTCTCGGGTGAACCTCTCATCGATGACAAGGGAGACTTTCTGGGAGGCGTAGTACTTTTTCACGACGTCACCGCATATGCTCAGACGATATCACGACAGCAAGAGCAGAACGAGCGCCAATTCGAGAACATCTGTAATATGGTCCCCATCATGATTTGGCGCACTACGCCCGACGGCTCACACGACTACTTCAACGACCCGTGGTACTCCTATACTGGCATGTCCGTTGAGATGAGTGAGGGCGAAGGGTGGATGAACGCTTTCGATGCTGAAGATCTGAAAGTAGCCGTACCTATCTGGCAGCATTCCTTAGCTACTGGTGATGAATACCTCACTGAATACAGAGCCAGGAATGCAAATGGACAATGGCGATGGATGCTTGGAAGAGCAACGCCGATGAAGGATGAGAAGGGAAGAATTCTAAAGTGGTTCGGAACTTGCACAGACATTCACGATCAGATTTTGGCGCGTGAGGAGGCCAAGCAGACCAGAGCTCAACTAGCCAGAGTGATAGAGCATGCTAACATCACGCTCTGGGCAGTCGACACGGAATGCAAAATAACCTTGTCTGAGGGACGGGCGATGCATACCGATCCGAGCGACCAAAATGGATATCATCGCGACAAGACCAAATACATCGGAAAGAGCCTCTGGGAGATCTTTAGGATGCAGGGACGTTCGGGCGAAATTGAGACCTTTGCCCGACCTATCAGAGATATCTTGGCCGGCCGCACGATTGATGAAACGATTGAGAGCCAGATCACGACTAGCGGGCGTTGGTATCGGACCAGGTTATATCCGCTTTGGCGCCAAGAGCGCAAGGGTGGCATTGAGGGTGATTCGTATCTTGACGGCGTCGTTGGCGTCAGTATGGACATTACGGAGCTCAAGAAGGCAGCGGAAGAGGTCGCGGCCCGTGATCGGGAGAATTCTCGTCTTCTGGCGCAATCCGTTGCCGCCAAAGAAGCAAGCAAAATGAAGAGTCAGTTCTTGGCGAACATGTCTCACGAGATTCGAACGCCTATTGCTGGTGTCATCGGAATGTCAGAGCTTTTGCTAGACGACGGCCCTGGAGACCTCACGCCCGAACAGCGCGAGTGTGCCGAGAACATACAACGAAGCGCCAATGGTTTACTGACTGTCATCAATGACATTCTCGATTTCTCCAAAGTTGAGAGCGGCCGCCTCGACATCGAAGAGGTGCAATTCGATCTTTCGGTGGTCATCCGAGATGTCAACAAGATGCTGAGTTTTGCTGCCGAGCGGAAGGGACTGAGGTACATCGACGATATCCAGAGACTTAAGAATTGGAGGGTCCTTGGTGATCCTGGTCGCTTGAGACAGGTAATGACGAATCTTCTGACTAATTCCATCAAATTCACAAGCGAAGGCAGCGTCACGATGAGAGTCAAAGCGCAGAAAGAGACTGAGGAGATGGTTGAAGTCCATTTCACAGTCGAAGACACTGGTATCGGCATCGAGGAAGAGGTACGTAGGAAGCTGTTCAAACCATTCTCGCAAGCAGACAGCTCCACAGCAAGACGCTTTGGAGGAACCGGACTTGGTCTCACCATTTCCAAGAACCTGGTGGAGCTCATGCGAGGCGGCATTTCCTTGCAATCAAAGCTTGGTGTTGGGACTGTCGCTACGTTCTGGATACCTTTCCTTAAAGCGCCATACCAGTCTAACGAGTCAGCCTTGGTTGACCTTGGAAACATACCTGATCGACTGCAATCTGAACTATCGGTGTCTCGGCCTGGGTCGGATAATGCTACCCAGCCCACCACTCCAACAACATCAGCCGTTCGGCATCGAAGTTATCCCTCGAGCGGGTTGACACCTGTAAACTCCTGGCCAGATGGAGCACTTCCTGAGCTTGATCTCAGTGCGGACGAGCGAAAAGTCACAAACGTCCTTGTCGTGGAAGATAATGCGGTCAATCAGCAGATTGCGCTGAAAACAATTCGAAAGCTCGGGTTTCCAGTTCGTGCCGTGTGGAATGGTCAAGAGGCTCTAGACTATCTAGCTACACCGTCGGAAGAGCAGCCACGACCCGATATCATTCTGATGGATGTGCAAATGCCGAGTAAGTAATGTTCTGTCCCACTTCCCTAGACGTGGTACTAACTAGCTATGTCTCCAGTCATGGATGGCTACAAAGCCACGTACACGGTGCGCAACGGCAAACCTTTCGTCAATAATCCCGAAGTGCAGAGCATACCGATCGTAGCCATGACAGCTTCGGCCATCCAGGGCGATCGTGAAAAGTGCCAGGATGCCGGGATGGACGACTACTTGTCGAAACCTGTCAAGAAACCCAACCTGGAAAGGATGATTGTCAAATGGGCTATTGAGGGCAAGAAAAAGCGTGCAGAACTCCTCAGGAATCCCCGAGCACTTCAGCGCCCCACCAACCCCAGAAATCATTCCTCGTTCACGACACAAAGTGATGCCTCCATGCATACGCCGCAGGAGCATCTCGCTTCTCAACTAGATCGATTGGAGTTCGTCCATGAATCCAGCTTCAGGAATTCTGCAGAGACTGAAGCTGAACGGGCGGAAAGACAGCAGCGTGCCGAAGAGCAGGCGATTGCTCTACGAGACCATGAATTGATTGAGGCTGGCGATGATCCGAAATCAAAGCTCGGTAAAGGGGTGAGCGACGAACAGTACCCGTCGCAATCACCTTCGAAAACAGCTTTGACAGCTGAGAATATGGAGAGATTCTCTAAAGACCACCGCATAGCGCAGCTCAAACACGAGCGGATACTGGATAAGGAAGGTTCGAGCATGGTGGCCACAATGGCTGAGACCAGCAGTGAGCTTCCCAGAAGCAACATCCCAAGTCCCAGTCCAGAGAGTACCCAAAATCGACGGAGCATAGGATATTGAAGTGGTAACAGATTGATGATTTTATGTGCGTCCCGCAAGGTGTTGACCAAAAGGGAATGCTGTTCTTCGAAGCGTCAAGCAAGGGAGTTCGGGGAAATTTTCGCGAACGCGTATATCTCGCGTTTGAGGCTAGATCTTGGATACTGAGATGTCATAACAGTCATGGAATCAGGAGCTACCTCAGATAATGCTTACACCATAGAGAGAGAAAGAGAGAGCGAGAGAGAGAGAGAGAGAGAGATGCTATCAACTGCTCGACCTGCTGCTGCGAAAATGCACGCCTCCTTCAGAAACCTTTCACCTCTCACAACCGCGACTATCATTCTCTTCACCCTCCTACCACTCTACTACGCCTCCTACCAGTACCGCCTCCGGCATCCGTACAATAAGTCCTCACCAAATGACCACGCTCCTTTCCCCGGCCGTCCATCCGAAGCAGAATGGATCCGCACTTGGCTCTCAACCTCCCTCATCTCACCCTTCAACCCCTCCCCGCTCGCAACCTTCTGCAACCAAAGCACCTGGCATCCCAACCTCGTCCTCAACCTCGAAAACGCCAACGGCGGCATCGGAAACATTCGCGGAAATTTCCTCGACTTCATCTTCCAAGCCATCGAAGTCGGTGCTTCCATCATGTTACCTGGAATGGCGAGCCGAGCCAGCGATGATCTCGCGAATGTTTGGGCTACGCGAAGTCCTTTCGAAGCATTTTTCGACGATGAGTGGTTTTTGAAGATTTTGGGAGACGCGTGTCCGGACATGGCGGTTTATCGGCATGAGGAGGGGATGGAGATGGTGCAGGCTTTGGAGGGGAAGTGGGTTCCTAGGAGTCGGAGGGTTGATGAGGAGAAGGAGAATTCTAGGGAGGCGTTGCGGCAGAGTTTGGATGGGTTTTTGAAGGAGAATAAGGGGTTTGATAAGGAGGGGTTGAATCTTGTCAATGTTGAACGTACGCTTTGGGATGTGGATACCAGGGCTGGGTTGCAGGTGAGGGAGTTGAGGAGGAATTTTGGACAGATGTTGCGGATCAAGCCGGGGGTGAGGAGGTTGGCTGCTGTGGTGAGAAGCTGCAATGACTTGAGAGTGTTTGCTGGGGACGTTTTGCTGACTTTTGATTTATAGGTTGTGCAGAATCTGGAAGCGAGATATGGTTTGAATATTGAAATTGATCCGAGAGATGCGATACCGAATGATGCGTTTTTTGGGGCGCATTTGAGGACTGAGGCTGATGCTAAGGCCGTGGGATGGGTAGATGGGGCGATGAACTTCGAGAACCAGACTGATTCATACATTCGAGAAGCTGTCAAGTCTGGGTTGGGGATCATGTACGTCGCTTCAGGAAACGCAACAGATCTTGAACGCTTTCGACAAAAAGCTGCTATGCACAAGCCTCCGGTCACGGTCACGTCGAAATTGGAGTTGTTGCCTGCGAATGAGGTGGCGAAATTAAAAGAGATGAGCTGGGACCAGCAAGCTTTGGTTGATTACGAGGTGTTGTTGAAGTGTAGTCGTTTCGGTGGGATTGTGAAGAGTAGTTTTGCTTATAATATTGCTATGACGAGGAACCAGTGGTTGGAGGATCAGGGACGAGTCATCGATCCTTGGAGAGTGCAGCATAGTGAGGTTGGCGTGGCGTTTGATGATGGGCTGAGTAGGATTATTGGACGGGATGAGTTCCATGAGCATAGGATCCCGAGAGGGATGTGGCCTTAATGGAGTTGGAAGGATAAGGAGTTCGTTGGAGCTGAAGTGCTTTAGGAAACAGAAGTTGCTAGAGAGGTTTTGATTGTACGCATCTCGATGACCGAGTCGAGAACAAAATTTAGCAGTCGATCCTGTCATGAAGCGTGATCCAAAAGCAAAATGACAGTTGCCTGGACTCAGAATCGACTATTGAAGATGTCAGAATGAAGTCAAGTCTCTTGGGCTGAGGATGTTCTTACACTGAGATTATAGGATTGCCTGAAATGATGTTCAAGTCATATGTTCAATATGAGACCTATGTACTAACCATTATACGATCCGGGCTGTGATTGGTTGATGAGCATTGAATATATGTCTTGCTATAGATATTGATACTGAGTCACATGAATAAATTTATAATGAGTCGATGGAAGGTTGTGGGGGCCAAAAGTAGAAACGCCAAGCTCTCGCGGCCCCTGGTCCGGACATGTTCATTCCTTTCCTTCCAACGCATCGCCACGATTGTACAATGCCAAGGTCGGAGATGCTGTTGTGATCATGGTAGGCTGTAGTATTCCTCTTGTTTTGAGAAGTGTTGAGCATAGTATCAATCGCCGTGAAGCTGTAGGCGAAAGCTATTTCCAGGATATGATGGATGGACAGATGGCTGCTAAAGACTAAAGTCAATAACCATTTGCAGTGTGACGAGATTCAATTAGTATGAGATAAAGGTGTCGAAACAAGCAGGTCACAAGTCCAAAACTGCGCTCCGACTGTAGATAAGATCTTCTGTCAACATAAAATTTGTCCATTGAGACCTGTCACTGCATTGAAGAGGCTAGGTCCTGAATTCATTTCATGCAAGATGAAGTGCAAAGAGAAAGTGCCAAGCCTTTCACAAGCCCCGCACTTTCATTTTCACGCTTCCAAGAAATCTTTCATCACATCTACAATCGATGCCAATATCACTCGATCGGATGTTTCCCATAGCCCAAAAAAGGTGCAAAAAGCAAAGCTGGTCAATGAGGGGGTCGAACCCGCGACCTTGGCGTTGATACATGGATTGTATTAGCACCACGCTCTAACCAACTGAGCTAATCGACCGTTGATTGATCATGGTCGCCAAAGCCTTGATTCAGTATTAGAGCTCACCGTTAGCTTGGTTAAGCTTGGCTTACCCAGATCAACATCTACGCCTGTAGAGACATACCTAGTTCTGGCAGTCAACGCGGAACGGCAATGGAGTAGGAAATCATAGATCAGCTTATCCTATAATTGCAAGACCAAGCCGTAATGTGAGCACAGCAATAGCACAAGCTGAAGGCAAATACTTAATAATCTGCATTGAAAGAATTGCTGACTTCGTGCTCTGTCGTATGCATCTGGGTATCTACTTCGAACATGAACAGGTAAAGCAGAACGCTCATTTACAAGTAGGCATCGTGCGTACTGTGGGGTCCAACTAGCTAGCTCCCAGGCTCTGCAGTGCAATCCGCAGCTCCTTCACGGCGGTCTGAACATCTTCAAAATTCAAAGCAGATATTGCCCATTTCGCATGCTTCTGGGCTGCCATAATCGACTCATCGTCGTCTCTGTAGCCTCCTGGCGGCGGAGCAGCGTTGAAATTCGTGGGCTCACCGGAAGGCACAGGTGCTCGTACAGGCGGTTGCGAGGGAGCTACCAGTGGAGTCGATGCCATTTGCTGATGTGGCAGCGGGCAACCTGGCCGATCTTGAGGCATGTTTCCAAGATCGCGTGGTGTTGTAGTTGATTCGACCGGCGGAGGGATGTTGTAGAAATCAGCTGGGTTTGGCGCTGCTGATGACGGTGGGAGTGATGATGCTACTGACGGCGGTTGATCCACTGGCGCGACTGCATTGACATTTGAAGGTGCATCAGGCACTGTCGGAAAATATCCACCTCCTATTGATCCAGTCCGACTGGCAACATCTTCAGGTGGTTCTATCGGAGACACATCGTGCTCGGTAGGCCGTGGTTGTGATATGTCGCCCACTCCTCTTGTCGGTAAGGCTGGCGGTGCCACAGGATCTGTCTGCAATGCGGAGGGCGATCTTGAAGGAAAGCCGCTATCTGGCACATTCTCAACAGTCGGTGGTTTATAGACTCCAGCATCATTTTCCATATTCTTGAGCTCTGCTTCTAATGAAACATCCTCTGATCCTGGTGCCAGCGGTTGCTCTACGACGGGATTGGTGGCATTGGGATCTTCGCCGGCTTTGATCGCTTTGGCTATCCGCAGAGCATGATACTTTGCAAACTTGCTCTTTGCAACAAACTCCGGCTCAAGAGGTCCCCATATTGTGAGGAGGTCCATGAAAGTGGCTGCAGCCTGGAAGGTGTCGGCGGTCTGCCTGATCACCTTATTGTTCCTCTGCGCTTCATCGCCGCCGGTGAAGACTTCTAGAGCGAAGTTTTCTATGTATGCCTTGGCTGCAACATCGTCTATTACAGCATCATTTGCAGCATTCTCGGCCTTGTAGGCTTCCAGCTTGTCCATTAATCGTATTGCATAGTTCGTGCAGTCTTCGTCTGACGTATGTAGCTGTCGACTTAGGATCTGTTGCAGAATGTAGTATTCGCCTGATGTTTCTTAGTCCTACTCATCGATCTTCCGCCTGGAGGGACATACACCAGTATGTTACGATCGGCCTATGCTTTGCAAGCTGGGCAGCTCTGGTCGCGAAGCGCTGTACATCGGGGGCGGCAGCTTTCAATTTGGCTGGTATCGCCGTCGCCATGTTGTATGAAGGCGGGTGAGAGTGTCATGCAAGGTTGAGGACGGGAGCGTATGATGTATGTATGTGAGTGCCTGACCACCGATGCGGCGAAGAGCTCACTTGCCCGCTAAAGCAATGCCAAGACGCGGCTTCCCTCACTCAGGCACAGACTCAGACTCCGTGCACTGGACCCTGGTGCAGTGCAGATTGCGGGGGAAGCTAGATTAACACTATCCCAGGAAGGACAACTTGCATTCACCAACAACAAGGAAGCATATGAGTACGACGTTTTGCATGTAAAGAACATCAACCACAGCGTCCACATTGCCCGCCATCATGGCCAAGTATACGATCGCCGCCTCCCTGCTCCTCCTCTCAACAGCCAATGCCTTATACTCCAGTTCATCACCAGTTCTACAAGTCACCACAGAAACATTTGACAGCCTGATCCTCGAATCGAACCACACGAGTATGGTCGAGTTCTACGCGCCATGGTGTGGTTATTGCAAGAAAATGGCGCGAGACTACCAGAAAGCAGCTAAGGCCCTCCAAGGCCTGGCCAAGGTAGCTGCAGTCAACTGCGATGTGGAGAGCAACAAGGGCTTGTGCGCGTCCCTGGGCGTGCGCGGTTTCCCTACGCTCTATATTTTCAAGCCGGGCAAAAAGTTCGGACAGCCAGATATGGAGGGCTACGACGGAGCAAGAACATCCAAGGCGATAGTCGATGCGGTCGTCGAAAACATCCCAAACCACGTCAAGAGATTGAAAAATGCCACCTACGCTGCATGGGTCGCGGATGACACGAAGCCAAAAGCCATCCTGTTCTCGAATAAGCGCCCTGTTAGCGCCCTGCTCAAGTCAGTCGCGATCGACTTTCTTGATGCGATACACATAGCTCAGATTCGGAGTAAGGAGACAGATGCCGTTGAGGCGTTCAACGTGGACAAGTTTCCTACATTGGTCCTTCTCCCTGGGAATGGCGCTGAACCGATCACCTACGATGGCGAGATGAAAAAAGACTCGATTGTCAAGTTTCTCTCAACTGTCGCAAGTCCCAATCCTGATCCATCTACGAAGGACAAGCCAAAGGAGGACAAGGAGGCATCGAGCGGGTCTTCTGACACGGACAAGTCTTCTGCATCTCCCGACGCACATGAAACTCCTAAAGCACAACCACTAAAGCAAGCTTCCCCCAAGGCTGCGAGTGATGCCAAGGCAATTCCTTCAATTGCAGACGGCCTGATACTTCAGCAAAAGTGCCTTAATGACAAAGCCGGTACCAGTATCCTTGCCATCTTGCCTGAAGAAGATGAACCATCTGCTCAAACGAGCCAGGCGGTCAAGAGTCTCTCGGAGCTGCACCAGAAGCATGAGCTTGCTAAGCGGAAACTTTTTCCCTTCTATCAGCTTCCACCCAGCAATGACCAAGCAAACGCTCTGCGCAAGAAACTCGGACTTTCGACATCTGAGGTCGAGATCGTTGCAGTCAACGGTAAGCGCGGATGGTGGACCCATTTTCCGTCGAAGGAGTTCACGTCTATCAAGATCGAGAACTGGGTGGATGCCATTCGTATGGGCGATTTCAAGAAGACAGATATGCCAGCCGTAAGTGCGAGAGTCATTGCATGACATGCGAGTATCTGCTAACGATACATAGGGATTGATCGTCAACCCCTCCTCCCTCCCAGCTGAGCAAGTCGTGCTCGAAGATCCAGAGCCAATCAAGCAAAAGGAGACCAAGCCTGGCCCAGATCAAGAAGAGCTCAAGAAGATGTACGCTGACCTAAAAGGTCAAATGCCAGAGGGCATGGACTTCGAAATTGAGGAGATCGATGATGATGAGTACGAAAAGATCATGAAGCAGGGTGAGAAGGCTGATCCCACTGCTTCCGCGAAGTCCCAAGATCACGACGAATTGTAGACAGTACTGTAGGTGTACAACATGAATTAAAGAGCATTGGTCCATTCCACGTCAGTACTCTTGCAGGAATCTGCTGCCTACACAGCGTTCAAATGTCGATAGAGGTGGCACCCTGAGACCCATCAGCCGGCTTCACAGGCCGTCTACCATGGTTCAACCACGAAAGTTGTTTTTTCGGGCTCTTAGATTTATTCTCTCCACACCAGACTTGAACTCCAGATCACGAGCGCGGCCGCCACTCGTCATCTATTCCTCCGTTTCCAGTCATAATTCGGCTGCTCACCGCTCTCCAAACCACGACATTCGCATAGGAACATGATCCTCTTTACATTCTTCACGCTTGCTGTGCTTGCAGTAGGGGCTGGAACACTGAAGAGCTCTGAGCATCCTCCAATCGAGGGATACCGGGCACCGAAACATAACACCAAATTCGAGATCGACTTCGAGCGCTGGCGCAATCGAGGCTGCGCGCAGGACATGATTGGCCTCCGGAGCTTAGCTTAGGTTCACGAGCTACGAGAAAGTGACTCCATAACTTGCGACACGCGCGAGGCGAAGATCCAGAATGATATCCACGAAGGTGCAGTTAGCATGAAACCTCGGAAATCAAACCACCATAGTTCCCCAGATCCATGTCCAGAACGGAGTTGAAAGCAGACAGATGAGGTGAGTCCGTGAGCGCTCACTTGCATGCGCCGCGCCAGAATGATTCCATCAGGTTCCATGTGGCGAGAAACCTCGCAAACCAATCTGAGGGCCTCAGAAGCACATCCAGTACGGAGTCCAGATAAGCCCTGGAGAGCGGCTAAGATAAGTCCACGCGAGTTCACCTGCCCACACAACTCCGAAATACATGACTGGGCTGAGACCTCGAGAAAGGGAATGGTGAGCACACTCACCTCACTAATCAACGAAGCCCTCTTCCATCCACTCTTCGGCTTCTCCTTCACATAACCCGGGCAATCGATCCTGAGTGGCTGATCGCCATTACCCTGCGCACGGGCCACCGCCAAAAGCAGGAGTGAGGCAACTACACGAGGCACTCAAATCAGCAAAAACCGTCTTCGAAGGCTAAGGTTTTCCCATTGAGTCAATTCTATCTCCAAATCTTCCAACCAGGCTTCACTTTCCCACTCGCCGTCCTCCCCAAATCCTCCAATTTTCCCTCCCGATCCCCAAGATCCACCGACTTACGCAGCTTGTTTCCACCAATGATTCCAAAATATTTCTCCACTTTCGAGGGTCTGCGCTGCGGTGGAGGGGCCTGGACGTAGCTCTCGTTATCGGAGAAGGAGCCATCTGAGAAGCCATCATCGTCATTCCTGCCGTAAGGGCCTCGATGCGGAGCAGGAGCGCTGACTCGGCGGTAGCCGGAGTCAGGATATACTGCGCCAGCTCCGGTCGGGTGATGACTCTTGAGACCTCCAGTCGATGGTTGGTTGGCCGAGCCGATAGGTGGAGAAGCGAGCGAGAGGCCTTTGTGGTAGGATTCTTGCTGTGGTTGGCCTCCTGCTCTATAGCCGAGATTCGGATTTGCGTTCATGTTGGTGTTCTTCTCAGTGGCTGGGTCAAATTTGTCAGATTTACCAGGCGGCGGTGGTGAAGGCGTTCTGCTTCCTTCGCTACTTCCGCGATATTCGGTATAGTTATCGGCGTCATCGTGCTGAGCTCCATCTACGTACGCCTCTCTATTACGGTTCAGACGCAGTCGGTCCATGAGTGATTTGCGATGACTCGAAAAGCGAGCAGGATTTGGATCGCCTGAGCCTTGGTATGACAAGGCAGGTACGAGGAGGCGGTATGGGACAGTAACGCCGGAAGGATCGTGCTGGTTGACTTCCATACAGAGCGAAATATCGAGGCCGCCTTCCAGATCAATGTGGCCGAAATCAGCGTCTACAGTGCCATCGGTGTGCCCAGCAGCCTTTGAAGCGCGCCGAGCGTCCTTTTCTGAGAAGTTGGTAGGACGTCTTCTGAACGTCGGTCGCTCGAATTCTGGGTTCTGAGGAGAGCTTCCGGAAAAGTGACTCGAGGGCGCGGCGGCACGATCTGTAGCGGAGAGGCTGTTCGCTCGCTGTATAGTGGAGCTCGGTCTTCGATCATCTTCATTGACAGGGCGTATCTGATCTGGAGCAAGGCTGATTGGTGGTGGTCCTTTCTTAGAGGAGCCGCTCAGCCTACGGACCAGATTCATAGGGCCGCGAGTGAGGCTCATCGTCCGATTCATGCTTCCAGGCGGGAAGCGACGATCCTTGGGCTTCTCCTCATCTTGGCCATCGAAGTACTGTGCAGGACGCTGGTCCTGAGTATGCTGGGGTAAAGGCGTACCGGGTGGAGTCGATCCTGGCAGGTATTCGCTGATTATGCAGAAATTTCTTCTTGGCAAGAGGTGGTTATTGTTGCGCTTGCTTCCATCGACATCGTGGCTGAACATCGGAATCATGTTTTCGTCAGTTTCCTCGTCAAGGTGGTGGATCTTATTGCGCTTGTTCAAAACATCTGCCATCATTGTCGGAGGAGGAGTGTTGACGATTGCGCTGGAAATGACGTTTGGCATGTACCTGCGGAAGGAGCGTCAGTAAAGTGTCGCTTTTGAAGTGAGTGCCGAGTCGAGGTGCGGCACGATACATGCGATGCGAAGCACTTGTCTTGCGACGGAGGCAAATCAACACGAGCGGCTGGCTTACCTATGGTCTTTGTCCTTGGCAATGCCTAATTTCTGGTTTGAGAAGAACTGGCCAACAGCACCAAGGTGGACATCACCGCCTAGAATGGTGACGCGGACGCTCTTCTCGGCAGCCAGATCTTGTAATTCCTGGATGAACCAGTTCCGTTCTTGCTTGTGATGCTTGGCGGTCCAGTGATCGTCCAGATCATCGAGAATCTCTACACCGCCATCAAACTTGTTGACAAACCCTCCTAGCGCTCCAGTCCTGCCGATCGCCTTTATTGGGTCCATCATTCGAGACGTAAGCATGTTCTCGAGGAAGTTCAACCGCGGGTATGCAATCGGTACTCCAAGAAGCACGACCAGGTGTTTCGTCTCGCCTTTGACAAGCTCTGCTCGAAGCCGGTCGAAGACTATGTCGTATGTCTCTTGGCTCAGAATCTCATCTCGCATACGCTCGGTTCGACAGTCCAGTCCCAGAAAGGTGATATTTCGACCTAGAGACATGATCAGACTGCGGCTGCGTTCCTGTATGTATGGACCGGGGCTTGTGCCAAGCAACCACGATGGCTCATCTCGCTCAGTTTCTGCAGGAACAGACTGGTGCTGGAAGAGCATGTAGTACTTGAATGCGATGGCGCCCAGACCAGAGAATACTCTGGTGCTCATGAACGAATGCGGGTAGCTGCCATAGCCGTCAATGATGTCGTGGTCGTCCCAGATATTGACCATTGGTATCTGTGAGTTTGCCATGCCTAGAGAGGAGAAATCATTAGTATACGCATGAATCACTACAAAAGCAGAAGCTGGAGTGACCGGGAGATTGCGGTTCGCGACGTGACGTGCGCGGCGCACCTGCTGCGGCGGAGTCGGATGAGGTGAGGTGAGGCGAGCGAGCAAAACCTTCAGTCGCTCCAAAAGCCAACGCTGGATTGAAAGGACCGCCTGCGATTCGCAACGCGTGGAAATCGTTGCTTCACGGAGCTGAACAGAGCTGCACATACCGAAGAAACCCTGACTAAACCACATTGCATATCTATGTAAGTAAAACTCCTCAAGCTCATCCTGCATCTCGACTGTGAAATCTGCTTCGTGCCTGGAGAGCAAATGTTAGCGTGACTCCAAATTGTGAAGCAAAGCCGAGCATGCTGTCTGCGACCCAGAGCGCAGGGCATGCGGTCAATCGCAGAATTGCTCACTTACTTTGCTTGCGGATTCTTGATATGCAAATACTCCTTGAACAGCGTAGTCTGATGCATCGCAGCGTCGTTGTAAATTTGGTCGCCTCCTCCTATCATGACGTGGAAGGGCTTCGATTGGTGGCGGTTCAGAACGTCTCTCCATAGCGGGTCAGGACCAGAGAATTTGTTGCTATCGACTGTGTAGGAGAAGCCGTTGCAGGAGTGGAACATGATGTTCATCGTCTCTCCTCGAGCAGGAACCCAGAAGCCAATGGCAGGGCCTTTATTGACGCGATACGCTACCCGGCTTTGACGGCTGGTGAGTTCGATCTCGACATTGAATCGCCAGAACGTGTAGCCGCGCTCTGAATGAAGCCGTATGGCTCTCGTCTCTCGGTATCGTCCAGCCTTTTCGCCATCTCGACTCTTAATTCGCGTCTTATCCTGAAAAGTGATGTGCTGGGTCTGCCTGCCATCGGGCCCGATGCTGGTCTGAGGTCCTAAAATTGGCGTGCGCGATGCTGAGTAGAGACCATGATTGTTTTCTTCGCGTGACAGATCAACGTCGCCATCGATCTCAGCTACAGGACGCACATAGAGAGCTCGACCAGTCCTGGAGAGTTTGACTTGTCCTGCCACAGGATCTTCAAACTCGGGCGGAAGTTCGTGTCCTGAGTGCAGCAAATGCTGGGGAGGGGTTTGTTGTAGGTCCATTGGCTGAGCGAACAGACGCAGTGTGGGCGGCGACTGCAGATCTGACTGGTCGTCTTCGGTCACAATCATGATACTGCCGCGCCAGACTTCTCGTTCGCGTGCTGTGCTTGGTCTCGAGCTTCCTGTCCGGGTCTGTACTGTCTCGCGATTGATGCCGTTGTATCGCAGCAGAGGTCCGCATTTCAAGAACAATCGCGGTTGGAAGCCATTCGCCGTTTCCTCATATGGTCCATCCCATTGGCTCAAACTGGGGGTCGCACGTTTGGAGCTCGAGGAAGAGCGACGCGGCTTCTCCCACCAAGCATCTTTGGGATCTTTGGCCCCGGCGGAGGCGGACTCGAGGTCCATGTCCTCCGCCGTGAGCCTTGCCGCTCGAGCTTGCCTCCACTCTTCGAGCGGGCGAGAACCGAGCTCGTACGCTCGGTGTTCGTGGGAGCGGTGGAAGGGGTTTACGTGAAGATGGTGCTTTTTCACCTCGGGAGGTGCTGTGCGCTTCTGAAATTCTTCGGGAGCAACGCGCTTCTCAAGTATTTGTGTGGGTTTATTTCCGGTTGGATGTGTGGAGTCGCTGATGTTAGGTGATATGGGGCTCACCGGTGATGGCTGCCCTTGAGGGTGACTCTTTCGGCGCTCGTACGCAGCTTTCCCTGGCTCAGCTGCACCACGGTGATCCGAAATCATCGGCGCTGCCGCAGCGGCTGCTGCTCCTCCCGCGAAGCCAGCGTCTCTCGCTCGATACTTGCGACTCCCGGAGCGACCGAGATCTGTGGAGGCGCGTGGCGCCTGCGCGGCTTCAGGCGGTCTCACATTTTCAGAGCGCCTATCATATGCTCTCGACTGATTTGCAATTGGTGGAGGTGGTTGGTGGACTTTAGGAGTCGTTGGAGATGATTCTGTTTTCAGAGCATCGCTTGCTTGTCGAAATGGCTGTGCTGCGTTCTCTGCTTGATCTGCGGGCACACTTCGAGATGCTGTTGTCTGGCTGTGACTCGGCGCCACGGGATCGCTGACCACTCTGCCCTTCTCAGTGCGCAGGGAGGCATGATGTCTGCTGGGGTCGCTTTCCCGTGTCTGTCCTGATAGGCTACGCTGACGGACTCTCTCCTCTGCCTGCGCGACTCTTGCTCTCTTCTCTTCTTTACTCCAAGTCTCCAAGCTCTGTAGAGGACTGCGATCGGGGACACTGCCTCTGCGAATGGCCTCAGATATATTGCTCGCGTTACTTGGCTGTCTGGCCTTGACGCTCTGCTTTCTTTGGGATTGACCCTGGGTCTGGCTTTGCTTCTGGCTCTGTGGCTGGGGTATGGTCCTTGGAGACATTGGATCGGGACTCCAGGCTGTAGATCTGATATTGTTCGGCACGTAGTCGGGATCGACTGTGAGCGGCTTCGGATGGGTTGCGCCTGGCGCGGGTGCGCTAGTGCTGTTGACATGTTGTGTGCGGGCAAAATGGTCACTCGTGGCATCGAGAGTATTGCTCCTTCCTTTTCTGCTCTTGCCGGCGCCTGCCTCTGGATTGGGTATGCCACTGCGATCGGAGAAGGAACGGCGTGCATCTTGCTTTTGCGACTGCGACTGCGATTGCGATTGCGATTGCGATGCGCGAGGTGGAGGCTGATAGTACTGATGCGGAGGTTGCGGAGAGATGTGTGGTTGATATGGACCGGCAGCAGCAATGTGTGCTTGCGGTAATGGGACTTGCTCATAGAAGCCTGTGTCTGGATTGCGCGTCCACAGACCGGATTGGCGTCGGTCTGACATGTTGATACGGTCGTCGATTGTCTGCGAGATCGAGTGTGCAGCTCGCGGGTAATGGGCAGACCAGATCATTCGTCAAAGTGAGGCGTCCAAGTGGCTAGAATATATGCGCGCTTAAAGCTGCATTGCATGCTGCGTCAGATATGCCAAGTCGCGGAAGCTGCGCGCGGGATGCTACAAGACATTACAACGAAGAGAACAATGCTGAACGGCGGCAGAAGGAATTTGAAGTCTTTACAGACTTCTGCGTGCGCGGTGGCTGGCAATGGTGATGACCACTGAACACCGACCACCAAGCTCGTCAAGCACCTGCATCTGCATCGGCACACGTGGTGTCGCCAGCCAGCTTCACAATGCTTTTGTCTCGGGGCGTAACTTGCATGGAAGACATGCTCCGTATCAACTCGCTCACGTGAAAGTGGACTTGACCTCGGATTCCGGTGCCAAAGCGAAGAGAAAAATCATGTTCGGTGCTTCTGCCAATGATTATATAATCCTGGAGTCTCCACATCACAGCTCGCTTTGTCCCTGCTTCCCGCTTCTGACCAATCGGGACCCCAGAGTCGGGCCGGTCGATCCCTTGCCGAGTCAAGTGCTTGTGGTGCTATTCGCTCGCCTATTCGACTCCGTTTCCACTCACCACCTGCACTCTCCACTGCTTTGAGTGTTTCTTCCCACAGACCGACAACCATCCAATTCTCTACGAGCCGACCACACCTCTCGAATCGACCAAACGCCTCTCCACATCCTGGCGTTGGTAATGACAACGCCTATATGAGATTGCCCATCGACGCCATCCACCGCCGCCGCCGCCCTTCTACCCCCAATCGCCGCATGCCGGCATTCCTTCTCTTCCGAAGCATCGCATACCGACACCTCTCCTCGCCGCTATGAGGTTGCCGATACTACTGCCTCTGCTTGCAGCTTCAGCAGCATGTGCCATATCTACCCATTCTCCCCGCCGAATCCGCAATTACGATGCCCACGATTATTACGTCGTCGAGCTTCCTGCTCACATCAGTGTCCAGGCTGCTGCCCAAGACTTAGGCTTGCATTACGATGGTCCGCTGGCTGGCCTGGATCATCACCACATCTTTCGCACTGACGACGTGCAGCACGGCTACGACCATATCAAATCAGTGAAAGAGGATCTCAAAAGGAGGAGGAGAAAACGAGAGCTTGGCGCAGACAAGGAGCATGTCCTGGACCACAGGCTACTAGCACAAAAGCAAGAGTTACACAAGCGCTTCCCCTTGGTCAAACGAGGTGCTATACCAGCTCCGCCTCCAATCCGAGTGAGCACAGAATTCCACTCCGAACTTGATGCTGTGCCCGAACTTTTCGAGGAAAACAAGAGAATTGCCTCAAACCTGAGCATAAATGATCCTACCTTTCTCGAACAATGGCACCTGTATAACCACGTCCAGCCCGGCCATCATATCAATGTTTCCGGTGTTTGGGAGCAGGGCATCAAGGGGAAAGGCAGCACCGTTTGCATCGTCGACGATGGCTTGGACTTCGATAGCGATGATCTGAAGGACAATTATTGCGCCGAGTGCAGTTGGGACTACAATGATCCCGGTCCAGACCCCAAACCGCGACTAGATGACGACCGCCATGGCACACGATGTGCAGGAGAGGTTGCCGCTGTGCGAAACGATGTCTGTGGTGTTGGCGTCGCATACGAGGCGAGAGTTGGAGGAGTCCGCATCCTGTCCAAAGTCATCTCGGATATTGACGAAGCTGAGGCCATGACTTACGCCAACCAGCAGACCCAGATCTACTCGTGCTCGTGGGGACCGCCAGACGACGGCAAAGCAATGGAAGCACCGGGCATTCTCATCCGAAGAGCCATGCTCAAAGGCATTCAGCAAGGTCGCGCCGGTCTTGGCAGTATTTTTGTCTTTGCCATTGGCAATGGAGCTGCCCACGACGACAATTGCAACTTCGATGGCTACACCAACAGCATCTATTCCGTGAGCGTCGGAGGCATCGATCGCAAAGGCCTACATCCCTACTACAGCGAGGCATGTTCCGCACAGCTGGTCGTGACCTACTCCAGTGGCTCCTCCGATGCTATCCACACTACCGATGTTGGACAAAACTCGTGCTATACTAATCATGGCGGAACTTCGGCCGCCGGCCCATTGGTGGCTGGCATCTATGCTCTCATGCTCGAGATCAACCCGAAACTCACTTGGCGAGACATTCAGTGGCTGACAGTCATAACCGCCGTGAAACTCGAGGACCAGCCCAGCGACTACCAGATGAATAAGGCCATGAACAAGGACTTCTCCCATCAATTCGGTTACGGCAAGGCTGACGCTTGGGCCATGGTGGAGGCTGCCAAGACCTGGAAGAACGTCAAACCTCAGGCCTGGTATTACAGCCCGTGGCAGCACGTGAACCACGACATTCCGCAAGGAGATAAGGGCCTGGCTTCGACCTTCGACGTGACAGAGGACATGCTCAAGGAGGCGAATCTGGCGCGTATTGAACACGTAACCATCACCATGAATGTCGAACATACTCGTCGTGGTGACCTGTCTGTAGATCTCATATCGCCAACCGGAATGGTGTCGCAGTTGTCCACAGCTCGCCGCGGCGATGAGGCGAATGTAGGATATGTCGATTGGACGTTCATGTCTGTTGCTCACTGGGGAGAGTCTGGTGTCGGCACTTGGGCGGTCATAGTCAAAGACACCAAGGTCAATGAACACAGCGGGAAGTTCACGGATTGGCATATGAAGCTGTGGGGTGAGGCAATTGATGGCAAAAACCAACCACTCTTGCCATTGCCCACGGATCGCGATGACGACGATCATGACCTGGTCCTTCCGACCCAGACAGCCACCGTTCACACCACAACTGTCGCCGTGCCGACCGAGACCGGAACCCCGGCAGGCAATCCGGAAGACCACCCAGAACGTCCGGTCAAGCCAACAGCAACACCTACACTTGAGCCTATTCCCCCAATCCCGACCCCAGACAAGGGTGACGGCAAGGCAGAAGATCTATCAGATATCATGCCTCCGACTGCCACCGACACATCCAATCTCCTCCCACATCCCTTCCCAACCTTCGGCGTCTCCAAAAAGACCCAGACTTGGATCTACGGCTCCATCGCCCTCATCCTCATCTTCCTCACCGGCCTCTTTAGCTGGATGCTCTGGCAGAAACGCAAGAAGCAGAGATGGGGACGAACCGACTACGACTTCGAAATGGTTGATCGCGACGATGCCGACGAGTCGGCTCCTCTCGCTAGCAGCGGCTATGCGAATGGCGGAACTGGCACGCGCAAGAAGCGCGGCAATGATCTCTACAATGCGTTTGCGGAAGGTAGTGAGGATGAAGCTGAGGCTTTTGAACTGGGAAGCGATGATGATGAAGACGACGGTGTAGAGAGTCCGAGCGAAGGTAGCAGTAGAGATGCTGGACGAGGTGAGATGACTGGCCGGCATGGAAGATATCGCGATGAAGAGCCGAAGAGAGAAGGACTCAATGTCGATTGAGTCTGAGGGCGGAATGCATTGTTTGGGCTTGTGAGCACTGGCTAGGCGCACATCAGTCTCAACTTTCGAGTTGAGAAATTCGGAGCATTTCCAATTCCTGAAGCTTGATCACACATTTCACACTGTGTTACCTGCCGTGCCACACACCATCTTCTCGTCCAGCGCTACTACCATTCATAACGTAACTGAAGTGTGGGCATGCAGAGAGGACCAATCATCGACATTGCTCCGAGTGAGAGTCATCCAACGAGTTGGGATATAACTGCCAATGAAACCCGCCCAAGTCGCCTGCTGCCGAATTTCAAGGCCAAAATTTACATATTGCGTTGAGCAGAGAAGAGGAAGGCGGCGGATCGGTCAAATCATACTTTCGTTCGAAAGTGCAGCAGATAAAATTATGTTTGATAATTTCATATTTGAGATCGGAGCTGGGCACCCACCCACACATTGTGAGCTTTGCCGCGTGCATTGGAGAGATCTTCGTGCCGCGCACTGTCAGATCGCCCGCGTCAGAGGCGTACGAAGCATCATCAGTCCGTATCCGCGCTCGCCCAGATATTCTTTCTACTGGGCTCGCGATAAACGACTTCGAAATTGATACCCAAAATCGGGTCTCGGACAAAAGCGCCGTAGTATCCAGGATGATACTCAGGTCGAGGTCCCGGCTTGCCATTATCTTCTCCGCCGGCTTTCACCGCAGTCTCGTGCCATTGATGGACTTTTTCAACGGCTGTGCGCGTCAGTGACCGAGATATTGGGTTTCAACAGGTCTTACTGACATTCTACGGTGAAGGCGATGTGCTGTTTCCTCCATTGCTGGATTTGGTAGTCCGAGGCTTGAGTCGACGGATCACTCCAGATCCAGAGGTAAGGGCGATCTTCTCCTAAGCCGACGACGTGAGGAAGTGGTCGCAGAATTTCTTGGAAGTTGAAGAGAGAGTTGGAGGTTACAAGCCATGCGACTATTTCCTCTAATTTGTCTTCCGGGACAATGATGCAGAAGTGGTCGAGAGGCATTGCGAGTATTGGGAAACGTTTTCCTTTTTCAAAAATGACGTTTCCTAGCACTTGATCGTAAGAGACGTACTTAGAGGGCATTTGTACCATGCTTCAGCTCGCGTTCGCTCGAGCTCCGCTCAGCCACGAGCCTTGGCCTCAGGTTTCATTGGCGCCAAATCAGGCAGCAGTGCACGTGTGCCCACCTCACGCGTCAAGTAGACATCTCAGGTGAGTAGTGTGGACCATGGGAGATTTGACGCCTGTCGAGCAAGCGCGACGGTTATGGTGACTACGAGGTCGATAGCCTTAATTGCCTCAATCAGATCTGTCCTGCCGCTGGTGATCCGATGACATAGATGCAGCTTGGTCGGCGTGTGTCTCATCAGCTTCTCGGTGCTTTGCATCAGATCTGGCTGCGGCGTCTCGAGCACGCAAGGCTGTCGATCCGTCCTTGATGTAGTCTGATTTTGCCCGGACGTCCAATGTGCTGTAATCGATATGAAACGTGCGGCCTAGATGGGTCACCAGCGCATCAATGGTGTACTTGCGAAGCTCTGCTTCTTCTCGCTGATCTTCTGCGCGCAGTCGAAATATTTCGGCCTTCGCCATCTCCCGTCGGCGCAGTGATCGTATCTCATCAAGGATGTGCAGCAAGACTGGCTCGGGACATCTATTGCGGACCAACGCATGGTCGACAGGATTGCGAACATACCGCCTGGTGACATCGTTGCAGCCGTCAGCTGAGAAAGCTATGCAATAAGATAACTTCTTCTTCCATCCTGTGGCAGTATTTCGGTCAGTCGGACCAATGAGTGAGGAGTATGTGATCAACATACCTTGCGTATAGAGTAGAGGGGCATTCCATGCTTCTTCACAAGCGTCGATATGTATCCATCGTCTGAGATGATCACTGTAGACTTCAGTCCAGACATGATCTTCAGCATTCCATACCCATCTCACTCTGCTTCCCATAGCTCGACAAAGCATGGTGAAGCAATTGGCCCATTCACCTACTCGACCTCTTCTCGTTTGAAGAAGCACAAAGGCGTCGTTGTACCGAGGAAAGCGCTCGTATGACATGCAATTCTGTGGCAGTATTTCATTAGCCGTCATTCCTTGGGAATGCATACTAGACCGCTTGACCAAAATGTCTATCAATAGACATCGCGTGACACTTACCTGAGAGCTGCATTGATACAGTTCAACGCGCTGCGCTCCGCGTGCGGATTCGTCTGGTAACGGCGGCACCATCCCTTTGCCAGTGGTTGGCGCGTGACAAACCGAGCATCGCGGATTGTTCACCCAGGAAAAGAACTCCCGTTTGAACCACCGTAACAGCGCTCGTATCACGCAATCCTGATAGCCCCATGCAGGTTTCTTGTTCGACCCTAGAGAAGCCGCTTCGGCTGTGAGAAGGTCACATTCCTCCTGTGCCTCATCATAAATGCGCTGCAGTGGCACAAGCTGTAATGCTTCATCCAGTAAGCCAGGATTCTCCCATTTGAGAGGAAGGGACGATAGCGAAATCAACATGTTACGCATTCGTTGGGATTGAGTATCTTGAGGCGCCATTGGAACAATCGGCATGTTCTTGAGAACTTTCGGGAAGTCCTGCGCAACAACATTGTCACAAGAGAAGTACTTGGCTGCAGGTCCGGAGTCGTGCTCTAAAGTACTCCGGGGCCGGTCTCGGGAGATGCCTTGACGTGGTTGCGGATATAGTGCAAGCTTCTCCAGTCGCTTCTTTGACAAATTTCGTCGAAACTGTGTTGTCAGATCACTCACCCAGTCCGAAGGCAGGGATTTCTGCTCAGCTTTGATGACACCTGTCTCCGGTATGGATTTGCGTCGCAGAAAAGTTCGTCGTTCATTTATAGTTGCCTGTCCCTCCTCCTTCGCTGCACTGCGCGAAGTTGGCATACATCCCTCGCACTGCTCGGAGAGTCGAATTTTGCTATTGAATCTTTGCTGGAGGTCTTCCATCACTTGATATGCGGGGACGATCAGCGCAGTTCCTGCTTCTGGGCTGCCCGCGACAATGTGACCTTCAAGCGCTTCTGAATCTGTGCCGATTACTACGGATCCGCAATCACCGTCGACTAGAGTTCCTTCGAGATGAACGGACCACAATTCTTGAGTGATCTTACCGCCCGTTAGCGAGAGGAATAGGGGGGTACCTGATAGCGACCCATGTGAAGCTTTCCGTGAGCCAGTATAGGCGATTATGGGGCTGTCATGAGCCTCTGGGCCCGAGACTTTCTTCGGCAGGACTGAGTGATACGAGCAGTTGTCTACTTCCGTTGGCGGTTGTCTAAAAACTCTTTCGTCGTCTGTGTTCAAGCCGATCAAGCAGTAGTCGAGCCGAGACCTGTCCTTGACTTGGGAGGAGAACACAACATCCTCTTGTGTGTAGAAAGGCGTATCTGAAGTTATTACAGATTGGCCCAGCGATACCTCAGCCGCGCTTGTAAGCGGTGAAGTGTGTAGCTCCTCTAAGGGATGGTCGTCCATCTGATCGGACACCAAGTTTGACTCGTCAGGCGAACAATCGATACAGCCCTCGTCTTCTTCGCCGAAGTCAAATTCCAGATCGATATCAATGCCAGTACCAAAGTCGAAAATGGCACCAATTGCGTTAAAGGCATGGGCCACGGTGGTGAAATAAAGCGATTCCCCTACTTCCAGGATAGCGCCAATTGTAACAGGGACCAGTGAATTCGAGCCCTCGGTTTGCTTTACCATAATACTCGTACCCAGTGGATTACTGCATGTAGTAGTCAAATAGGCCGGCGGCGGCGGGATTGTGGATGTCGCTTCTCCCATAGCCAGAGGTCTGAGCTGACTCAGGTGTGGAGGTCGATTGCAATCACCTGTGCGGAATGCTGGATAGCGCGCCAGGATGCCACTGCTCTCGATCTCTTGCCTCACGTCAAGGCGAGCTCTCGTATCATTGCTGCAAAAGAAGACTACCGGACTTGCTGACTTCTGAACTCGGCCTACCATGTATGCGGACCAATAGACTGTCGAAGACACCGTATCCCCATGCTTCTCGAGATGCTCTTTGATATCGCGTGCGAGTTGTAGGAACGACTCTCGGGCCTTGCCGCACATCTCCCAGTATTGAGCCTTTCCAAGAGTGCCGTAGAGCCTGCCGATAGACTCCTCTGGATTCGGCCATGGTGACGTTGATGTTCTCCCGGGCGGCTTGAGCGTTCCCAGCCGCATGCGGCGAAGTACGGACGTGGTGGTGCTTGTCGTCGACATGACTGAGAGAACATTCTGGAGGCACGAAAGGCGGCAATTGATGTGTTCAGAACAATCAAGGGTCATGTTCAGCTGCTGCGGCATTACAGTTGGACAGGCGAATCCTTCGTGGCTTCAAGGCCACGTCGGCGCCGCGAGCTCAGCCACCACATTGCGGTCGAGCTGTCCGAGTACAGATCGATGCTGTACTTTCTTTCTGCTGCTTCACTCAGCATTCGACAGCCATTGCGATGTCGAAAGTGTCGAAAGAGGACGCAGACTCTGCCTTTCACGACCACGACTCCTTGGCAACCGCGGTAACATCCGCTCCCGCCTCACTTCCCGCAAGATCCCGCCTCGTCCAAACTTTGCTTGGGAACTCATCGCGTACGACGTCGTCCTCATCGTATACGCGTCACTCATTCGACGCGTACCTCGACTACTATGCTCACCAATGTGACCTCTTCTCCATCGAGCTGAGCGGCTGCTTATCGCACAGTAATGCTGGACCATCTCATATCACCACCCATCAGGACATTGCCAATGTTGCTGAGCTGCTCACTGCAGGAACCCGCACCCGGGAAGCCGTGATCCACGACTTACAGGCGCCCAAGCCTGCATCGGACAATGGCCCATCAATCACCAGAGACGATATCGCTGTTTCGATCAATTGGGCTGCGCGACTGATGACTATGGTCGACATTGGCAAGCTCTCATATGCATTCTCATCCCGCAAACCACTGCTCTGGGAGACGGGGTCGTTGCGGCACTTCTTGGCTGAGCTTTTCCATCCCAGAGAGCCAGATCAAGGACATGTACGGCTGGAGAAGTCTTTCAATGCTCGAAACCTAGGTCGTCTTGCTGGCGTAGAAGTCGAATGGACGAGCGACCTATCGAGCCATTTGAGCCTCAGGGATGATGACACAAGACTGTTCGTGTTCCATCACGCAACTTTTCTGGAAAATGTAAACAGGTGTGTCATGGCCTGATCGCTTTCGAGTTCTATCGGAAGCTGCTGACCATTGTGTGTTTAGTGATATCTTTCCGCCCGGCTTCTGTGAAGAGACCCTGCAGACTATCGCTTTGCTATGCCCGTCCTCAGACCCAGACACCAGAAAATGGTATCGCAAGCAACAGCCTGCCCACAATCTCGACAGTAGAGTCATGAGCTGCCGCAAGCTTCGAGCAGATGATCGCAGGATAGAGAATTTTCATTACTGGCGAGAGCGATTATGCATATTGAAACAAGTATTTGACGAGGCCGAACCCAGCACATTGTCTCAGTGGTGGTATGACCGGCGAAAAGGCCCTCAGTGGTACACATTTTGGGTTGCCGTCGCCGTTCTGATACTCACCGTCTTCTTCGGAGTCATCCAGTCCATCGAGGGTGCTTTGCAAGTCTACAAGGCATACCATCCGTCATGATGCTGGGGTCTACGATTTGCACCTGCGCACGGAGAGAGACCTCAATTCTGACAAGCACAATCTGCTCACTGTCTTCCTGCGAGTTGAGCATTCTACGAGTGTTGCTTGTGCTTCCTTTGATGAGAAGGAAGCTGATGCCTTACGCGAAGTACGTCGCGCAGAGTGGCTAGAGAATCAAGCGGCTGAGGAAGATGAGAGGCAAAAGTATCTGGAGAGAGCGCTGACTCAGAGCGAGAATCTGAGCAAGGTCTTGAAGACGAGTTCCTAGGGCCTCTAGGCGTCGGAGATAGCTCTTATAGAGAGCGGAACGCTATGGACGATCCTCGGAATGAAGTGAATGATCAAGTTTCGGGAATAGACCAGGACGATTGGGAGGACGTTTCTAAGGAGGTAGTTGAAGGGTCCGAGCCCACAGAACACGGAAAGGCTGCGAAAATTCTGGCATCATCTGAGCGACAGAGTGCCAGGACTGCCGAAGGAGACTCTCTGGGCATCTTGAGGCTGGCAATCAAGCAGAGCATGAACGGCGCGAGAAGAATATTCGCAAGTAAACGCTAAGAGTTGGGCGAGTCATTCGATGACAGTGGGCCGTGAGAAAGTCATAAGGCGGTATTATGTGGCCACAATCATTGCCAGACAGTACGTAGCGCAGATGCGGTGACTTAGATAAATGCAAGTCTGTGGTGTCTCTCTTTTTCGAAATATATAGGTGGAGTCAGGTCCGACCAATCAGCTGCGTCTTGGCAGGCGTTCAATCGCGTCCATCTCCGCAAGTTTGCAGCCATACCATAGCATTGACATTTCATCTCCACCATAGAATAATGCATTGCACAACGAGAATGCTGCTCAGCGGCGCATACAGTGTACCGCTTGCTCGCGCAGCATCATCAGCCCTTCCGCTCTCATTCCTCCTCCCAGCATTCGCAGCAGCGCAAACGCAAACCCAGACAAGCTCCTTTTCCACCTCCAGCGCCGACTTTGCTCGTTCTCGCCCGAAAAAAGATCGCAACCCAGCACGTGGTGTCTCAGCTCTTCATCGTACTGGTCTGAAGAAGCAGAGAGTATCCATCAAGCCAGAAGACCTTCCCAAGCCGGTTCTGGATCCTGCGCGAAGAACGCAAGTACAAACGGATGAGGATCATGGCCTGTGGGAGTTCTTCCCACCAGACAGGAAATCGATGGCGACTCCTGAGGAGATGAACGAGCACGGGAGAAGTTGGTATGTTGAAGAGCTGAGAGTCAAGGACTGGGATGACCTTCATCGCTTGTGGTGGGCTTGTTTGAAGGAGAGAAACAGGCTTATCACGTACGCAAATGAACGCAAGAGGGTGGGCAATATGTATGGAGGGTACGAGAGTACAGAGAGGGATAAGACGGTATGGTTCCAGCTCGCTTGAGATGCTGATTGAGAGCACTGCTGATATAATCATGCGACAGATCAAGCGAACGATGAAGAACATCAAATACGTGCTGACGGAGCGATGGTACTCCTGGGAGAATGCGCGTGTGGCTGCCATGCAAGATCCAGAGATCAACATGTATGCCGATTTGGATGCCGGCGAGCCTGCATACCTGCCACGCGAGGACAGCCTTGAGGTGAGTGAGATCTTCATCGATTTGGCGCAATATACTGACACAGAACAGCCCGAGTCTCACACGGCCTCTGAAGAAGCTGAAGCGCAATCAGGAATGCCACCTCCAGAGCCACCGAAGCCTGAAGTAAGGGCATAAGAGCCCTGCATTTAACATTTGTAGCATGAATGTACAGCATGATTCGACCACCGTTGTTTTCCATGATATAAGGCCGTCATAGAGCTCAGTTTTCATTACAGGATATCTGCCCAGTGAGCCTAATCTTGGGAAAGGGTACCTGAAGGCCAAAAGCAAGAGCACGAGAACAAATATAGTTAGGGGATGGGCAAAGCCGTACACACTCGAGTCGTTAGCAGGCGCAAATCGAAGCTCGTCGTCTCGCGGTCCTCCTAGCGCATAAACTGTGCTGCGACGAATATGCACTCTTCCAAAGACGGGTCCTCAAGAGCGATGCCTTCGTAGTTGGCGGAGCGGCGGAATGTATCGTGGACAAGCACGTCGACTGTGCCCGGCGCTTTACCTGTTGATGCCGACTCGACCTTGCCAGATGCGCTTGGCTTGCTCTGGGGCTCGCCAGAGTTAGGAGCACTTTGGCATGTATGCTGATTGGTAAAGCTGGGAGGTCTCGAATGGGGAGTGGAGAAAGTAAGTGCATGTGGCGCCAAGACTTTTCGAGTGAATCCATCCCACGCTCCTGCTTGTCCACCACGCTCAGCCTCGGACGGATTTCACGACCTTCGGCCAGAGAAATTTGATCATCGCATTGGTCGGCATACAAGCTGCTTCATCGCGATACTAGTCGAATGGAAGCATGTAGCGATGGGGGAACCTTATGTTGAGTAAGATAAACATGTGGACTTTCGCCAAGAGACTACCTCTACTAACGATAGCCGCTCCATTTCTTTGTTCTGCTTAAAGCATTCCTGAAATTTTGCAACATCGTGCTCTTTGTACTGAATACGGACACCTGCATAAGCGCGAGTTTCAACAGAAACAATCGAAAAGCAGGAAGCTATCTCATCCACCGTTTTCATCAGATATACAGAAGAAGGGCAACTGGCAGAATGCTTTCGCGCGTTCTACGGACCTTACGGCTCCAAATACTTGGTCATGACAACTATTGCGTGTTCAAGAAGTACAAAACACCAGGACGTAGGATTCCTAGTAGGATGGTCCCGTCAGTTCTCGACAGGGCGCACCGTTGTACAAGCTCCTCATCATGGAAGAACGACATCGCCTTACACGAGCCACAGGATTCTCCCTTTCTTCCTCAGCAAAAGCAATAGCCATCTTACCCACAATCGGTCATGTATGATGTCCCACCTCTGCGACGCAATAAAGCTGGACATTTTCTCGAATGAGGTAGCTGCAGATATCCAATCCAAGCAGCAGCAATTCGAAGATAAGGAGTGGTGCTTGACTAGCGGCATCGAGCTTCTAAACGTCGTAAGAAACTCTAGATTGCTAGCGCTGATCAGAAAGCGAGAGAGCTATGAGCAAGCTGTGGAAGAAAGACTCAGCGAACACGCACGACTGTGGGCGGAACAAAAAGATCTAGAGAAGCTCGCTGGACTGATCAAGAGGCGGAAAGCTTCCATGACGAGGCAAGCGTACGATGCTGCCAGCAAATTTTCCACTTCGGCGTCTATTTATGTAGAAGATGACGACTACGAAGAGTACAGAAACCTCCTCTTGTATCAAAAGGTACGTCTTCGGGCATTGTTCTGTCAACGACTTCACGAGCAAGAAATGGATTGCAAGAAGTCCTCCGACTTTTACTTGAATAATCGCCATCGAGTCTCGGCATCGGAATCGCACAACATTCCTTCCATCGAGCAGTTGAGATGGAAGAGAACTCGATTAGAGATCGCGCGTCGGGCATACGAAGTTGCTGTGAAAGAGATGCTCGAAAACACCATTGCTCCAATATTATTACTCGATGAGACATTCCCAATTTATAAACTTACCACGACCAATCTTGAAAAGATCCCAGACACTGTACCTATCACATCACCATCATCAAGCATCGGATCTCTTTTCCATGACAAGCAACAGGGATCACGAGGGCAGACCTGTAATAAGAGATTGGTAGTTCACTACCACCACCTTTTCCAGCCCAACGCCTCACAAGCCAAGAAAGTCCACGACTTAGGCAAAATTCTAGAAACCCAGGAGCGAGATTTGAAGAATTTCCAGGACGAATTTTTTTCCGCTCAGTTGAGTTTTGTACCTCGCTATAAGTTAACGCCGACAGGGACGGCACAAGATTTCGAAAATTTGTGGATGCAAGAGCGTCGAAGTCACGTTGGTTTTGAAGAGCGGGAGCGGGATATGCTCGTGGAAATGGAAGAGATCCGGGAAGAGTATCTTCGGGAACGAAGCAGGTTGCGAGAAATGATGGAGGATATGTATGTCTCATCAACGGTCGGATTTGGAATTTGGGGATCGGACGAGTGATGGGTTTTCTGGGATTAGTGCGGATCATGAGTTGAGGAGGACTGCGGAGGCGTGCACGCCGTATGCGGGTATTAGGAAGTGGCAGAGAGGGGTGGCGAGGGATTGTGATAGGTTTGTCTCCGTACCGCCGTCTGATTATTGTGAAGAGGAGGCTGGGTTGGAGAGTAGTGTGGAATTTGAGGAATGGATTTCGAATGGGAATGGTTCGGATTATTCTGAGACCAGTCGAGCTAGGAAGCAGATGTGGATTCCGGAGGCGAGGGCGATGGAAAGGAGCGGTTCTGATGAAGGCTGATTGCCCCGGTGTGTGATAATGAGACTTTAGAGCTTTGGAGAATTGATGTCGACGAGAAGGTGTCCGTTCCCATCAAGCTTCCCCGGTCCTGCTTGAAGGAGAGGCCATTCGAGCATCTCTACGTGGCCATGTCCCTGTGTCTTCTACATAAGTCTGTCACCAGACCTCTCCATTCACACGAGCCCTTGGCCTGAGCTTGACATCATCTCACAATCTGCTCTTCCCTCCTATACCTGCCAACCTTCTCACTTGATAAAAAGCCTATTCTATATTCTATATACATACTTCTTCTTCTAATCTCTAAAAATCATCACAACTCAAATCTGTCACATATACCAAAAACAGCAATATGCGAACTGCGAACTGCGAACTGCGAACGATAGCAAGGGAAACAAAAAAGTATAAAAATGATGACGTACATGATGGTATACATAGACAGACAGTTCTAGTAGATTGTAGATTGTAGATTGTACGTCGGTGCAGACCTCGAAAGAGACATGAGGGAAAATTTTTTCTCTTTTCCCATGGTTCATGACTAACTTATGTACAATACACACACATGCAGCGGTGAGGTTTCTGATTTTGTGCACCTCACGCAAGGGCTGTTGGAACGCTCACCTAGCATTCATTCCTCTTCATCAATCGCATAATGGTATCCTCGCAAGTAACAAGCAGGGCATCTTAAACATCATCTCCTTGGCTCTCTCCACACACAACACACGTAGATAGATACTGGCAGTTGATGGTGCAGAAGAATTTCTTTTTTTCTTTTTTTTTTCAATAAAAGCTGTACATCTAATTCCACCCCAAGCTGTTTTCCGCCATGATAGGGTTGGAGATGCCTACTTCTCGCACACTTCGTCCATTGCTGCTGCCAGCAGAATTTCTGCTTCCTCTGCCTATTCGGCCACTGCTACGTCCGCTGTGAGAGCCGGAGCCGGATTCTCGTCCTCCATTGGCGCCAGACATGAAGTAGCCACCCATGCCTCCGCCACTGAGAGTGCCAGGAGTGCCGGGTGATCTTTGACTGATTTCGCCTGCTGTCGGGACAGAGCTTGCGCGACGGTGTGATTGTCTCTTTTTCCGGTAGCGGCGAGCGACGTAGACCATAGCTGCAGCGTATACAGCTGCACCACATACTGCGCCAACACCAATGCCAACTGATGTACCATTGACCTTCTGTGAACTTCCAGAGTCGCCGCCAATTGGCGCGCCGTCTCCACCAGAGCCAGATGCGCTGGCAGCCGGGTCGTTCTTCTTGTTGTTGTTGTTGGAGGCTGTTCCGGTACCATCATCCATGTTCGCGCCGGGGACAATAGGGATGGTTGGGTTGATCATCGACATCAGCATGTGTACAGCCTCGACGGGATCGGTGTACGCCTTGGAGACTTTTGTGTGCAGATCGAGAGCCAATTGATCAACCAAGTCACTGGGGATATATGCCTGGGCGAGAGTAGTGATGTAGCTGAGTGTCTTGGTCGTGTCATACGGCATCAGCGCCTTCATCTTAACTTGATCGCAGCTGATGTCGAGCGCATAAGCGATACCTTGAGGCAGATATTCGAAGATCTGAGCCGCCGAGTTGTCAGTGCTGACGACGAATGGGAAGTTCAGTCCATAATTGAATCCCACTTGAATCAGGGTCGAGTTGGCGGGCGGGACAGGGAAGCCGCCCGGGGGCTGAATGATGCGTGGCATGGCGGTAGGCAGTCCTGGGGCAGCAGAAGTAGTCGTGGTGTCCATTGTCATGGTACTGCCACTCGCTGTAGCACTCGGCGATGCGGTTGGGGTCGGCGCATACTGAAGAGATGATGGGATGCTGTAGGAAGTAGCGGAGTCGGTGCCGGTGGGCACGATCGTGGTTGGACCCTTTGATGTCAGTGTTGACGTGAGGCTGGCCGATTCTGATGATGGGGTTTCTGTGGTCATCGGCTCATATGTCAAGGTAATCGGGCTGCTGGAGGGTGTCGTCGCTGATGGCGTGGATGTCTGGATGATGATTGACATGTTCGATGGCTTCGTCGTGGTCGCAGATGTGCTCGTAAGCGTAACCTGAGTGTCCGTGGTAAGCGGGATGGATGTCGAGATCGTGCTGCCATATCCTGTTGGGACGATGGTTGAGTTGTCCTTCAGAGTAGTGCTGCTGCCAGATGATGCAGAACCCGTCTCTGACGCAGAGCTGGAAGAGTCTGTGGTCGTAGTGGGCACGGGAATGACGGTTACACCATTCGATCCAGTGGATGTGCTCAAGCTGTACGAACCACCTGAGAAAGCAGTGCCACTCATTGTGGAGGAAGATCCTGTCACAGTGGCTGAGACGGAAGGTACACCAGTGGTCTGTGCTGCAAGGGATGAAGCAGCACTAGACAGAATCCCAGAGAACTCAGAGGCCAACGAGCTTGAGACGGCAGCATCAGTGACTGTCGCGACGATACTAGAAAGCTCCGCACTCAGAGAAGACGCGATGCCTGAAAGCGCTGAAGTGATGCCTGTGTTGATGGGTCCGTATGCAGTCGTGCCATTGCCGCTGTTGGATGCTGAAGACAAAGCTGAGGAAGCCGCACTGGAAATTTGAGAGGCGACAGAGGATACCAAACTGGACACAGGAATACCCCCGGAGGCAGTCACGTAAGGTATCGGAACAGATGGCAGAGTGGCTGCGGAGAGAATGCCTGAAGGCAGAATGCCTGCGGTGGCGTTCACAGCAGTCGGCTCTGGAGTCGATTGGGCTTGGCTGCCGGAGGGCACAGTCGAGGTTGTTGCGCCGTCGATGATCGTGTTCACTCCCACAATGATTGGCCCACTTGACGTGCCCGATGTGGAAGTCGTGGCATTTGCAGACGTGCTGGGTGGTGGCGTTGGAGGCACATTCGCCGGCGCATATCCGTTGGTACCAGTGCTAGGATTGCCAGTTCCAGGTCTCTGTGGGTTGAAGGAGTAGTATTGACCCGCAGATGAGCTAGATGAGGAACTGCTCGACGTAGGCGCAGTGCCGAGAATGGGAAGCGGCGAGCCACCAGTACCCTGCGGTCGAGATGGGTTGAAAGCGTCGCTCGAGCTCGAGCTTGACTGCCCGGTGGGGTGAAGGATACTGGTTGGCAGACCTCCGCTAGAAGGTCCATAGCTGACTGACCATGGTGGAGGTGGCCTGCTAGTAGTGGAGTACGCGGTTGGCGATACACTCTCAGATCCAGAGTATCCCGTAGATGCAGCACCGCCCAGGATTCCCGGCACAACACCCTGGGACGACGATGAGCTTGACGTCGAATCGGGACTGGTGCCGTCGTATGGACTACTCGACGATGTTGTTAATTGGGAACCTGAGGTTGTAGTCGAAGTCGAGGTTGTGGGCGGGTGGTTCGCTAAGTCGTCAATGACGCTACTGTAAAAGGAATCCGGTTCGGTGCTAGATGCACTGGGATTGAAGTGGGATGATGTACTGGACGAGTGAGCAAAAGGATTGAAGGCACCGCTTGAGTCCTGGCTACTCGAGCTGGATGACGACGAATGCGATGGTGGCGGAGCATACGTCGAAGAAGTCTCGGCGATTTCCGTCGAATTCGGGTACTGTCTCTTGATATGCCTCGGGAAGTAGTATTTGGGCCGTTCTGGTTCCTGGGGGTGGGGAGCGGGCGCAGCGTCCGCTTTCGTGACAGGTCCTCGCATGGACATGACCGCGAGTGCGGCAAACCATGCCTGGGTTGATGTGGTCTTCATATTAATATCTTGGGGGTGAAAGTGGAAAAAGTGGAAGATCAGGTGTGGAATGAGCAGTCAGCCTAGGGTCAGTCAGCGCCAAACACGTCCCAATGGCCATGTCTGAATGTTCCGCGTACCGTCGAAGAGTGGGGTTCAAACGAGTGTACGTGACGATTGTCACAGAATGGAAAGCTTGCTGAAGTCGATCAAAACGGGATGAAAGACTTGTAGGCAAACAGGGTGACTTTTCAGAACATCCTACCCGCGGTCGTTTCTGCTGTCTTGGAAAAGGAGTGTCGGTAGTTGGTACAGCGAGTGGGGGAAGTCGGAAAGCGCAGCAGACGTGCCAGCAGTCGAGGTATTTGGCGTGGGCGATGGGCGATGGGCGATGGGCGGTAATTTGGGCGTGCCCAAGGTGCCGGCGACGGTCAAAGGAGCGCACGTGGCGCGGCTATTTCGCAGACAAAGAAGGCGTTCTTTGAGCACGTATATGCAAAAGCCACAGAAATGGTGCCAGACCACTGAGCTCGGGTCAGCGTCAAGGTGCTGCGCTGTGTGTTGCTTTGAGGTGCTGTGTTGTGCTGCGGCTGAGGAGGAGCTTCGTTTCGGCTTGGCGTTTCCGGACAACGGCCGAGCAGCAAGCGCGTCTTTCACTCCTCCCACGGGCAAATGACACTCGGAGATCTCGAATGGCGGGCAGACAGCGGAAAGAATGGGCGTGGATATTAGAAGGCCGTAAGTCGGAAAGTCGGGTTGAGGCAGCGTGTGGAAGCGAATGTGGTGTGTTCGGTGTGGAAGCGCAAGGGCGAGGGCGAGGAAAGGGGTGAGTCGAGGAGCCGGCGGCAGCGGGTCAGGATTTGATGCAGGCGAGTTCCGGCTTTGTCGACGGCGAAATTGGCAGATGCGGACTGCGGCAGAGGAGCAGGACAGCGTGTCGGAGCGGTGCACGGCGGTGGGCGGAGGGCGGAGGGCGGAGGGAGGTGGGAGAGGGCGAGGGCGAGGGCGGCGAGGTGAGCGGTGCTGGAGACAGAGAACAGAGAGAGCAGGAGCAGAGAGTTGTTCCAAGGCACACACAGCGTGCAACGATCAGGCTGGCTGGCCTGGCGCAACGCTTACGCAGCGTGCGTGCGGCTTGCAGGCTTTGCTCCAAAGCCGTCGCGGTACGAGAGATTAGGTACTAGCCGTTCTCATCATCCTGCCCACCACCGTGCACTGCACTGCACTCCACCTGTGCCGCCACTCGTCCTATCACGGCACTGTATATCTGTATGTGACCGTCTGCGGATATACCGTACATAGCGCGAGGCCAATAATGAGGCTGCACGCACGCTTATTTGCGCCCTCTTGTCCTCTGCGAGTCTTCCTTGCGAGCTGGCCGCCTGCGAGGGGAGCCTTTGACTACGTACAGCGGACTACTGTGCAGCGTGCAGCTACACACAGGTATCGATACAGTACAGTACAGTACTTCCTCCCGCTGCAGTCTATTATCGCCATCGCCCGTGCCTGCCCTTCCTTGCCATGCATCTGATAAATGTCTGCAGCCCCGCAGTTCAGCCTGTAGCAAGCGCGCCTACAAAGAAATTGCAGTGTGATGAGGCCGGCTCAACGAAGCATGCCGCATCGCCAGGCCCACGTTTCGACCGCATCCTTACCGTATGCGGCATCTTCCCGCCAGGAACACCTTCATCATCAGATCATACGAGCTGTGCGAGCACTGATTATTGATGAGCAGGCATCGCAGACTTTGAATAGCCGATAGAATACGCCGAAAAGTGTCATTTCAAACTTCCCGTTACGGCTGTAGCGCTACGTGAGAAAAGACAATAATTCCGAAGAGAAGGGAAGGGCAAGGTGACCTGTCGCAGTGTAGCAGGCAAGAAATTTAAATTCAGGACCTGTCCGCGTGTGCCTGAAACGGGCGAACTGCCGTGCCGTACGATCGTGGCAGATATACAGTAGTACATACACGAGTGGACACTTTTCTTCTTCGCACTTCTTCTTCTTCTTCAGCTGTTCATCGTGTGAAATTTTGTTTTATTATTGATTACATACATGTACATACATGACCTGCACTGCACTGCAATCCTAAGGCTGCAACGGCAATTGCAATGCCGATAACGCGTAAGCATGACGCCCAACGATCGAACGGTACTGTGTATATCAGCAACTGCAGGGGTGGCACGGGGCATATAGAGTTGCTAGCAACTCCAACTATACCAAGCCCCGCTAAACCTAATACAAATCGTACTCTTAGCATTCCCACAATCTCCGCTAATCCTAAATTCCTTTCTATATAACCTCTTCTAATAACTACTATACTATATAATAGACCTATCTACGCCTAACGACGTCGGTGCCCTTTAGCGGCTTCGACAACGAGTGTTTAACCTTATAAAAGACATTAAAACAGACACTAAGGGTTAGAAATTAATATAGAGACTATATAGCAATTAATATACCCGGAAATCTATTAAGAAGCTATCTATAATAACGCCTAATATAGAGACAGGGCTATACTATAAGAAGTCCTACTTCTATTATATAGAAAAGTAGCGCCTTAACAAGCTAAATAAGGAAGCAGTAGGTGTTAAGGATAGGCGTGTATTTAAACCGCTTAAGAAGGAGTATAGAATAGGCTTCGTTACTAAGGTTGAATACTATAATAACAACGCTACTAGAAGAGTTAGTATTCGTCGCTATACTGCTATAACGGAGTATACACACACACTCGACTACCTTAATAGCCGTAAGGTATACTAGTATATTAGAGATAAGGTTAAGAAGTAAATCGATTACTCGCTATAAGCTAGAAGAACCTTCGACGCCTTATAGGGGCAATATAGTAACAATCTCGGCGTGTCTTATCTCGATATTACTACTATATACAATGCCGCTAAACAGTCGCCTTATTATAACCGTAATAAGCGCTTTATAACTCTAGAAGAGAGAGGTAATATAGAGCTTTAATTAAAGGGAATTACGAAGACTACAAACGATAACAACCTGTACTTTAAGGAGTTTAGTGTCTATACTAAAGATAGTATTAGAAGGGGCTTTGTATAGGCTTCGGAAGAGGGCATTTAGCTACTAATAAAGTATAGCAAATTAATACTGCTAGACGATATACACGAAGTTAACTAGCTCGATTAGAAGTTGTTTAATATCTTAGTATACGACAACAATATTAAATAGCGGCCTATAGTATACGCTTTGCTAGAAAGCAAGCATAGTGTTGTCTACGTATAGGCACTTAGACACCTGTCTTCTTAGGGTCGTTATAGCGAGCCTAGCGGCTAGCAATTACAATAGTCTATTAGTAATAACTTAGCATCTAAACAATAGGCTATTAAAGACATCTTTCTATAGGCGTATACCTATCTTTGTACACGGCACTTATTACAGACTATTCGCCGCAAGTTTCTACTTAAAGGCCCCTATCGGAAGGTCTATAAGAAGCTAGTATAGGTTATACTATACGCAGAGTCTAAGTAGGAGGTAGAGGTTGGAATACAGGCTGCTTTTAATGCCTTACCTCGCGGCAAGAACGACAACCTATATAATTATATAACACGAGAATAGTTAGTTAAGTACGCCTAGATATAGACTACCTGCGAGCGGAGGAACAACCCCCTACTTATGCGCGTAAGTACTATATAATAGCTACCCTCTGTCCTCTTCTAACCGATCGTTGCTAACCGTTCTTGCTTAGATACGCACAACTTCGCTAGTCGAAGGCTACTACTCGGATTTTAAGAGCGGCATTACGACTATTAAAGCTAACTTCTTACTCTCCGGTTGCCTTATACACTCGTTAGACATCGATAAGAAGTAGCACAATAACGCAATAAAGGCCTCTGCTAAGGACAATATGCTCTACTTGTTTAGTCGCCTTTAGGGTGACTATAAGCGGTTTAACGAATTGCTATACTATCTATAAAGCCTTATTGCTAAGCAATATCGATTAGCTTAAAAGCGTATAGACAACGGCCTTCTAAACTAGTTAAGATATTAACTATAGATCGATAACTACATCCCTAATATATACTAGTGTTACTTCTAGAAGCAGTATTACTAACCGTGTCGGTATATCTAGTACGATTAAGAGATTGAAGGTAATAGAATAAGTGCTAAACAGGTGGATTGCTATATAGACCGTTTCTTCGATCCTAAGGGCTTTAACGGCGATATTAATTCTACTAAGACATACTTAGAATAGCTTATTAACGAGAATCTACTAGAAGAAGATAAAGACGGTAAGGTCGATACTCTTCGCACTATTACGAAGGACCGCTATCTTCTATTGCGTAGTATACTTAAGAATATTATATATAACTATTATTAGAAGGCGAAGTAGGTAGAGGCGGTTATTCTAGCTAACTTATTATACGCCTATCGGACTAATATTGCTATATAGTATTAGGCCGAATATATGCGACTGTCGGCGGCGGTAGAGCTATTATAATAGCTCTAGCAATATTAATAGCGACACGACAATAGCACGTTGTTTGCTATCTAATAGACGCAGGTCGAAATAGGCGTCGGCGCCTTACTATTAATCTACTACTACTAGCGATAGCACCCGCGATAACAACCTTATTAAATACAATAGCCGCGGTAGGTAAGGGACCTATTTGCGCTAGGCGAGGGCACTTAACGCGCGCTAGAGTATACGGCGACTAACCTTTATACTAATTAGTATAGATATAGTTACTAACCTCCTCCGCCGTCCTTCTAGCTGCCTTCCTCGTCGCAATTTAAACCTATATAGGTTACTAACTCGGTACTTTATAATACGTATGCCGCAGGCGACGGCACCTTCTAATATAGCATACCTTCTTTAAACGACGGCAGTTTAATAGACGTTATACGCTACGTCCTTTACTAATAGCGACTTCTATATACGCCTACTATACCGAGCGGTCTTCGTTACTCTATAGCCGCCGCTAATACACCTATACCGTAGCTATTAGACCTGCGACAATATACGCTAATCGATATATTATAACTTAGTTACGAGGAAGCTTCTACCTTTATTAGAGACCGCCGATTTCTATTAGAAGAATAGCAACGAGTGTTTAATAGTAGGACCTTTAGTAGCGGTAGCGGCAGTAGACATAGTAGCGGTAGATATAGCGGCAATAGACAATAAGGGCAAGAGCAAGTAGATATACCTCGAATTTAGCGTAACGGCTATACTATACGTTAACTTTAGCTTTATTTAGTTATCGCTAGCGACCTTAGTTAAAATTACTAAATTCCTAAAGCCCTTTTGAATTTGAAGCACATTTCAACCAAATTCATTAGGGGAGTTGCTAGCAACTCGAAGTAGGGGGTAGGACTGGGGTAAAAGTGGGTCGAGCCAATCAGCGCGAGTTGCTGATATACAGACCACTGATCGAACGAGGAAGCAAAAGCACCCACGTGATTTTCTCAAACTCATCGCATGTTCTTTCTGCAGCACAGCACAGCATGTCATGTATGATGAAACGTCGCACAGCACCACACAAGAATCCGACCATGTACTCCGAGTTGTATGCATTGATTGATTGCCTCGAAGGATTTTTTGATAAGAAGCTTTCGATAGAACAATGGCGACTGCTGGCACGGAACTCATCGTCGGACTTGAACGCACCGCCAAGTCCAACCGCAGCAAGCAGAAAAAAAAAATAATCACTTTTCATGTAATTTCCATCATGGCATGCATGTATACCACCATACCAATACCAATACCAATACCAATACTTCTTTCTCTATCTACTAGCGAGCGAGCGAGCGACTGGGTCAGATTAAATATACAATGTTAAAACTCTGTGCGCGTGCGCGTGCGCGTATGCGTGTGTGTATGTAAGAGAGAGAGAGAAAGAGGCCGTCGATCAATCCGATCACTCCTCCTCCACACCTAACAATCTATCCACGCCGCCAAGGCCCATCGCTATGCAAATCTACGAAAATCCATCCCGGTCCAACGTGGGATCAAGTCGACTACGCCGACTCCGCCTTCTTCGACTGCTTCGTCCTCAACTTCATCAGCACATACACACACCCATACGAACTGAGCGCGAAAAGCACCACGATCGCCGCATCCCTCCATCCATAATAATAATCGTGGATGTTGAGCGTGTACAGGTAATCAGCGCCGGTGCGGTACTGACAAACCTTGCAACCACTCGTCGCATCCGGGTTGACGAGATTCGCGCGAGATCCCGGTCCGACCATGTACTCGGCCAGATACGACGCGCACGTTTGGCCGTCGGGCGTGTCGAAGACGGCGAATTCGCTTTCTTTGCATTTGACTTGCACGTCGAAGGTGGTGAAGACGAGCAAGCTGCTCATGAGGTAGTTGAAGGGGTTCATCCAGTAGATCCAGTATCTCCAGAACGGTTGCAGTTGCGAGTAGGGCTCGAGGACACCGCAGAAGGACGCGAGCGTGCCGATGATGAGCGGGTTGACGAGCGCCGCGAAGACCTCGTTGGGTGCGTAGGCCGCGATGGCTTGGCCGATACCTGAGGAAGAACATGGTCAGTGAGATGTATGTGGGGAGGGAGTGAGGACGTGATGAAACTTACCCGTGTAGATGAACTCGTAGAACAGCATGACGAAGAAGACTGCACCGGCCTTGTTGCTATCTCCCGGGAAGCCGACGGTATAGTACCAGACAACAAAGTAGAGCACTCCACAGATGCACAGATACGGGATCTCACTAATGATCTGCGCCGTACAGAACGCGAACCAGTGGTACATCTTGCTCTTCTTCTCTCGAGCCTCGTAGATGTCTCGTCGTGATAAGAAGAGCGGTTGCAGTTGAGCAATGACACCAGGAGCGACGAAGATGAAGTTGAAGATGGTGAAGAGACGCAGCTGGAGCGATTGTACGCTGTTGTCGATCATCCAGAATGAGAAAGCATTGAACAGTCCCGAACCGACGTGCAATCCAAACTTGTTGTTACAGTAGTCCGTGTTGCGGTAGAGCGCGACGTTCATGCGGTGCGTGACAATCTTCATTTGCTCCCACATGGGCATGGCGAACTCGTGCCCATCATCTACCGTTGCGGGAGGTTTCGATGCCGCGTCAGCGATGATGAAGTCGAGCTCTCTCGTCATGTTGTGATATTCGGGACTGCTCAGCCAAACTTGGTTCCAATCTCTGTCCCTGCTGAAAGTGCCCGAAACGACGTCGATCATGTGTTCAGCGGGGTTGGCATTTGCCGGGCACGGTGCGCCGTAACGACCGAAGTAGTCCTTGACCGTCTGACCATTGTCACCGATGTCGCCGAAGTAGACCGTCTTCCCGCCTTTTGCAAGAAGGAGGAGCGTGTCGAATTGCGCGAACAAGGAGGCTGAAGGCTGATGGATGGTGACAAGAACGGCCTGACCAACATCGGCGAGCTTTCGCAGGAAGCGAGTAATGTTGAAAGCAGCTTGCCCGTCGAGACCGGAAGTAGGCTCGTCAAGGAAGATCAAGATGCTGGGCTTCGAGACGAGTTCGACACCAATCGTAAGTCTCTTGCGTTGCTCGACCGACAGACCAGCCGTCGTGGTTCCGATCAATGTGTTCTCGATGTCGTGCATTTCGAGCAAGTCAATGATAGTATCAACATACCTCAGCTTCTCAGCCCGAGGGGTGTCGCGACTTTGGCGGAGCAAGGCGGAGAATTCCAAAGCCTCACGGACAGTGGAAAGAGGTTCATGGATATCGAGCTGCTCACAGTACCCAGCAGATCTTTGAAAGGAGATCGGAAGATCACGACCGTCGACGAGGATGCTGCCTTTGATTGTGCCTTGAGTCTTGCGTTGCGCGAGGACGTCGAGCAAAGTTGTCTTGCCAGCACCAGACGAACCCATTAGAGCGCCAAGCATTCCAGGTTTGACCCAGCCTTGGACATCGTCGAGCAGTAGGCGAGGACCCGAAGGAGTGCTGACAGTGTAGCTGAGGTGCTTCCAAGTGAACACAGAGGTGTTGCGAATCAACTGTTTGTCCACATCGTCATTCTTGTAGTCGCGCTTCTCAGAATCGGAGGGCACAGTCTTCTCACTGCCTGGTAAAGACGAGGCAGACTGAGATTCCTCATCCCTCTTCACCAAGTGCATGGCTTTCTTCTGCTTCTCACGTGGGACGACGAGGAATCCACTGTTGCCCGAGATTTGACTCCAGCCGCTGGTGAAGTAGACAGTCAACACCACCCAAAGCAGCCACCAGGCCCAAACAATGCCAAAGTTCCTCCAAATGTTCCCAGAGGAGTACGAAAGACCTTTGAGATATTGCTCTCCGGTGAGGGCTGCAGCGCCCTTCGGAGCACCTCTGACGCCGGTACAAGCTTGGAAGCTGCTGTCATTGTAGCTCGGACCGAATGGCGCGAGATTTGGAGGAACGCAAGGGATCTCAGTGTCCCTGAACTCAACTCCCGAGACGGCTTCGTAGCCGAACGCTATCGGATTGATCCAAAAGATCCAAACGAACCACGGATGCATGTTAGGCTTCGGAATCATGTATCCAGCATACATGACCATAGCACTGAGCCAGAAACCGGCCACGTTGGAAGCGCCGTCGAATGTCGGAACGGCCGCACCGACTGCCCTGAAGTTTGCAGTCACGCACATAGTACAGGTGTACAAGATACCCCAATGGCTGAAAAAGGCCGAGGCTTCCGATTTGAGACCAGTCATGAAGTAGTTGGGAATTGCGAAGATGGTGATCTGAAAAATCAGGATCGGAATGTCCGCGCAAATTTGAGCAATGCAGAAGGCAGCCGGGTGATAGAGAGCGAATCCACGATGCTTTGCCAGCACAGGTCGTGCAGCGAAGGAGTTTGTTACCTCAGCGAAGGCCAGGAGACAGTTGAACAGAAGTGCAAAGAAGAGCGAACCGCCTTTGGTGAAGAGACCACCGGTGTTAGCCTGAGCGTTGTAGAAGAGCGAGCCGGCGACGAGGGACTGAACAAGCGTTGAGCCTTGTTTGATGGCGAAGGTGGCCTTGTCACCCCAGATCAATTGAAACTGTCGGGTGACAGCAGCCCTGACCTGTGTCACAAAGCTGACCGTCAAAGGCGACTTCTTTGGTAGACTTGGGTGCCTCTCGTATTTTACGCTTTCCCGGAAGTCCTCTGTCATTCTCTTTGCTTCGTCGGTATCTGGAAAGTCATATTCCTTTTGCATTAGAAAGCGGATGGACGTCTTCTCATACACGGCGCGAATCTCGTCAGCCGTGCGTGGGAAGCGATCCTCGTAGCCAGGTCTGATCATGCGCTCGGTGGGCACACAGACGCCAGTCAAGAAGTCTGCAATGTTGGCACCATCGCGATAAAGGAAGCCGAGGTCCTCGAGGAAGGGTTTAGCCTGGGGCATTGGACCGTAGAAGATCTCTTTGCCCTCGTCGAGGACGAGCACTTTGTCGAAAAGCTCGTAGATACCATTGCCGGCCTGGTACAAAGATACGATCGAGCTGAGACCCAGGATGTCGGTCATTGCGCGAACGCACCTGGTATACTCCAATGCTGTGGATGCGTCCAGTCCTCTTGTTGAATTGTCCCAGCAGAACACTGAGCCGCGTGTGGCCATGGTCTCTATGATGGAAACACGTTTTCGCTCGCCTCCCGAAACACCACGAACATACTCGTTACCAATTTTGGTCTCGTGGGTGTGTTCGATGCCCATAGATCGTAGGAGGAAATCACGTTGGAGCTTTTGGAAGTCCTTGGCACTCTTGATGTTGCCAGGTAGGTGGTGGGGCACCTTCATGCGGGTAGCAAAGTCGATCGTTTGTGCAGTGGTCAGTGTGGGAAAGAAAAGCTCCTCCTCTGTGTTCATGACGATCTGGCCTCGATATTGCTTCGCCTCAGAAGCATCCATCGAGCCATACTTGATCGAGCCAGTAACTTCGGCATATCCCAATCGCCGGTTGGCGAGCATCTTCAGCAACGACGTGCATCCGGATCCAGGTCGGCCAAGAACGAGAAGCATCTCTCCAGGCTTCACACAGCCATGGCTGTTATCGACGATCGTCTTGAGTGGGGGCTTTTGTCGGCTTTCTTTGGCAAGCTTTGGGATGTTGAACTGGCTGAGCATGTTCTCGTTGAAAGCCGCATCGGCACCAATGCCCTTCACCGTCAAATTGGTCCAGGTGACTCCCAACTTTCGATACTTGGCGCCGTCTGCGTTCGTCTGTGCAGCCATGGTCTTCACTTCCTCCATCATGTGCCAGTCGTCTGCCTTGCTGTGTTCGACATTGCTGTCGTCGTCCTCTGGAATTGAATCCCTCCTGCTCTGGCCCCGCGACAGGACATTCGACACGGTTCTGAAGATCTCATCTCCAACACCACTGCCCAGGGACGGTGCCCATGAGCTGAAAGACTGCTGTCTCTGCAGAGACGGCATCTTGGCTGTGGATGTCCTGATGAAAGACTCGAAGCCAAACAACCAGACGCAAGGTTAGTTAGGTACACAAGACAAGACACTCCCAGGTTAGTGGGGAGAGGAGTAGTTTTGTACGTGCAGCCTGTACGATTCGCACGAATGATGATGAGACGACTCTGCTCAGAATAGAAAGAAAGGCCGGCAGAATGCCATGAGCCTGACAACATCCCCTAAACGAAGTCCGTGGTTAAGTCCGTAGAACTGCTGTATAAGATCTAGGGGATCTGGTTGGTCGAATCCGCTTTGCATAAGTTGGCACAGACGTATTTTGTATAAGAACTCCACCAGAATCCTAGTTTTGCCGACGAACGCTCCGAGGCAACGAGTTTTTACAGGGGATGGCGTGCGTAAAGACAAAAGACGCGATAGTGGCCCAAGCGTCCTGGAACTGGCAGTACCCATAGCCGGATCCCAATGGGAGAGGCGGCGGCAACCATGTCGCACAACGGAGCATGCGGTACAGCCATAGGTCCGGGTACTGGCATGACGATATTGGCCAGGGATGTAACCCAGCAAGACTCCAAGATCCTTTGCTACGGAAGATCGAAGCTTGTTAGCGCTGCAGAATACATCGAGTCCTTTGGCTAGGCAAAGCAAAATGGAGCAAGAATCACGCCGTGCGTGTCTCCCGTTCTTGCGAAGGACTGGGCGTGTCAGCGGCGCATTCTTCAGCGCAGGCGGTGTTTCGACGACGCGGTCAAGGGCAATCTGACCGACGTGCCCAGAGCTTTGGCAGGGCCAGAGTCGGCTTCTCGAACTCCCCAAGCACCGACGATGAGTGATCCATGTCGAGAGGAGGCACATCTCTAGTCTGACATGCGCCTTGCGCTTTCGAGAAAAGACTGGGCGGGGACAGGCTGGTGTAGGAACGAATCAGGGCCACTTTCGGTGGTGCGAGAGCAAGCGGTAAGTTGAGCGGTAACGAGCAGAGGTGAGGTGAAAGAGACTCCCGTCGGATGACCAGAGCTCCCTGATCCGGGTGCCGCCGGGAACAACGCCAAGCTTCGGAAGCCGGAGGATGCATTCTTTCCGTTGGGTTTTCAGCGTCGGGCCACGCTCTGCCAAGCCCTCGTCGAGATGCGAACCATAGAATGAAATAATAATCAGGGTTCCTTGTGAGCGAGTGAAGTGAATGACTTCCCACGGTCCGCAGAGAAGGTGTGCCTGTGCCTGTGCCTGTGCCCGTGCCTGTGCCCCATCGAACAAACACACACTTGCACTCGCGCTGTTGAGCACGGGGTGCAGCCGAGAATATGGCATTCCATTCTCGGCGAAGACGACCCTGTTATCAAGCAAGACACGGGTGTAGATCGCGCGCTGACGAGAAGCTGTTGTGAAGAGAAGAGGATGGCCAGGATGGCTGGGGCTCAAGCCTCACCAAGTGACAAGTGTAGCCTCACTCACTCTCATCAGCAGCGGATGCATGCCTCAAGGTTGTCCCTTCCTTCATCGTCATCATCATCATCATCATTATCATCCTCATCAGCTTGCCCGTGGTTCATCCGAGGCTCGGTGCCCATCATTACGATCCAGCTTCATCAAAGCTCGACTGCCGACTCCTTCAATAATTCAGCACATCCGCGCTCATCCACTGCCGTGCTGATGCAGTGTCATCGCCATTGCTTATACATGATTCAAAACAATCGAGCCTACAGTGTCGAATCGCGTTCAAACATGCTTGAAAGAACCGCCATGGCAGTCCATGTGAAGCCACTGAAGTGGAAGCGTCATAGCCATGGCTCATCAGCGTCAAGAGGCTGACTGTCACAGCACCGGCGAAAGTAGATATCTACAGATGTACTCACTCATCATGGCATACCGACCTTCGAAACCATCGCTACTGAGCTTCACATGTGAGTGAGTGCACAAAGCAGCAAGAGCATCAAAATCCATCTCATTCGCTCCAAAACAACGCATGGCCCGATTCATTCATCGCTCATTGAATAGAGACATCGACCGACGAGCGACAGCCTGAACCGAACAATATTCTACCATTGGACAGCAATGCAACGATTCACGGAGACGCAACCCAAACACACTCCGTTCCCCGTTCCGTTCAGCACACCACCGTCAATTCATGCCATGCCTCGACAGACCTTCTCATATCAGCGCGAGCCAAGACTCCACCCCTCAGCCGGATCCCGTCTCTCCCCAATCCGAGTCGAAAACCAAACCGGCCCATCCCAGCTCACGTACCTCGTCCCGTTCCTACCCTTCTAGAAAAAAAGATGACAGCACCAAGTACCGCTCAATGCGCTCATTGCCTTCTATTCTTAGCCCATCGTACATGTGTGTACATACATGTGTGTACCCTCTCGTCTGCATTCCTCAGGTACGTACCTTGCCTTGCGTGCAATGCAAGCCGTGCCTGGATGGGATGGGCTCACGGGACTCAATAATGCTCGAGTAGTGTGCTCACACCTGACATGATGTCGCAGAGTCTATTGCGGCCAGCGAAGTGTCTATATATTGTCTCCCTATCTTCTGGTCGATGGTCAGAAGAAGCATCAGTCATACGCTCACGCTACTCACATGTCAGTGAACCGATCACATTCAGGAATCTTGAAAATCGACACAGCATTTCGCAACGCTGTCATCTCATCCTCATCTCATACCATCATACCTTTTATGTCATGTATATAAAAGTGTATGCAATGCCTATCCCCTTCGCTCGTGCTCCCATTCAGGTGTCGTGTCGTAAAGCCAACCCCCAAATCGCTCATAACCTGCAACTGGTACCAAGGCCAATGACTGATGCAATCGCAGACCTCCACAATGCGCTGTATTCTCTTTCCAACTCCTAGACCTTTGCAGCCAGGCTCCTGGTCGTTCGTGACCTGATCAAAGACGGTTCTTCTCTCGCCTGCGCGAAGCTCTTCTATCGACGACGACGACCCGTCCGAGACTCGCGCTTCAATTACATGCTTGCTTGCAGATCCTTGATCTTATCGTACAGCTCGAGCGCGTTGATGTGCTTCAGCTGTGGAAGAAGTCAGTGTTGGCCTTTGCGAAATTCTCCTACGTTGCATGCCGCGCTCTATCACTCACCTTGAGTTGCAAAAGCGCCAGATCCGGCTTGTCGTCAATCGTGCCAGAGAAGAGGACATTTCCACCCTGAGGCTTTTCACCACACCGATCGCCAAACTGGAGCTCCTTCTTGATGGGCGTATTGAGCATGATGCGATGCGATCCGTCGGCGCGTATGAGTAGTCGGGCTGTCAGCTTCGCATCCTCGTCATCCGGTGCAGGCTTTTTGACATTGAGTTTGAGCACGCCAATGCCACGCTCTCGCCACTCCTTCTTGCCACTCTCGACTGCCGCGTAGTTGTAGAGTTTGGAGCGACAACTGAATTCCGTGACTTCGCCTTCTTCGCCGGTCTCCAAAGATTGCTCGTAGAAGCGCTCATCTTGTTTTTCTTCCTCTTGAGACAGTGGACTCTTCATGCCAGATCGATCGTCCTCTTCATCATCGCCTCCATCGTCCTCATCCTCGTCATTTTTCGCACCAAATGGCTTCGCGCTCTTAGCGCTGACACCGAACGGTGCCGTAGGCTTGCCGCTTGCGAAGCTGGAAAGACCGCCACCTCCAAGAGAGCCAAATCCGCTGCCGCCAGTCGCGCCTGCGAGGCTGCTTCCAAAGCCACTGGCACTCTTGCTGCCGAGTGACAAAAAGCCTGAAGACGAAGATCCAAATCCACTCCCGCTACTGCCAGCAGCGGAAAATGCTGACTGTTGGCCAAGAGCGCCTCCGAAGCCACCAGTAGATGGTGGTTTATCGTTCTCTTTCGTGTTCAGTGGACTCTTTGCGCCGCTTCCAAATCCACCACCTACACCTGGTCCTCCTGTCGTCTTGCCGAGCGCACCAAATCCAGAAGATGACGAAGCTGCTAGAGCACCGAAGGCTGATGAGCTGAATGCGCTGGCAGACGTCTGTGCTTCTGCTGAGGGAGATTTGCTACCGGCAAGAGCTCCGAATGGTGATGCTGACGATGCATTTCCGAATGCGCTTCCGGGCGGAAGCTTCGTTGCTTCTTCCTTCTTCAAATCTTCTTGGGTTGTCGTAACCTCAGTAGCATCAGTGGAATGCAGGCGACTCCTCTTAGTCTTCGGGCTGGTCAATGTTTCTACTGCCGGTTCGCTACGTGCGTCTGTGCCTTGTTCGGGTGTGCCTGGCCGTGGAGGCTTGGCAGATGCGTTGGCTTCAGCATGTGCATCGGCTACCTCGTTTCCAGTTCGCTCGAGCTCGTGAGACTTTCTTTGGCCATTGTTCAGCACATCTTCTTCTGCTGTACTGTCGCGCGAGCGCTTCCTCGTGTGCTGTCGGGTAGATGTTGTAGCGTCCTGTGCTGACACGCCCTCGACCTCATCGTAACTTCTCTTTTTTTGTAGGCGACCTCGAGCTTCGAATGCCGTGCCGATTGTATCAGTCGAGGTCACGGCTTCGTAGGTTGGATCGTGTGCGCTCGCATCTGGCTTATCGGCATCTTGGAGGTGGGCCTTCTTCAGCTGCTCTCGGGTTGCCTTCTCGCTGCCCTCGGTGTCGGACAGCACGCCGTTATCTTTCTCAGCGGCCATGTTGGTGATATGGAGTTGTGGTAGGGGAAAAGAGGGTGACAGCAGGCACAAAGTCGCTCATTCGAAAGTCGATTGCAGTTTGCGAGGGCAATCTTGTGCAGGCGGATGGGGATGTGTGGCTCTGCTTGTGACTGTGCGGGTCAAGGCGCACACATGAAGATCTGTTGCGGAGCGGAGCGGTGCGGTGCCAACACACTCTGAGCGTGCTCGTGATGGTGCGTGTTCTGGGTGCAGTGCAGTGCAGTGCAGATGCTGTCGACGAGCCTCATCTGAATCGGCGGATCAAGCACCCTGGACCTTGCTTCTTCTGCGGCAGAGCTCCCGAGTCGAAACTCTACCACAACTTGCCCCTCTCTCTCTCTCTCTCCCTTTCCATCATGCTGACCCTCCATCTCCTGGAGAACGACACATCTCAGAGACACGACTGACCCTCATCGCCCGTGATGTCTCCCACGCGCCTTCCTCGGAATTGACAAGAATATGATTTATGGGCCATGGTGCGCTTCGACACACGCTGCGGGCGGCCATCGGACCGGCACTGATCAGCACAGCCACTTGAGGCCTCCAATGCCACTGCCAATGCCACTGAACTGATACTGTAGAAGAAATAACGCTCCGCTCGCACTGTCAAGCCGTCCAACTAAGAACCCTTCTCGCGCATACGCCTTCCTGGGTGTCCGTGGCCATCATGTCTGCTTCCGCCGCCATCCATCAGGACGAGATATACCCCAGCCCCACCATGAACATGAACATGAACGTGCCAGCATCAGTACGAACCCTAGCCGTGGCGGAGCTCGTCGACATGATTGCAGGCCATCTCCCCTCCGAGGATCTCATCGCCGCCTCACAGGTCTGCCGGATTCTGTACATCCATTTGCATGAGTCCAGCACCACACGAAAGCGACTACTGCGCGCAATCCAGATGAAAGCTACGAGGAATAACTGGAAACAAGTGCCGTTCGCAGATCGCTACAACAAGACTCCCAATTTGTGCCCGGCAGAACCGCCAGGAGTTGACGTGGAGCCTTTTTCGCCTCCTCCAGCACCTCTGACCAGCTTGCAGTGGATATGGGAAAGGCTGAAGCGCGCCCGAGAGCCTTCGCCTCCGCCGCCTGGACTACTGATGCGACCAGCCTGGTGCAGTAACACGTACTGCACTGGAAGTTGCATGCTTTGCCGTCCTCAATGATTGACGCTATTGGCACTGCCCGCTAGCAATATTGGAATTCCTACAACCTGGCCACCTGAACACCCCCATGTCAAGAAGTAGATTGCTTATTCTTTGCTGGAAGCTCAGTGGCCCCGTCCACGTCATTTCGGCAGAGCGACTGGCGGAACTACTTCTACTTCTACGCAAAAATCTGTACTGCCTATGATCTCCAGCTGCGGCCCGCTTCCAGCAGCATAGGCCTCCTTCCAGGTTGCGACAAGGATCCACTCTGGCTGAACCCTGACATACAGTATTGCTGGTCGGCGATGTGCCAACTTTGACATACCCATTCCAGCGACCGAAAATCCAAGGCTCTTGAGCTGTGCATCTTACGCAAAGTTGACATGGACACAATTGGCTTCCTACGTACGGGCATGTCACCCATCTCAAGTCTAGAGCGACTGCTGCAAGCCTCAAGGACCAACAGGATTGACATAAGAACCCCCGACCAAAATCATTCTCAACAAAAGTTTGAGTTCTCGTCCGTTTTGCCCCGAATACACTACCTCTCAGACGGACCACAATCTTATGACCAGGATGCAGACTCTGATCGACAATGTCGACGATCAGGTCTCTGAACCTGTCGTTCACGGCCTTTCTGGTCGAACTAAATCCCAAATCCCAGACTGTGGCTGGTGACTCACCTGGAAAACCCTCCTCGGGAATATATGTAGCGGAAGGCGCCCTCTGAGGTCTAGAATAGAGGCCAGTCACAATGGATTTCGACTTTTCCTTGGAGAAATGCTTCGGCAGGGAGGCCTTAGATTCCCATTGTGTATGTTAGGGATATCTCATGCCATGCGCTTGCGATCGGGGGTGTGGCACTGCTCTCGATCATGCCCAAGAATAGCAAACAAATTATATATTCGTATAGAACAGTGGCAGGTGATAAGTTACGATTGCGGACTAGGTGGTCGCTCGGGGATAGATTCTTCATGATGATGTATTCTGCATCACGTCGGAGTTCGTTGGCATCGTAGGAAAAGACAAGGCTGTTTCAAATTTGGTGTGCCTAAGCCCGCAATGCATTCCACTTTGCGTAAGGAGATCATTCCCTCGAAAGACTGTATATTCAAAAGATATGTCGTAGCACCTCCATGACTCCCGCCGTACAGCGTGTGATGGGCGCAAGGGGCGTTTGGACAAGCAAGAGAATTGACTTCGGCCAAGCCCTTGGAAAATCCACTGCGCTTCAACGCGAGCCACAGTGGCTCCTGCCCTATGGCCTTCTCCATTAACTGCGACCCAGCAGTCTCCATCGCTCCAACCACGAAACAACCCAGAAACCAAACAACATCCAATCCCCAATATGTGTCGCCAAACAACCACGCCGTCGCCGCATGTGCAAGTCCAGAGAGCCCAAATACCACAAAAGCCACCACCATCCTCCTCTCCATTCCTGCCCTCCTCGCCAAAACCCTCCCGAAATTTGAATAAGCTCTCACGATCAGTCTGTGCCAGAACACTCCCCAAAATCTTCGCATACCATACGCTTCAGCGAGACTTCCGAAAAGTGGCGGCCACTCCTCTGCCTCGTCTGTGCGTAGAATGGCCACGAAGAAGATGGCAAAGAGCGCATGTGCGCTTTCGAGGGTTAGGTATGGACCCAGAGCCCAGAGAAATGTCCAGATGATGCGGACGAGGGTTTCGTGATATGTGATCGGGGTGTTGTTTGGAAACAGGAGGCGGCGAAAGTAGGTTGTATAGACGGGAGAGAAATCGTCGATCTGGACTGGGAAGATGGCGGGGGAGAAGGTGAGTGGGAGGATATAGACGTAGATGAAGAGGTAGGTTGTGGCTTTCGCGAAACGGTCGGTTGTGAAGGTGAGCAGACTTTGTTGATGCTGAGTTTTGGGACAGACTTGGAGGGATGTGCCATGAGGCGAGGATTGTTCCAGATTTTCCAGATGCTAATTGGCTTCCTCCAAGGCTTGTCTTCTGCCAATTGACCAGGAGACTCCCAGAAGTGCTAGTCCTCGATCCAGAGGACGGAAATCGAGTGTGAGATCCAGACGGCCATCATGAGTGCCCATGTGCTGTCCCATGGAGCTGCAAGCTGGCCTGACATCTGGATGCTAGTATGGCTGTTTGCGGTACCAAAAGATTAGGTTTTGTCGGCGAAGATATGGTGAAGGTGAAGGCAAGCACCGAAAAGGCCAGAGACAGGATTGAAGTGGCCATGAATGAGGATATTGACCTTGGAGGAGACTAGTTGATTGAGGTTTGCTTCGTTGGACAAGAGGGAGACTATGGCTGATAACAAGTCGGGACCTGCGCTATATATGTTACGCAGCGCTCAGCCGCAACCTCCCGACATCTGGACACGAAGCGACTATCACAGACACACGATGGCATCCATGCCTTACTCCATTCGAGGTTCATGATTTTCATCGTCGAGGCATTGCGATCCACTCCAAGAAGTCACCTAGGCGGCGTTGGAGCGAACACAAATTGGGAATGTTCAAATGTGAGCAGAAGAGGGAAGTCGAACCCGAAGGAAATCAATCTTGATCTATGAAAACTCCTAACGAGCGACAGCATCCAAAGACCCAAGGCAATCTAGACAAGAAGGATTAAAAGGTATATGTTGAATGCCCAAATCCATCCCTCCAATCCTAAATCCCCTCTCCTTGGAATACATCCCCTCCCTTCCCTCACCACTGCTCCAGACCTCTTCTGCCTGCTACACTCGTCTAAGAGACCTGCAAAGCAGCGCTCAAATTCTGACGATCCTCAACAGTCAAATCCTGGTACTCAAGACTGTTGCTGCTCATAGGAATAGGAACCGGTCCCCCAGCCTGAGCCGGGTCACCAGTCAAAATAGTCGCAAGATTCATACAAGCCGGGGGAACATTGCTAACAAGAGCAGCTCCCAAACAGAAATCATTAGTACACACCAACCACATCCACTTTCCATTCCGATCACCATCTCACTTACAAGTCTCCCCAGAATCCGTTATCTCAACGCTTCCGCCCCCGTTGTTGTACTGATCGTTCAACTGCTGAGTGCATTGATCGATCGATTCCTGAGAGACGTCAGGTGGAAGTTGGCGGCGCACGAGTTGCGTGAAGGCCATGGCGTGACGCTTCATCTTGGCGTCTGGAAAGTATTTTAGGCACAGTGAGGCCCCGCCACTGATTACGCCTCCTGCGACACCGCCTGCGATTGCTGCGACGAAGGCTTGGGGTGCTGGGCACATTTGGAGGAGACCGGCTGCTGCGGCGACTGTGACGAGGACGGATTTGGAGGAGACCATTTTGAATGAAGTGTTGTGGTTGGTGGTTTTTGGGGGGGGGGGATTTGGAGGTGATTGAGATGCTGATGATGAATTTTGAAAAGAGGTGCTGAGGGGAGCTTTTTATGTCTCTCTGGTCCCAGCCGGAGGGTCACTGCCTTGACGGTAGCTGCTTCATTCACTCTCTGAGCCCTCTACGATCTTCCCATCGTCGTTCCATCGCTCATCCAGATTGGGAAGGCCGAGGACTCCAAAGGCCCTCCAAGGCTGTCGGTCGATTCCTTCTCTTGGTATTACGTTCGAAGAAGACATGCTCCGAAATAACCAACATGCTGTCGCTTGGATGGGACTTCCAGATGCGTTGTGGTATCTCATCCTTCATGTATGTTCGTCACCTTGGTTTGCAACACCATGATTGAGGCCGCGAGTCAAAAGTCATCGCCGCCCACCTCTCTCTCCATACTGGAGCGTCGTTTCCGTCAGCAAGGCACATACGGAGCGTTTGGAAGGTGACAACCATCCACAGCCCTCTCGATGAACCCTCAAGCGCTGTGCGAGAAGGAGTCCATACCTACACACATCATCCCTACTAGAACATTGAGCTGAAGCCCATCGTCAGAAAGGATGCGATATTTCGTGACCTCCCCACCCGATCTCTGCGCCTAATGCATCGAAGAGCGCATATCGTCATATCTAAATGTCTCCGATGATCGACACACGGCCCTTCTACGGTCCTGCGCAGCCTCCTCATCTCATGAAGCTGACAGGGATACGGTAAGAACCCGAAGGTTCCGGGACAGAAGCCATGAGATAGAATTTCCTGATTCATACAGCTTGATAAATGGGAGAAGGATGGATGCCAGGTTGTGTTCGACATTCTGACGCAAGACGGATTCTTCGTTTAGGTACTATCTACAGTATTGAGCCCAGCGGGACCCAAAAATCCATCTCGTGTCAAGAAGTGCCGTAGATGTTTAGATTGATGGGCGGAGCGAGCGTTGGACGGCAATTTTCCAATGCGGAGAGGATGTGAGGTCGTCACCAAATCACAGGATCTCAAGTTCAGGTACTATGGATTTTTTTCTGCTAGCCTGCATGCTGGAGTTGTACATGTTGGCCGCCATGACCACAATAATCACACTGGCAAGACTCAAATCCATACCCGTTGCCACAACGACATCCCATTCGATCTTCCTTCCTGGAAGATACGTAGATAGCTTATCCGTTCTTTTGGCCGTCATCATGACCCTCTCTCCCACGTAGACATTTGTTCTTTGCTTCCAGATATCCTGATGGTAAGGTAGATCAGCACGTAAAACTTGCGCGCGAAGGTGTTGCTTTTGGTTTTTTTTTCTTCCCCTGCGCCTCTGCTTAGGTACTTACCTGTCCGCGAACCTGAAGCGCGACATCCCCCTGAGTTCCATCCACAGCAGCCGTGTTCTTGACGTGAACGTCCAGGCTGTCTTTGAAGACGCTGAAGTTGGGTGCGAGTCTGGCGATGGCTGTGTCGTTGCCCCCAGGCAATTCAACGTACCATGTTACGCCTATGGCTTTGTGATAGAGTTCGAAAAGTGGGAGACCAGAAGCATCTCGAAAGGAGCGTCGCTCGTCCAATGTGCCATATTTCCCGTCAACGGAGAAGAGGCTTTGAGGCTGAGTTTTTGCCTCTGTATCGTCTCGATTACTCGGGAAGAAGATGGTGAAATTGCCACTGTGAAGCCCTTTGCCATGTTGCTAGACGCGGAAAGTTGTCTGCTTGTCGACAACGTGCTCGTTGCGAATCGCTATTGGAGCTTTCAAGTCGGACAATTCTGGTGCTGGCATGGTGGAGAGAGTTACAACGAGCACGTCGAATGCTTGAAAAGTGTCGATTGATAGGTTGGGTGAGAGAGAACAATGGACGAGACAAACTCACCTGCCCTTCGAAACGAAGTAAGTGAAGCTGTGCGGCACTGCACAAGGATATTCCCGCCCAGTTGGCATACTAACAATTAGCTTATACAGCTATACATGCAAATGGTGTTGTATATAGAGTGCACCCCACAGTGTCTACTCAAAGCAGTGCTATGGGCGCTAAATGCTACTGGTAAGGGATCGTGCTTGTGGACGGACAAGGAGGTGATGTTGGTGGACGAATGCCGAAGGATTCAGGCAGTCTCAGAAGAAATCAAGATCAAGCAAGTACCTAGCAGATGGACCGACATCGGCGCCGAGTGCTGCGGCTGAACAGTCAGGCTGTGATGTCGACCTCTTCCTGCGGCTGACACGAAGCGAATACCGTGTTGTTTTCTTGGCTGATGCGAGAAATTGCTTACTTCTTCTCACCTCACACGAGTGCGAGTCGAAGAGTTGTCCATCTTGTTCAAGCATAGCAATTTTCATCATGCGCCAATCCCTGCTCAAAGCACTGTCTTTGACGCTCTCCGCCTGCCATGTCTTCATGGCCTGGAAAATATGGTCGCTCGTCACAGCCACAGCTTTCCCAGCGATGGTGGTCATCTCCGAGTCAATGGCACCGGCTTTCCATCGAGGTGATTTGATTCTGTTGTGGAATCGCACGAGCGATATTAATGTTGGCGACATTCCTGTCGTTTGGTTCAAGGAGCAGAGTCTACCAATGGTACATCGCTGCGTCCAAAGCTACTGGGAAGACGGCCAGAACGGACCCATGTACGATGTGCGATTGCATATTCAGATCTGAGCTGACCATGCCCATGCAGACAGCACTTTCTAACCAAGGGCGACAACAACGATGCAGACGATACTTCGCTGTATCCTCCAAGAAGGACTTCAGTGCGTCGAAATGAGGTGGTCGGAAATGTTATCGCGTATATTCCATTTCTCGGTTGGCTGATCATTGCACCTCGCGAGATATTAAACCGGATCTCGATGGCTTCTTCAAAATACTGGGCTATTTCGCGGGTATGACTGGTGTATCGCAGGTAGTAATATTGTAGGGTCGGTTCGCATTTCGACTCCGTTTGAGAATGCCCGGAATGCTGCTGGGTGTCTCGTCAGCAGCCAGACCTCGCATCATACTATGAAGGAAAGCCGGGGGAGCGATTGGGGTCAGAGAGAAGATTAGACAGTCGACATCAACCAATGCGAGTCCTTCAACGGGTAGGTGCCCGCAGACCGAACCCAGAAGCGGTGTTCTCGAAAGGCTTTCCGTCTAAGGATGAACATTATTCATCATTTGAGGTGAAGAAGGACATTGGGAAGTTACTCACCAGAAGAAATGCGCCGTGGCAAAGCCTCGTTGAAATTCTGAATGACCCATTCAGTAGTCCATCTCAATGGGCTCAGTCTGCTGATCGTCTAGCTCGCGAGCCACTCGGCGGTGCGTCAGAGAGCCCTCGATGGGATCCTCATCATTGATGTAGCCTTCCCACTTACGCTTATGGCGCTGGTCATAAGGAACGTTCTGCTGCGACGGACGGCCTCTCCGTGACCCAGAATGAGATTCAGTGCGACTGCCGTGCGAAGATTGTGGCTGTTTGCGCTCGGCAGGCTGCGACTCGAATTTTTTCACGGTCGCATACGCCAGAAGCTCGTCTTCTAGACTGGACACATCTGAGACCGGCGAAGCAGGACGGACAGGCTCCGGCTCAGGCGCGTCAGCGGCATTTTCTTGCGCATCTCCTTGTCGCTGTTCCTGTTCGTGCTTCATCTGCCACAATTCTGTTCGCCGAAAGACAGCAATTTGCTCGTCAGTGAGAGTGCGCTTGACGCCATCTTCGTAGTAGCCAAGTCCATCATCTTCTTCGACACCGAGGGCTGCCTCTTTGGCCACGAACCAGTTGTCGGGCTTCGTGTCATCTCCGAAATGCGCGAACTGGAAGCTCAGGAGATCGTGCTTGACAAGTCAGTACTTACCATGGAGCGCACAGTTGTCTTACTCCTTTACCTCTGAGAGTTTTGGTAGCGACGCGTAGTACTCGTCGCGAGCCTTCGCCGCCGCTTTGGTCTTCACCTTGGCCGCTCTGGACCTCGCGTTCTTCTTGCGCTTCTTCTCCTTCTGATGCTTGGCGGCAGCTGTCCTGCTCTGCCTCCCGCGGGCGGAAGACTCTGACATGGGCGGCGGCGACGTCAGGCCAACTTCGGCCGTATCGTGATATGCATGCAGTGAGGACGCATTGAAGAGGAGAGCTTGATCGCAGCGCAGCGTGACAGGCCAGTCGCGCCAAGACTGCCAAGAGAAGCCAGCGGACCGTCCCTCCCTCGCAAACCGAGCCAAGACTGCCAAGAGGAGCCAGCGGACCGTCCCTCGCGTTCCGATCGGCAGGAAGATCGATGACGATGGCCGCAGCCACGGTCAAAGCCCGGACAATGCAAAGGAAATACATGTAGGCGTCACTTCTACATAACAACAATATGACACCAACTCCATAGACAAGTCCAAGACCATTCCTGCGAGCTACACCGCCATGGCCCTCTATTCCCCGGTCCATGTGCTGGACCATTACTACCTAGCCATCACCCTCCTGGTCACCGTGGCATACCAGCTCATCGGCTTCGCAGTTGCATTCACCTTGAAGTTTGACAAGCTGACAGATTTGTGAGTGTCGTAATGCTGCAAACCCTTGTCGCTCGAGGCATAGTGCTAACAGAGTGATTCCGAAGCATGGGAGGAACGAATTTCGTCTGGCTGGCCATTCTCACGCTAAGCATGAGCGGTACCACCCATGCAAGGCAAATCGTGACATCGATCTTGATCATGCTCTGGGGAGCCCGTTTATCAGCCTTCCTTCTCTTCCGAATCTTGAACACTGGCACTGACACCCGATTCGACGACAAGAGAGACAAGTTCTTCCCGTTCCTCGGATTCTGTCTTTCAGATGGTTTGGGTCTGGACCGTCTCTATGCCGGTGACCATCCTCAATTCCCCAAATGTCCTTCAGTACCCGCAACCATCGTTTGGCAAGGCCACGGATATCATTGCAATCATCGTCTTCGCCATGGCGTTTTCCATGGAGGCCATCGCAGACATACAGAAATATCGCTTCAAGCAAGGTCCAGGCAAGGAACCGGGTGCTGTTTGTGATGTTGGCTTCTTCAACTGGTCCAGACACCCCAACTACTTTGGCGAGATCATGGTGCAGGTTTCGATCTACATCATTGCCGTCACCCCGGCAAGCTACGGCACCGTCCCGTCAGGATCCGGAGCATACGCAGCACTGTACGCCTCTTGTGTTGGCTTCATCTTCCTCACGACACTGCTCATGTTTGTCTCTGGCCTTACGCTCCAAGAGCGACCAGGTGCGAAGAAGAGATACGAGAAGGGCAATGGCTGGCACGCGTATGAGAAGTACTTGCAGGAAACCAGTATTCTCATTCCAATGCCACCTGCGATCTGGAAGAGACTACCCACGATAGTGAAGAGAACGGTCGGACTCGAATTCCCCATCTACGTTTTCGATCCTGCCAAGCATGCCGACCCAGATGCAGTGAAGCAGAACCGGGCTGAGCAGGGACGCTCAGAGAGTGACGCCGATGGCAATCGCCCAAGCAGTGAGCCACTAACACAGTGATTGCTGCGGCGAAGACTCATTGAGGGTATTCCGACATCACGCGGTCTACAGCGTTCAGCATTGCCAGCATTTTCTGTAAATCTAGGATAGATCTCCTTCGAACGACCTAATCATGTAAGAGATGACGAACAATTCACCCTCCAATCCCCAACTCCTTCCTCACTCAACAACAACCTTCTCCTCCTCCTCCTCCCTAACCTTCTGCCTCTTAGCATCCGGCATCTTAACATCATCCCCCTCAACAACAGCAACCCCATCAGCCCCAGCCCGACTCTGCCTCCCCCCATCCTCCCTAATCTTCTCAAAACACCTCCTATACGCCTCCCTCACCTCCACCAACTCCACCTCACACCCCTCCTCCCTATACTCCCGAACCTTCTCCGCCAACTTGCCCGCATCCAACCAACAGTTACTCCTCTCCGCCTTGATAACCCTCGCCTGCTCCTCGAGCGTAAAATTCTCCCAAGCATACCCGGGCGCCAAAATCTCTCGATACAACCGCAACACCTCATTATGCGAAATCGCTTCTCCCGGGTTGGTGAAATTGTAGACTCCCTCCTCGCGGTGTTCGGACATGGCGATGGCGATGGGGAGGAGGTCCGGGAGGAGGGAATGGGAGTTGGGGACGTTGACGACTTTTTTGTACGTGGAGATTTTGGTGACGAAGGAGCGCGGGTGCAGGTCGGCGGAGACGGGCATGCGCAGGCGGAGGATGAGGGTTTGAGGGAAGTTTTTCAGGAAGGTTTCGATGGGGGCTTTGGTGGCGGAGTAGAAGGAGCCGGTGAAGTTGGGGCGGTCGGTTTCTTTGAAGGGCGCGCTGAGGACTTTGGTGTAGTCTGGGGTGTAGGTTGAGGTGTAGATGCCTGGGGGGGTAGACACGTGTGGGTTAGTGGTGATGTGGATGGATGAGGGAGGGGTGGGACGTACAGCCTGTGGCTAGGTGGGTGAGGTGAATTCCTCTCGTGTAGCATTCGTTCGTCAGGATGAGGGCTCCGAGACCGTTGGCTTGCATAGTCTCGATCTTGTGGTCCTCGCACCAGTCGACGTTGGGTCTTCCTGTCTTGCCAGCACAGTTGATGACATGTGAAGGTTTGATTGTGTCGAGGCATTCTCGGACTTCTTGTTGCTCTTCCATGCGGATCGTGGTCCCGAGAACTGTCTTGCCTTGTTGCTTGAGAAGATCGATCATCTGACCACCGATCCATCCTCCTGCACCCCATACGAGGAACTTGTTTTGCTTAGCTGCGGGCATGCTGGGAGGAGAACGTTGGTATGTCAGTGACGGAGAGGCTGAATCTTGAAGGGTGGAACGAAGAGCAGAGAGCATCTGCTGACGGTGAGAAGGAAACTTGCTTGAAAGTGAGTGTGGGAACGGTTCTCTATCGACCGTGTGCTCTAATAAGTGGGCAAGAAGTATGTCTGGATTGTGCTACACCATGCAAGGGATGAGTAGGCGGTATGCACCTCAAGTGAGGAGCTTGTCGACTTGAGCAAGGCACAACTGCGTGCAGTCTTGATGCGTGGTTCATTTCCGCGTCTGTCGTTGCATGACCACAGAGTATCTGGGCACGGTCAGTAACGTTACACAATGCAATAAATCAGCACATTTGGATTTGACTTACGCAATGATCCCTCCCACAGCAAGTACAACTCCAACCAGGCTTCCATCTTTGAGCGGTTTTCTGGATATGATCCAGCCCATAGCAACGATAGCGCAAGTCTTGAAGTGACCAACAACGGTACTGCTGACAGGCCCAGCTTCATTGATGATCACGAATTGGGACAGATTGATGAGACATGCCAGGAGACCGCTCTATATCGTGATCAGTAACGTAGTCTGTCAACACCAGCGATGGAACTTACCAGCAATATCAAATACCATGAATGAGACTCGGTGCTTCTCCAGACCGTCACATCATCCGAGAAGGGAATCACATACAGCAGGATCAACACGCTCATCGGTGCTTGATTCATCAGGAGTTGGACGCTTGTGCACTCGAGCGTCTTGTGGTACTTTGCGATCCAGACCGTATAGATGGAGCTGGCGAAGACACCAGTGAAAGCGAATAGAACGCCCCAAGAATTCGTGCCTTGCATGTTCGCCTCTCCAGTAGGCTGTGTGTCGAAATACGATACCACGGCTACCCCAACACACACCGGAACCAGCATCAACGCAGCATATCTTGGGATTTTGGCCTGGTACAGGACGTAGTTCAGTGTCGCGACGCAAGGCGTGAGGAGTACGCGAGCGACTTGGTAAAACTGAATGCTGGAATTCGCGAGCGACGCATTTGGCAGGACGACGTTGAAAATCATGGCCAGAGCGAGTGGCACCACCAAGTATGAGTCGATGCGTTTTGCCTGGAAGATTGGGATCGAGGTCCGAGAAAGAGCGTACAGAAGGGTGAAAGTGACGGCGAAGTGGAAAGCGGCGAAAGTGACTTGAGCGTGCTTGAGAGAAGCATTTGAGAAGATGCGCTTGTTGACGAAAACCTTCGCAGATATCAGTCAGCCTTGGTTCGTCGATGTCGGTCTCAGCGCTCACAATCGCGGCTGTTCCAGTGGTGTTCACTGCTGCGCTGAGCCAGAATCGTCTGCTCAGACCTCTCGGCACAAGGACTGGCGGTGGTGGAAAGTTGTCCTTCTCATCTTGCTGCTGCAGGAACGCTTGTGCCTCTTCATAATTTTCGTTTGAATCTCTTGCTTTCTCGTCCATTGTGCTGAGCCTGATGCGAGTACTTTTGAGGTGAACGGCTAAGGGCTGGCTCGGAGCAAAGTGGTGGATCTTGGTTCTGAAGTGCCTGAATACCAGTCATACACGTCCGCTCTTCGAAGAGATCCCAAGTACGCAACCAATGTCGCGGATGGACGCGTTCCAGCGCGTGGGCAGGCGTATGCATTCCATTCAAGATATGCGCTGCGCCCTTGCTGCAGTCACAAAGAACATTCATTATTCGAAGAGAGACCAGCAAAACAAATCCTTTGCGCGTCAAAAAGTGTCGCCTTGTACTTTTTCACAATGGAAGCTCTCGGTGCAGGCTGGCAGACGAGTGGTAGGTGGCCAGGAGAATGGACTGGAGAGATGCTGATTGATAATCACGCAGGTAGCCTGGAATCGCGATTCTTCGTCGACGATGGGATCTGGAGAGACGCACCACTTTTGACAGGTCAGACGTCCTTCGAGCCTTTGCCTGATGTCAAAAATATCCTGGTGACTGGAGGAGAAGGATTTATGTAAGTCAAATGGACGGACCTGATTGCAAGGCCAGGAAGGGATTGACGATGCAGTGCTTCTTGGCTGGTCCGACATCTGGTTGTCAAGTACCCCGATGCGTACAATGTTGTCTGCTTCGACAAGCTGGACTATTGCAGCTCGTTGAATAATGCTCGAATGCTCGAGGGTCGACGGAATTTCAAGTTCTTCCATGGAGAGCTCACCAAGCCCGCCGATGTCTTGAGGTGCGTCCGCAAGTATAACATCGACACCATCTTTCACCTTGCGGCACAATCGCACGTGGACTTATCCTTTGGGAATTCATACAGTTTTACCGTCAACAATGTGGTTGGGACACACGTGCTGCTAGAGACTGCAGTGGCTGTGAAGACGGTCAAGCGGTTCTATCACATATCCACAGACGAGGTCAGATACGGCTATGGATGGAGTGTGCGGAGGAGGAGAGAAGGGGGGTTGCTTACGTTGAACAGGTCTACGGCGAAGTCGCGATGGATGCTGCAGATCTGACCGAGCACAGCATCCTGGCACCAACCAATCCATACGCAGCCAGCAAAGCGGCCGCAGAGATGTATGTCAGAGCATACGTACAAAGCTTCCAACTGCCTGTGGTGATGATCCGCTTGAACAACGTATACGGGCCTCATCAAGTGAGTGGAATGTTGGCCGCAACATATGCAGGGCACCGCTGACTGAACGCCAGTTCCCGGAAAGTGGGTCAGCGGATTGCGTGTGCTGGTGGTACATGCTGATGTGTGGCAGAGGTGATTCCCAAGTTCATCAACTTGCTGCAGCGTGGCAAGCCACTCTGGATCCATGGTGATGGGCAGAACACAAGGAGGTACCTCTATGCCGGGGATGCCGCCGACGCATTCGACACGATCTTGCACAAGGGTGAGATGGGGCAGATCTACAACGTCGACTCGCGAGACGAGATGTCCAATCTGGGCCTGGCCGGGCGACTGTTGGAATCGTTCGGGGTGAGCGATACGCCGAATGCAATCCAGCACACCCGAGACCGTCCATTCAACGACATGAGATATGCCGTCGATGGCAGCAAGTTGCGCAAGCTCGGGTGGAGGCAGAAGGTGTCATTCGAAGAAGGGCTGGCGAACACGGTGGCATGGTATGGCAAGTTTTCCGGGTGGTGGGGCGAGATAGAAAACATCCTGGCTCCGTTCCCGGAAGTCAAGCACGATGGCCATGGCGATGTTGGCGTGGAAGAAGACGGCTTTGTGCAGGAGAAGCAGAGGGCGCGAGCATCATGTCTACAGCAGGCCAACGTAGGCGCGCCGATTTACGACCCGCTTGGGAAGGGGAATTTGCAGACGGCCAATGGCGGGGGGAGAAAACGGAAGGCTGATGCGCTGGATGAGGAATGAGGCGAATGTCAGCCTGATCGCGTCGTGGGCATGTGCGCGAGTTGCTGCTGAGAAGGTGGTGGTGGAAGGCGTGCGTGATTCCTCAGGCTCACGTTCAGGCTCAGGCTCAGGCTCAGGCTCAGGCTCAGGCTCAGGCTCAGGCTCAGGCTCAGGCTCAGGCTCAGGCTCAGGCTCAGGCTCAGGCTCAGGCCTTCCGTCAGGCTTCTTTCAGGCATACCATACAGACATGGGTGGTCCCTGTCGTCCATGCAAAATGACGCCGACCACGGCAAGCCCCGGCAGAGCGAAGCGAAGCGAATGTCATCACCTCTCTCTCCATCGCGAAAAGCGAAGCAGTGTTTCTCGTCGTCGTAATTCTTCACGTGTAGGCAGGCATGACCACATGCCACTCCATTTGTGCGACATGCACCACTCGGCGGTGCAGTGCAGCGCAGCGTCATAGGTGCCGTGCCCTTTGCATGCATACCCCCCAAATCCACTACGCAAGAAGATGAGGCCAGTGGCTTGCACATCAATCCTCTAGCGAAAAGGCTTGAGATTGACCTGCCCTGCTGCAGTAGGCTGCAGACAGTCATCAGACATCTGTGCTTTGACATGCACATGGGTGTATGGAGAGAGTCTATTCTCCATACTCCCATGGCTCCAAGGTAATGCGCATGACGGTCTCGGGTGATGTGTGAATGGTATGCTGAGCACCGCGAATATTCCCCATCGGCTTGTATTAGCATTTCGCGAGAGGTACAAACGCATGCAGAGGAGGCTTGATGCTCAAATGTTCTGAACGTTATGTATTGGTACATTCGTCCCGCCACTGCTGTCCTGCCTCGAAACATCATCAGTGTACATAGCAAGCGCCCTGATAGCGACCGTGCAACCTCATTCGACTGGACTTTTCATCTGCCGTTCATAATCAATGGCCCTGTCACCACCCGGCTCCGTCTTCGGGGTATTGGTACAAAAATCATCCGACCCTGTATCTCGCTTCTGTGCGCCTCAACGCCTTGCAAATCAATCCATCAATCAATCAATCCAAGAACCCATGCGCCATCGAAACTGGGGTATCAAGTCGAAGTAAGCGATTGTCGTGGAAGTAAAAGCCTGTAGCGTGCCTGTTCAACGCTCTCTTTCTCAGACGCCATAGCGTCGTCGCTCTGTACACGCAGTAAATTCGTGTGAAATGTATTAAATCGTTCACTCGTCATCGTCATCAGGCGATGCATGTTCGTGGCCCTCGCCCTTGTGGACCTTGCGATGTCTTCGCAGGTTTGAAACCACCGAGAAGTGGCGTCCACATCCCTCAACATCGCATGCAAAGGCTGCAAGTGATCAGCGTGATGGCCCGACATCTGCGGGAACACAAAACTTACGCTTCTCGCCAGTATGGCTGTACATGTGGGTTTGCAGAGAGCTGGGTCTGGTGAACCGCTTGTCGCAAATCTTGCACTTGTGCTTCTTCTGTGAGCTGCAAGACACTTTGGAACTGAATTGGCCCATCATCGATTGTGGTGCTGGTGGAAGGCCAGTAAGACAATTTGGTCGGGGTAGAGTCCTCGAGTTTGGCATGTCGACCGATTCGCTGGCGGAGCTGTAGTCGCCTGCGGACGCCTCGCTGACCGAGCTGTTGTAGTAGGTCGGGTACGCGCTGGCGGAAGAGATGGACGAGTGGGTGGAGTGCCCCGATGGGAATCCATACGAATCGGTGGGGCTTCTTCCAGAGCTGTGCGAGGTTCCGTAGAAGTTTCGTGGTGTAATGTCGGTCTGGCTCATGGCAAGCATGCCGCGGCTAGCATCGAGAGCATCGTTAAAGCTCTGTCGCTCAGCTTCAGACGCTGAGTTCAGTCTGTCGTTCAAGTCAATCAATGAGCTTTGACGGAACTTCTGTGCCTCAATAGGCGTCCCCATGAACATGGTGGAAGGTACTGACGGGTGCGACGAGCGCCTGTCATAACCGTACGCGGTTGCGTACTGTGGCGCTGGAGTTGGAGCATATGTGCCTGCACTTGGTGCGGCAGATGAGTAAGATGCAGCGTATGGCCTGGGCGCGCTCATGTCTTGCGCGAGTTGTAAGCTGGTCTGCTCGTAGAGCTGTGGGTCCACCTGGGGAAGAATACCTGAAGCCATCGAGGGCGCCGAGACGTGGTCACCAGCATATGCAGCCGAAACCTGTGGGGCCTGAACATATCGAGCATCGGCGCCAGCAGTCGTCTGTGGCATCGATGTCGCATACATCTGACCTTGGTTGGAGGCCGGAGCAGACACCCAAGGATTCGTGAAGTGCGGATGCTGTGGGTACCTCATCGCGTCGTAACCCATTGGGTGGAAGTGCTGCCGTGAATCGACGGCCATGGCCATGTCGTCTGTGTAGCTTGGAGGTGGAGGGAGAATGAAGTTGTAGTCGTCGACGACGTTGAAGCACCGATATTAGCGCTGGGCCACGAGTAGGCGATCAACGCTGGTGAACGAGTTTCAGAAACGTGGAGAGACGATCAAGAGTTGGAAGATGTGCGGGATCAGCGTGCTTAAGTGTGCCGTTCCTCGAGGCTGGGAGCATCCGAAGGCCAGCGGGCTGTGGGGATCGGTTTGCGGTAGGAGGCAGTGCCGATCCCAGGCGTTATGGTTCCTGGAGGGAGACAGCGGAGTGTCAATGGGTAGAGGATGGGACCCCTATGCACGTAGCAGAGCCGGGGCGATGAGCTGTTGCAGCAAGAGGTCGACGGCGAGTGTTTCAGATGTCCGAGTCGTCTTGCGTGCAGCGGTTGCAAAGTCCAGACGCGGTGATGGGCGGTGGAGGACAGAGAAAGCAGTGATTGTCGGCAGCCTATGTGATTCAAGCAAAGACTATCTCAGCAGGACGGAGGGGGCTGAAGCGCAAGATAGCGTGGGCGGCGAGTGGGAGCAGGGACGATGTTTTGTGGGTATGGCGCAGATCATGGACAGACGGGGCCAGGCGAGGGCGAAGGCGAAGGGAGTGTGATATGTATGTCGAACGAGGTGTAGGGTAGGGTAGGGTAGGGTAGCGCGCCTTTACACAATGACGACGTGGTCTGCGAGAGGAGCCGCCATCCCGGCAAAGGGTCCATGCACGCCGCAAGCCCATCCCATCTCTGAAACGCAGCGCCATCATCCAGCGACGGCCGCACCCCACACATTTCAAGCCATCGCAGCAGGGGGGGTCGGCGGGCGAGGTGTGTGCACGGCCGGCACCATTCAGCGATCGCGTCCTTCCTTGCTTAGCGCGCCCGTGCCCTGCGTCATTGCCCGCTTCTCCGCGCGAGAACTGCTGGGACGCTGCGTAAGTGTACGCCGACCCTGCTTTCTGCCTCGACCGCTGTGCTGTGCTGTGCTGTGCTGTGCCTGTACATACAGTAGTAGGCACGTAGGCGGTCGAGTACATACAGCACACGCCATCCAATACACTCCCGTATGTCCACCTTCGCCTCAGCGCCACGCCATCGCCGCCGCCGTCGCCCGCCGCCGTCGCCATTTTGGCGTCCCTTCAAATCGTCCGCGATGCTGCCATATCTCACCGTTCAGCGCTCAATAATAATCACAATCTCCCGTGGATGAAGTTGAACTTCGCCAGATCCAGATCCAGATCCAGCAACACCGAGTGCGCTACCAGCCGACCAGCCCGCATCCAGCGCGCTGCCAGTTGACATGTCTCGCATTGCCATTTCGCCCGCCAAAAATAGGGCATTGGAATTGGACACAACGGCCGTCTAGTGTGAAGCCATCCCGCAAGCAAGATATATCAGCAAACGCACTGCCCTCTCCTCTCAACCGTCGCAATTTGCCGCCTTTTCACCACCAACACGCCAAATGCTTCCTTTCTCAGCGCCGAAGCAGTATGTCCAAATTCCATTCCTTCTGCTACAGTACCGGTGCAGTCGACTCGTGCAATGAATGCATTTGCCCTCCCTCTACAAATCTGCTTGCATCTCAACAGCCATACCGCCTCGGCTTTTCCATCCACTCAGCATCTCCTCCCGTCTTGTCACCTCTAGCGCGCCGCCCCAACGACGCCGACCACTCTTTACTGGCTGCGCTTGACTGCAAGATCCACGCCAAAGGCGCCGCGCCGCCGCCACATCTTTCAAGCTCAACTCAACTCCTTCGGCATCACTGTTCCGAACAGCACACCAAGCCAACAACAGAGACACCCGACATCAAGCAGAGCTGAGCCAGCCATAGACGTTATGCTTATGAGTAGCCTCAACTCTAAACGCCTACTCTCGACGACAAGGGATAAGCACTGCAACTGCCCGATACGACTCTGCGTGATCCCGCTTGGAGCCGAGAGCGCCTCATCTTCTTCTCTCCGATATCCGATATTCCCAGCTGACCCGCCGGTGACTTTACAACCAATTTCAGCGCTACAGCACCTCTTGCAGCTTATCTATGCGGAGAAAGCTCACATGCTGCTGCCAGCTGGTGAATAATGGAGATGAAAAGACCCGCTTCGTGCTCATTAACCGCGGCTTTGATTCTCCCTCGCGCCAGCAGCAGATGCGTCCGTGCCTGCAGGACCGATTCGGTATCTTTGACAGGCAGTCTACCGTTAAACCTTGTATTGCGAATGATCCACCGGTTTTGGCATATGCATGCAATCTTGTGATACTTGCGAGTCGTGAGAGCTGATGAAGTCTTCCAGCAGAGTAGTGGCAAACATCTAGGGATGGCATTTTGCGCGACACGGACAGCCTTTATTATTGACTGATTTGGCACAGTACACACGTGTTGGTGATTTGCGCTGCACCATGCACATTGTTTCAGGTACGCGTGCGAGATTGTCGCATGTTGACTGCAACTACTGTGTTCTTGCACATGATGAATTCGGCACCTCGAGCGGCACTATCATGAAAACTTCAGCGCTGTGCTCGACCAAGGCGCTCGCCAACAAACTCTGCGTAATCAATATAACGTTAGAATATGCACATCGGGTATACAGAATCTTTTCAAAAAGCCTCTCCCAAGTTGCAAACTCAACATACGAGTTGATACGACCACCATGGCCCACGGGTCCACTCTGGGAAAATAAGCGCCACCACTTCGCCATACCTCGCAACTCCGGGAAATGCGGTTGTCGTTTAGGTGCTGTTTTTGGAGCTTTCTTCGATCTGCAGGCGTAAGGGGTGCGAAACGAGCAGCAGAGGCGCTTTAAGCGTAAATCAAGTCGGCTGTAGTGTAACACGCCACAAAAAAGTACAGTAGGCCGCTTTTATCCCGCATCTCCTGCTTGTGATGGAAACGGTTTTCGTCACGGAAGACGCGTTAGCAATGTGGAGATTGCGTTCAAAACTTTTACAAACAACAAGCGTCAAGGGTCAGTCGAACACCGCATCGAGGACTTTTCAACCCAGCTGATCCGGTAGAGCTCATCTCCTGCAATAGATGTACCTTTGTGCTACACACGTGGTGATTCATTTCCTGGTTGTTTAGCTGCTAACAATAGTGATTTGGTTGATGAAGGAGGCGGCACCGTGATGTCGTTCCTTGGTCTCAGATGGCAGGTATTGAACATACGTGAGCTTACCAGAGAGTCGAAGGCTGGGAGGCTGGCCGGTGCCGCAAATGCGTACAGCTCAGGAGTTCTACCACCGTCTATTATACATCAAAATTGCATATACCGGAATGCTTAACCATGACCCGGCGCGTACCGACCGTAGGCAACGAAAACTGCAGGTTTTCCTCCTCCTTTCCAGCTGCCACGTTCAACACCACCACGGGCACTGAACTTGGCACATTTCACGTGTCACTAATTGCATCGAGGGGACGATGCAGTATCGTCCGACCGGTTCACTCTTCACTGGTTTTCATCTTGTCTGAGCTTTCCCAGGATTAACACGGATGAACACGGTTCATTCAGACGGTGGCAGTAACGAGGACGAAAAGCCGGCCACAGCGACCCTTCCCGGAGGAGTAGGACCAGAGCCTCATCTCCAGCAAGGTCTCCTAAACGACAGTAATAGATCGTCCGGATTGCCAAGCAAACTTCTTTTTGCTTCGCCATCTCCAGATGGCTTCTGGTAACCTACCTTGTCAAGCAGCACTGCAGTGAGAAGTCTACCGCATCCTTGCCTTCGCCTGCCGGCCATCTCTGCAGGACAATGCGGAGCACCGCCTCCTTGTTTACAGTCCCAGCGTTGACTCAGTATCATCCCAACCTCTGAGCGCTCCCGACATCCAGATCTCAGCCTCGAGTGTACGGGCAGGAAGGCGAATGCAGAGGCAAGAACAGCCGGTCTTGATTCATTCCAACCCAGGCACGTAGCCGACGATTGCCAGAATGGCACGAGTCTTTACGCCGGAAACAAGCAGAAAGTTCCAATCAGGAAGCTATCGGCCATTGAGACTCGCTCATATTTGCCTGTTCCTAGCAGCATGTATGCCGACAAGCATTGAATCTAGGGCATTCAGGTCAAGCACTCGACGAAGGTCTAGACATGCAAATCTCGTAAGCTGACTCAGAATGTGCACTCGGCGGTCTCGACCTGATCAAAAAACAGTACCTGTTGATCGGGGGTCCGGAGTCAATGCCGACTGTCACTGACAACTTCTTCGTTCCTGTTGCCCATCCTGACTCTCTTTCCACTTCACCTAGCAGCAGGGCATGAATTGACTTCCAGGGTCGTATGTGATCTTCCAGGGCAAGCTTTTGTCGACATGTTTGAAGTCCCTCGTGTTTATCGTTACCTTCTCGAGCAACCATTGGGGGAAAAAGACCTGAAGTCCAGAATCGGCTGACTCGGCATTCTTGATCATCTCAGGGTAGGGGAGGGGAGATCGGCCCGTCGTTGCGAACTTTGCACCTTGCCCGCAAATCGGGACCCCGAATCAACTTTCGAATTTTATCTGATACACGACACGACCCTTCTTTCTCAGAATGCAGTAAGAAGAAAAAGAAGGCTGCAAAGACTTTTGTCCTCCCAAGCGAAGACCCTGCCCTGCACACGACTCGAAAAGCCAAGAATCTCGCTCTTTTCAATCTCTTCCTGGTATCGTTCGTGTCTCAACAACACTCTCTTCTCGCTCGCTCTTTGTCAATACTGACATGCCTGCCAACCGACCTTCCTCCTGAGTCTACGTCTTCACGTTATCCTAGGGATGAGGTCTGAAATTACTGACTCAAGGTTCGACATCGCTTATGTACAGCCCGAACGGGGATGTGCCTGGTTGCAATTTGCAAGCACATGGACGAAGACGCAAGGGACCATGCCCATGACATTGCGTCATAGGCTGCGATAAGAGTTGGGGGTTGTTTGTTGGTCTTATCGTGGAGGGGCAGTTCAGCCTGATGCAATGTTTGGAATAGCGAGGAAGAGATTGAGACCTGGGGGAGGGCCAAGTCTCGCAGGAAGAGGCTGCTTGATTTTCGGTGTGCTGTTTGAGCGATCGCGGGACTGCTGTCGACGACAGAGATCTGGCTGCTGTTTGCTTGCGAGTCTTCCCGCGCTCGACATCATTCAATTCTACAGACTGCACACGAAACTGCCTACAGCAGATGCCTACAACCCATTTCCGCCAGACGACTTTTCGGAAATGACCGATGTCAGAGCGATTTCTGAAAAGTTGGATTTCCCGAACTCTTGGCTTCCATCGCCCAACCACTTGTTTGTGAGTATTCTGGAATGCTCACAGGTCTTCTTGAATAATCGATCAAAGCTAGTTCAGCCTGTCTCTTCGGGGCGTCGAATCGACAGTTACATTTCGGTTCAATCAGATGATCTGATCCGCCCACTAGTCAACGAAGAATTTCTTCTTCATGTCTAGATTTGGGCTCTTCACCATCATTAGCAACCGAGAATCGACGGGCTGATTCGTTCCGTATGGGTAGGAAGTTCATTTAAGGGTCGGTCAGGTTAGGAATCTCGGAATAATTACGAAGCCAAACTTGAAAGAAGTGGTCCTCACTTATGGAATATGTCGACGTGCCAAGTCAGGCTTGACTGAAGTTTTGCCCAGGTCTCATATGTTCCAGCCGCAACTTGTATGGGCTTGGAACCTTTGAAAATGTTGGAAGTATTTCCGTAGGACGGAGAGAACTTCCGTAACCGATCTGTCTGAACCTGATCAAATGAATTCCCCATCTTTGTTGAGAGTCTAGCTTTTGGAAACGAACCATCTCATTTTGATAGGGCATGTATGGGATTTCTCAAGCTTCAGAGCTCGCAAGAATTGTTCTGGGCATTGGTGTCATCGTGCCTCTCGTTGCTGACCGCTGCATCGTTCACCGAACACGCCAAAAAGGCAGCCTCATTGCTTCTGGTCTCAGTGTGGACTATCCTGTCAGCTGTAGTTAGGTTAGTTTTCTACAATTATATTTGCAAAGAGAATAGCCCACGTCAACCAATCAGCTGCATTCGTGGTTTAGTGGTGAGTTCTCAACCCATCATCCACGTCGACGCCAGTAGGGTTCTAACAGTGTCACGTTACCACAGGTAAAATTAGCCGTTGCCATAGAAATTACCGCATCCTCGGCTAGCCCCGGGTTCGATTCCCGGCGAATGCACAATACTAGCAAGTCTTTTTTTTTGCATTTTTGGCAGTCTCTAAGCATTGGTATCGCCTAAGCCTAGCAAAGTATTGAGATTCACCTTTTGATCGTTTACAGGCTTCTAGAAAGCCTCGTAGCTGATGCATTCTGTGATTTTTGCAATGTGCTGAACGCCAAGACTTTAGTGCCAAGTCGGGTAAATGTTCGCCGAGCACTTACACCTTTCGACTCTTTCGCTTTATACCTTGCCCTATATAACATCGCAAAGCATTTAAGATGCGAATACTGCGTCCAGCTGGTGTATAAACCTTCTTGACAGGCGTCATTTGGTATCAGCAGCTGCGACGAGAATTTGCATGCCAAACTCGGCGCAATCTCCAGCTGCAGAGGCTTGACATCAGCCGCTGCAGCCTTGCATCTTCGATGAGAACGACTTATCTTCTTCGTGCAAAATCTCCAAAGGATCGGCAACGGAAACATCATCAGTCTGATTGGACATGCCTGAATTCAAGCATGAACCTCTCGCGGATCCCAATCATCAAATACGCCTCCTCCAGCTCCCGGCATCAAAATGGGGCGGCGGCATGCATCTACAGCTGAGCACATGGGATCTCAGAAAAGCCCCTCCATACAGCGCGATTTCCTACACATGGGGCCCAGCAGGCTATCCGACTCGAAGCCTGACCATTAATGGACTGAACATGGAAGTCCGTCGGAAGTGCCGCTTCGCATTGTTGCAAGCTCGACTGCGCTGCCCGGGAGACTATGTCTGGATCGACTCCATCTGCATTGACCAAGACAATGTAGGCGAGAAAGGTGTGCAAGTCGCTATGATGTTTGACATCTACAAGCGTGCAAGACAAGTACTTGCTTGTATCGGCGAGAGCAGTGAGAGTAGCAGACGGCTCGCTGTAGTGGCCAATATTATCGGCCACATGCGAATGAAGCACAACCTTTTCAAAGATCTAGTCTCGATACCGGAGGCATCTGGTGCACTTGTGAGCTTGCCCTTAATAATGGTCCTGCGACGCCTAGGCAAAGAAGTCATGCGTCAGCTTAACCAAGATCTGGTAGCTATGAGCGAAAGAGGGTACTGGCACAGGCTGTGGATCGTGCAGGAAATTGCCGCTGGAGAAGCAAAAGTCCGTGTGCTTTGCGGCACTGATATGATCTCGCCAATTGGACTCTATCTGCTGACGAGACATCTGGATGGACCTGGGTACTATCGAGACCCTTCGAGTCGATTGTTTGATCAGATCGTGACCTCTACAGCCTACACTCGGCTGTCAGCGAGGAGCTTGGATGATATCTTTATTGACTATGTCGATGCTAGATGCTCCGACGCTCGCGACAAGATTTACGGTGTCCTGGGTCTTGTCGATTGGAAGCGCTACGGTCTGGGACCGTTGATGCCTGACTACACCACGTCAACATGGATGCTCGCATTGCAGCTGATCAAGTATACACGTAGCATACGTTTGCTGTGGGCTTTGGACATCTCTGTCCACACACCAGAGATGCATGAACTCGTGCGTTCGAGATCGCCGCTGCTGCAGCATTCCCGGCCACCATCGATGTCGTCGCCACAAGGCTACTGCCTGCACGACAGATTGGGCCGTGGGCGGAACTTGGTGGCCAAGATCTAATCAACGGCGATCAGCGTCTGTCCCTCAGCTCTATAGACATTGCATACGACAGCAGACCGAATCCAGGCAAGAAGAGAGCTCAAAATGGCACGATGATGGCTTGGGAAGCAATGCGTGAACAGCTTGATGTGTCCTCTGACCTCTTGCCCAAACCTTTATACGTCGATCAGGAGATTGCTGCATTTGTCTGCGCTTCTATCTTGCCGGGAGACTACATGGTCGAAGCTGGCTCCGAAGACGTATATTTAGTCATACGAAAAAGTGAGAGCGTCGAACACAAACACGATGTGATAGGACAAGCTTTGGTAGTCAATGGTTACAGACTCGCCAGGGGGACACATCCTGCATGGCTCAGTGATCCTAAGCTGAAGACGTTCGTCAATGAATCAGGTCCTGCTTCGCATCGTCTCTGCTCGAAAATACCATCTGAGCCACTAGAATCATTTTGGGCTGATACGAAAATTCGCTGGACTCCGGAAGATGCTGTGTTGCTGGCAGGACAAGACATGCTACCGAATCGCGAGGTGCGAGACATTAACGGCAAGTTCGCTCGCTTGACAACAAGGACGCTCATCGAGCCCGTTGGTGCTATCACTGTGGACCGACTGGTTGATCTCTGCACGGAGTGCAAGAAACCGAGACTGTTCCCAAAGTGATGGGGAAACGCTATCATCTCACTTCGTCCAGCTCCGATGACTCAGGTAACTAACCCAGGATCACCAGCTACTAGAACGTCGCATGCGGATGTGAAAGACAGTCGTTGTAGGAGCGTTGCGTAACTGCAGTCAAGACGCAGAACTAAGAAATCGTTCTCAACCAATCCTCATATAGTAATTCATCTCTCGATCCGGTACTAGAAAAAGCGGATATCGTCCTTGCTAAATAGCAGCTATAAAGGTTAAAGGCTACTATATAGAAGCATCGAGTTCTAGCTATATAACCCGCTCTATATAGCAATAGGGAATACTACTACTAGGAGTACTTATATAGAATATATAGTAATTACCCTAGGAATCTTAGCTAAGCCGTAAAGCTAAGCTATATAAAGTATACTTACTACTATAATAGACGCATTAGGCTACACTTTTAATATTAGAAGCGCCTATCCGAGATCTCTAGTAGCAATTACTTTATACTATAGCACTTTAATACCTCTAGCGGCCGTATATAATTTAGTCGGATTCTTAGTATTAGTAGCGCTAAAGTAGAGATTTAGAGGATAGTTATTACTTAGAGATATTAGTACTTAAAGTCTAAGTAGGCGACCTTGCTTACGCCTATTAAGCAACGTTAAAGCTAAGCTCGGTAATATTACTACTCTTCGGCGCTCGAAAGAATTAGTAGAGAAAGTTCTTATACTTTATACTAAGATTATAGTTCTAAGTATAGTTACCTAGTGCACTCGTAACTGCGGTAGTTCTTATAATATCGATTGCTATCGACAAGCTAGTCTTAACTAGGATATCGTAGCTCGGCGTATAGTAGTCTAGTAGCTTAATTAACCTATTATTACGCGAGGGACGATTAGTAGTTAGGCAATAGTATAGTATTAGGGTAAGTATCTATAGTTCTATAGAAAGTATATACCGGGCTTAGCTAGCGTACCGTCCCTGCCGTAATAGTACCCCCGTCCGATAGAACGAAGGCTAGCGTACTATATTAGCTAAACCCCTTCTAATGTACTCCTTCCGCTTTTGCTCGTTTTCCTTACCGCTTATTCTAGCGAAGCGGAAGGCTAAAAAAACAGGCACCTAGAGCAACCTAAGGAGCTTACGACAAAGGTTGTAGAAGGTGTCTGTTTTTAGCCTAACGCGAGCGCGAAATAATAGTTAGAATGTCGTGCAGAAGGTGCGCAGGCTTAAAGAGCGTACCTATAGAGAAGGTACGTATTGCGAGGGTTGAATTGTTAAAGGGCGCTCCTATACAAATTCGAGCGCGCAATCTAATTAGTAGAAATTAAAAAGAAACGTTACGTATATAAACCTTAGGTAGAAGTTCTTACGTTACTTCCTCCTAGGCGCGACAATAACAAAGCACAAACAACACTATATTGCGCTAACACTATATACTATAACCTATACATAAGACGACAGAAACTACGAGACGACGATACGACGGTAGTACGCACCGTACGCACCGTACGCACCGCACCGTACCGCACCGCACCGCACCGCACAAGACTTACAAAACAGAAAGAGATATTAGCAGGTTAAAAGGATATAAAGGACAATACTAGAGCAAAACTATAGAACGGTAGGCCGGAGCTTTCTAGCGGTCAAATATCGTTACACCTAGCCCTTTAAGATATACTACAAGTTAACTAAGTAATATGCCTACTACGCTTGCTTCTGTCTATAGAAACTAGACGAACTAAGTTTTTTAGACAATTAAAGGCTAACAAACCTAGTTATTTTAGGCTAACGAGACCTTAAGACTTTACGAAGAAACCTCGCATTTAATACCGACAATTCCCTACTATAGTATAGAAGGCTACTATAACCTAGCTAGCGCGGCTTACGGCGGTTTAAGAAACCTACTAAAATCACGACTCTATACCCTAGCATTAGTTTAGAAGATTAGGTAATCCGCGTATATTATAGAAGAAGGGGCTAGGTCTGTTTGTTCTAGAGTAGACGTAAAGAACTCGGACAATATATATAGAGCAGAAGCAGTGCTATAATACTTCGACGTTTACCTATTATAGCAGATAAACGCGCTCGTATTATAATTAGACGCACTGCTACAATTCTTATATACTAATATACTATTGTCGTCGCTAGCGTTATAGTAGCGTAGTTAGAAGGAAGCGTAAAAGGTAGCGAGGTAAGGTTTAGATATACTATAGATTGCGCGTTTAATCTACGTACTAGCTAGATCGAAGTCGACCGAGTTAAGTCGATTAAGCACATTTTAGCAAAACTACGCTAACAAAAGTAATTAACACGATAACGACGGCAGCCTTAGGCTAATATAATCTCCTACGCTAAGCAGTATATACACGATAGATATAATAGGGCAGGATAAATAAAGCGGGCGATTAATAAGCACTCCGGGCAGTAAGGGAGAGGGTTTAGAAGGAACGACTATCCCCCTCCCTCTAAGCGCTAACGTTAGCAAAGACAGGAGCACTCTGCGCGGTAAGGGAGGGGGTTTAGAAGGAACGACTATCCCCCTCCCTCTAAGCGCTAACGTTAGCAAAGACAGGAGCACTCTGCGCGGTAAGGGAGGGGGTTTAGGAGGAACGACTATCCCCCTCCCTCTAAGCGCTAACGTTAGCAAAGACAGGAGCACTCTACGCGGTAAGAGAGGGGGTTTAGGAGAAACGACTATCCCCCTCCCTCTAAGCGCTAACGTTAGCAAAGATAGGAGCACTCTACGCGGTAAGGGAGGGGGTTTAGGAGGAACGACTATCCCCCTCCCTCTAAGCGCTAATGTTTGCAAAGAGACGATAAGGTATATAGTTATTTACCGATCGGATAGGTATAGTATATATAGTCCGTGCATTTATATATAAGAAGCCGTACCTTTACTATTCTAGGTTCTAGTCCTAGATTAGTATAGCGCTTGCTTTAAGAACGACGTTAGGCACAAACAGACAACTCCTTCCCTTTCTACTCTGTGCTCCGCCTTTCTATATACGCGTCAACCTCGACCTTCCTCTTAATACAACCTACGGCTAATAAGCACCTACTCGCAACGTATTAGATCGCATCGTTTCCTATTGCATTAAGATAGTAGTGTATTTAAATATGCTGCTTAAGCGGCCTCCGCTAGACGATCGTACTAGTTGTACGCTTTATATATACTATAATCGCGACCGCAAGTTATACACTCGAGGACGCAACTAGCTCGAATAGACTATCTGCGAGCAGTACGAGCTCTTCCGTAGCAAGAACTTCGTCGGACGCAACATCCGTCGTATATTAGACTTTATACTTAACAAGCTAGAGTCGCAATTAACTAGTATATTAAGCAACCTCGAGGGTTAGATTTAGACAGTTAACCTTAGCGATAAGAAGGCATATAATAAGCTTATCTCTACGCTTACCGATACGTACGCTAGTCTTAATTAGATCTAGACTGTCTGTATAATAACACGTACCCGCTCTATAGTAGCAGCTTCTAGTAGCGGACCTCCTAGCGGCGGCGGACTACTAAAGAAGAACGTACTAACAGACCGGCCTAACCCTAGTAACGATAGCGATAGTAAGGTCGATAATAACTACGATAGAGAGAAGGATACATGCACTACTTATAGCTATTAGAAGAAGCAGCGATGCTTTATTAAGGGTAAGAAGAAGCTAAAGACCTACGATAAATGCCGTATAAAGGTTACTACGAGCAAGAACAAGAGAAAGCTAGAGAGCGAGGATACTTAATAGACGCCCTCGAAGCGAGGAGGTAGTCGTGTTAGTAGTAGTCGGCTACCTTCTACTATATCGCTTACTAATACGCCTATCTATATTTAGTCTACGCTA